AGAAATCGAACTATGGCTGGCTACGAACTACATACTACTCCTATATCTAATAGTTTATTAGGTAATGCCTACTTTACTAGCTCACCTATATCGCTCTTCGGCCCGATCTTAACTACTATCTAATCTCGTACCCGTACTATACGAAGTCCTAGGATAGGGGCGATAAGACGGGTTTTAAGCATCTCGATAACGCCATTAATCGAATCCTCGATCCTAGTAATAGACACGGGTTTAATATAATCTAGGGGAGTATTAGTCTCGACGACGAACGAAGTAACGACTACACTATAATCGTTCCCCGCTCCTATAAGTTCTTAAATGAATGGTAGTTAAAGGCTAAGCTCCGCGAGGGGGTTAATCGAAACGGTATAATCACGGCTATTAACGATAAGATCTATAATACGGACGATAGGAAACGATTTAGTCCCTTCGTCCCGGTCCCCTACTAGTCCCTTAAAGTATATATCTCTAGCCTACTAATAATACACGGCGCCTAGGGTCCCGTAAAGGGTGGAAGACGTACGATGCTTCCATGGTATATCGCGATTGGCCCTAATCACATAATAATAGAAGTGCCTAAAATGGGCATATAGGAATAACTCGCAGTAGCTCATAGGAATTTAACTCCGGGACCCACGTCTCCGTCGGGATTTTCTAATAAATACGGCGCGATTCCTTTTGCCTTCCTAGCCGCAGTTTAACTCCCGAGTTTTAACGCCGTTAGTAACGTATTAGTCGGCCGTAAAAGATAGGATAGCTAGAAGGTAAAAGAAGAGGTAGCTGCGTGGCTTAACGCAAGTCCTTAATAACTTAAAGCCAAGGTAGACGCCTGGTTTAAGGAGGGCTCGAGGGTATTCGTGGAGACCTTTAAGAAAATAGTAAGATAGGAAAGGCTAGTCTATAGGGATAGGTCGTTCTAGAAGGAATTTAACGAGGCGCGCGCCGCTAAGCGGCCAATTAATTTTAAGAAATTCGAGCCCGACGCGGGCCTAGATAACGTCGAAGAGAACTTCTACGGATAGGAGAGGCCTAACGAACTATCCGATAAGGAGGAATCTAACCTCTCTAAGATGAGCGACACGATTCTTTAGGAGCTGGCTCGCGACCTCGAGTACTAAGATTAGGCGCCTAAAAACCTGCCTAATTATTAGTTAAGGGCTGCCCTTAACTAATAATCCGGGCTAAGGTTTACCCGCGCCGAGGGGTTTACTAGGGGCGCATTTTATTCGTATTAAGGTCTTTCTTTTAGGCGTTCTTCACACAGTTTCTTACACGGTTACTATACTACTAAGGGTAGTAGTTCTATAGGCTAGGGAGGTATATGTGGAAGGCCGTTCCTGTAGCCCTATATATATGTGTCCCTGGCTCGATTATATGGCTTATTATATATTTAAGGAGGGCGTTTTCCTCGGTCATTCTGCTCCACACGCTTCCCCCATTACTAATATTCGATAATTCGACCTTTCCTTACGTTCATGGGCCTCTATAGGTATTGATTATTAGGCTTAGCTATTAATAAATTAATTAAGAGTATTATATAGACCCGTCCTATCGTAAAAGAGAACTAATAAGAAGTCGTGCGTTCAAAGAGAACTCATAATACCTAGGAGAGATACTTGTGAGTTCGTCGCGACTACTATACTAAGAACACAGCCATTTACAAAAAGGGACATACGTGGCGATGGCTTATCACACTATATAGAGAGGAATTAAAATATAAAGAGTAAAGCCATGGGATAGTAGTCTAATAGTTCATAGAGAGATATAGAAATGTATTTATAGAGTAATCTTACTCTTATACGAGGTTAATTCCTAACGAGTAGAAATTGGTTTATACGGTCTACTTATATAGTAACCTCGCTTAACTTAGCTAACTTAACCTAGCTCTGGCCACTACGTGGCTGCATGGATTAGAATAATCTATATAGGTCTATTATAGTTCCCGTCCTAATAAATAGGCGTTATATTTAAGTCTATATCTTATTCTTTTCCGTGTTAAGAAGTACCGCCTTAATTATTTTAGTATCCTCTTAACGCGTTTCTACTCTAATTTATACTCTTCTAGTACTAATCGCGGTAAGGTTACTCTTAATCGAACGTATCTAATTAACCTTATTTCTAACCCGTATAGAGTTCGTCGGTTTTACCTAGAGAGCCATATTCCTTAAGGATACGGTAGTATTTATTAGCTTTCTTCTCTAATTTATATAGATAGTTAAAACTTAATAATACTATTTCTAGTCTTTTATAGATTAACGGAAGTAGTACTTCGCGAAACTAGAATATATAAATATTTTTCTATAGTATAGGGATATTATTCTATAGGTTTTAGAGGTATTATAGTAGTTAAGTAGGTGTCTAGTTTAGTCGTTATACTACGCTTCTTAACTTAGATAGTACCTTTCTTTTATATTCTCTATCTATTCTAAGGGTGTTTAGTATAAATATAGCTAAATATTCCTAGGTTATCGTAGATAGTAGCTATACTTCCTTCTATCTATTCTATTAATTATAGAATTATAAGCCTAGGTATCGTTCTCCGAACGAAATATATTATACTTTAGTAGAAAAGAGTAGAGGGTTATTAAGAAAGTACTTTTTATAGTCTCTCTTCTAGTCTTTCTACTCCTTTTAGTTCTTCCCTATAAATATAGTCGGGTCTTTAGATTTTAGTATATCTAGAGAAGAAGTAGAGTAAATTAGTAACGAAGTAGCCGGGTATATAGTAGATTATTATAACTCTAATAGTAGGTAAACTAATTCCGCCTAAATTAGTATAGGAAGTTATCTACCTACTATCGTTCGGCGTAGTTCTTTAAGAGACTTCTTAAGTTCTCGTCTCTTTATAAGAAGTTTTATATATTCTACCTATTCTTTAAGGGTTTAAATCTCTTAAGCCTAATTTACGATATATTCCTAAAGTTTAGCGATAGTTTATTATAATACCTTATATAGCTCCGCTATAACTCGTTATCTAGCTTTATATTATTAGAAGTTACTTAGCGTATCTACTATTTCTTCGTCTAAAATCTCCGTGATTTAGTCTAATATTTCTACTTCTTAGTTAGAAATAGCTAGGATTAATACTAATTATAGAGGATCTCTATTATTTAATATAGTATTATTTATCTCTATAGTAGATTATATCAACCTTCTCGGTTCTAGTTAGACTATCTTAACTATAGTACTATATAGGGAGTAATTTAAATATAAGAATAGGGTTATTAGATAGTAGTATAGTTAGATAGAATAATAGAGTATATTCTATTATAGAACGAATTACTACCAAACCTTTTTAGTAGAAATCTAAGAGTATATATATAAAGGGACGCCGATCTATCTAGTATATAACTATTTACCGCCCTTTACGTTACCTCCTAACCCTATTAGCTAAGGTACGTATAGATTAGGTTCTATCTAAGGCTAAGTCCTAATAGAATTAATATATCTTAATAATAAGGCTCTACTAAAGAAGCTTTAATTTATTAAGTACTACTATAAGGCTTAGAAATAATAGCTATAACTATCTTAGATTATAGAAGGATAGAGGGCTATAGAGCTATACCCGTTTAATTGCTTAAAAGGGATAAATAGTCCTTTTATATTACCTAATTTAGATAAGTATCTAAGGACTCTATCTCTATCTATATAGTAACGGGATCTAGCTAATATACCTCGTGGCTCTTAAAATATATACTATAGGGTAGAGGTACTCCAATCTAATAGTAAGCTATTAAATAAGACTCGAGATCTACTATTCTTATTAGTATAGTCTATAGAACGGCTAACGGCTAATATTAGATAATTAGAGACGCGTATAGCTAAGCTTAAGGCTTAAAATAATAGTCTAGTCTAAAAGAGAAAATAGAAGAAGGTTAAAATAGACCTTAATAAGTAATTTATAAATATTATATATATAAAGAAGGCTATAGATAAGGAGAAGAAGGAGGTAGTAGTAGAGGTAGTTTAAGCTATTAAACGTGCGGAAAAGCTTAAGGAATTAGGGACTTAATTACTATAGACTAGATAGATAGCCTCTAAGAAGGTATATAAGGCTTATTTTTATAAATTCCCTCTATTTTAAGTATATAGTTATTAATATAGGCGTTTAGAGTCGTACTCAAATCACGTGGTTCATTAGTGGGTTGGCTCATTAGTGGGTACGTCAACTTATATACAAACAAACAAATAACAAGCGGCCGATATTAGCTAGCTAGCCAGTTACATACTCATCTAGCGTTCCGTAATTCTGACGCCTTGCTGCCATTCATAGTACATTCCATCCTACATTCCACTGGCATAATACCTTCCCCAGTACTTACCACGAGGTGCCCAGCTGCGGCTGTGCTTGCCGCTGTCCCGCCGTCCATACCTTCTGTAGTGACATACCTACCTACCTATCTATCCAGCTATTCCATACCGGTCTTCAGGCCGGCAGAGCCTTCCCTACCAAGCTTCAAGCTATTAGTAGCCGCCACTTGCTTCAGCCCCCTTCGGCCTCCTGCGCCACGCCACTCTGTCTCGGTCTGTCTTACCTTTTCGTCACATAATACGACATGCATCATCTTGTCTTAGGTAGATATATTTATATATAAGGTACTACGGCAGGCTTAATCATCACGTGCATCACTTCGTTCGAGCTTGTGAGTCTGTACTGATTCGTGGTTACTAATCCATCGTTTGGCTCGCTGACTACCCGAGTATAGGTGTGCAGTATATATATATAATTAAGGTGTCTAATTTATCTCGTTGGTATGGCTCATTCATCTTCCTTCTCCTCATACATGACATCGGTGATAGGGTGAATTCATGTCGGTGGTTTGTGGCCTTGTAACGAGTGTGAAAATGGGGGACTCTGTTTGGTGTTGATGATGGTTATCATTATTGCTGTTTTTACCCGTAACGCCTTAGCATGCTGACTATCACTATCCGCACTGCACTGACTATCGGCACTGCACCGCAACGCTGCACATCTGCGCCGCCCGGTATATTCCATTCGTCATCTTCGTAGCAAGCTTGCCTTGGAAGCACACAGCCATGTGCTGGGGGCGATACTGTAGGGCTGCGTCGAGAAAAAGATTATTCAACCTTCAGTCACTGCTACCTACCCGGCGCAGCATCAATCAAGCCAGCCAGCCAGGCGTCCGGGTAGGAGGCATTCTCACACATTGCTCTTCCGCTGGCTATATAAGCATCCCGCCCACCGTGTTCTAACAGCCGTCTCTCGATCCATTGGGCAGTCAACGCAACTTCACTACGCCGTGTATTGCCTTCTCGTACTGCTATGGGCAGCGGCGTGCTCGCTCTCTGCAGACAGTGTAAACACAGCACTATGGTGATGGGCGTCTCGTGAGCACACAACAGATTATGTGGTGTGTTGAGGGGGCCGTTTTGATGATGATCTTCACTAGTGTCCATCATTGACGGATGTCCGCATCGTTTGGGGATCATGTTGGATCGAGACTTTTCTATACGATGATGCAGTTCAGATAATAGTTGTGAATCATAGTAATCTATTCATTCTGTGCTAGGTAGCATAGATGTGGTCTAGCCTACATCGGGCTAGTCCTGCCTTACAAGGAACCTGATCCGTCCATGCAGCAGGCCCTCGTCGTCACCACAACAGGCATCCACAAGTCTTTGTATTCCACATACCCGGTAAAAAGCTACTCCCCCCTGCAATCACCTATATATTGTCCTTCTATTCGAACATGGCTTCCAGCAGCTCTTCGCAACAGCCGCTGCTCTAGTACGTCCCAGACCTGCCACACAGACACACCCCCGAATAGGATCCTAACCTCATCACAGTGCATGTATCGCATATGGGACCACGATCCTGACCGAGCACACCACTTCCGCGGCCTCCAATGCCTCCGGCGTGGCACCCATGCTACTGCCGCAGATCAAGAAGCGACCCGACAAGAAGACGGTAGTCTCTGAAGGATTGCATGCCCACTACATCGCGGCCGGCCACGATGAATATCCTGCCAGCGCACGCTCCGCCGGAGGGCTCACCTACGTCGTCGTGACCAGACAGGATCTGCAAAGGCGCATCGCGTTTGGCTTCCTCATCAGCATCCAGAAACGCTTCCTCGCGCAGTACCCTGAGACTACTGACTTCTCCGCATTGCCGGCCTTTGGTGCGGGTGCATTCAATGGGACGCTCAAGAAGCTCATGATCGAGCAAGGCACAACCGAAGAAGGGCAGCAAGATGCAATTAGACAGGCAAAGTCCGAGATCGACGCAGTGAGGAATATCATGACCGAGAACATCGAGCGCGTCTTGGAAAGGGGCGAACGAATCGATCTCCTCGTCGACAAGACGGACAGGCTTGGAGGTAGTGCGACTGACTTTCGTGTCCGCAGTCGTGGGCTCAGGAGGAGGATGTGGTGGAAGAATGTCAAACTCATGGTCTTGCTGGTGCTTGTCGTTATCTTCCTCCTCTACCTCTTCGTCGGCTTCGGTTGTGGGCTACCAGGTGAGCAGTATTGCGCGGGAGATCGTCGCATTCACTAATACTTCACAGGTTGGGGGAGATGCCTTGGACATTGACGAAGATGCATATGAATTTCGCTTCTAGGTGTTTGGCGCTCATGATAGGTGCATTTGCATGGTTGCCCGAAGACTCACAAGATATGCGTGGGTTTAGTTTGATACCCTCACTCTGCACATTAAACAGTTACTCTTCTATGCATTCAATAAATCAGTGTTCATCTTTTATTCGCACTCTTCACCATCATGCCACCACCCATGCCGGTCTCCGTGTCTGCATCTGACAAACGCCACTAGTGGCGCATGGAAAACTTAGGTTCGCAAACGTCACCCTCTCCATTCTCCCAGAACAACGAACCACATCTTGCATTTCGCTCTCCAATTCTACTTTAAGACTGACCCAGAAATCTGCTGGCTCAGTCAAGCGCATCTCTCAAGTCAATTTCCAAAGTTATATGCAATCAGAGCCCCAACAAGCTTCCCAAAACATTCATACCGAACAGCCCACCCCCTCAACCTCCGAAGCCTCACAGCATGGACTCCACCCTGAAGAACTGTCAGCCTTGCATCTCTCCTTGGATGGAGATGATGCAAGAGCCCACCAGGCTTCATCCAGCCACCACGACGACGTCGCAAAGGTCACCAGCGTCGAGGCAGCGCGCGTCGTGGCTTCAGTCGCGCAAGAAGAGACGCGATTGAAGCGTACACCATCACCTCCCAGCAATCGAATCTCTGATTACGAAGCTGAATCTGCTTCTTCAACCCCATTGAGGACATGCAGCGAGGGCCGGTCGTTCGAAGTCGTCAAGAAGCTCTCTGATAGCGTAGATGACAAGTCTTACATTGATAAACTTCCCAATGGTATGATCGTGCCTTTTGCATTCTATGCCCAGTCTGCTAACTCACAGCTCTACAGAGGTCCTGACACATGCAATCTCGCACCTCTCTCCTACCGATCTTTCGGCCGTCGCGCTCGTAAGCCGTCGATTTCATAGTCTAGTGACAACACCGCACGCGTGGAGGGCTGCATTCGGCAGATATTTCCCTGGCGCAGAGGAATTGCGTCAAGAAGTAATCACTTCCTCCAATGGATCAGACATCGTACCGTCGGGCAAGCGCGCTTTCACGAGACTCACTGCTCTCGCGTCGTGGCGAAGCGAATACATTCTCAGGACCCGCCTGCTCAGATCTTTGGCCAGAGGGAAGCCTGTCCGTATCTCCGCTACTCCAGCCAATGCGCGTGCTGGCCAGCAGCAAAATCCCGTACCTATGACAATCTACAACTCGCAATTGTTCACAACGGTCAATCATATGCACGCTGTTTTCGGTACTGGTCTCAACAAGCGAATGCCGCGTTTCATACATGGTGCCGACGAGATTGGGTCCGCGTGTTGCAGTGATCCAACTACCGTCAAAGTCGACCCCTGGGGACTCTCTGACCCAACACCATTCTTTCAGTTTTCCGACGCTTTCCCAGGAGATTCACAATGGGGTCTCGGCGCAGGTGACATAATTGGAGTACCCAACGTCATGGATGTCAGCCAGCCATATGGTATGTTGTATGGAGAAGGGCATCCTGGTTGTTCGGCCTACTTTCGTGCCACGGACGAGCTACGGGGACGTGTTCTTGCTGCGCCTTCGGATGAAGCACAATATGACATTGGTATGCCAGCCGTGCTTGCTAGTCGGGAATGCATTACATCTGTGTGGATCGCCAAATCATCCAACGTGCCTCATCTGAGTGAAGGCCTAGTCGGAATGCTTTGTGGCTTGTCATGCGGTATCATCTCGTCTTACTCGTTGGGTACTGATGGGACACGAGGTCGGCGCTTCTTGAAAGGCGAAACGACTGCACGATGGGTATTGAGCCCTGGAGTCCCCATTATTGCCATAGCTGTCGATGATGACTACTCTATGAAACGCCAAGCCCAAAATAGGATCTGGGCGGTAGCTCTGAACGCCCTGGGCGAGATCTTCTATTTGACCAAATTCCCCAAGCTATCTGGTGAAAAGCGGCGTCCAACCGATCTAGAACGAGCTTCATGGGAACGGGGCAGGACCACGCACTGGATCCTCGTAGAACCTAGTAGGCGGACCGCCCGCGTCAATCCTTACGACGATGCTTCCACAGCTACGGGGAGTTACACGCCTCGGTCTTCGTGGGACGGTGAGTGTCTTTCTGTGGCACAGATACGGGCAGAAACACGTGAAATGGAAGAGTATATGAAGAAGAGGCCGAAAGATTTCCGTCAGGTATGCACTGGCTGGGACATGAGGCGCCGGATAGAGGTTGACTTTGCTGGTGATGACGGGCATTATGCCGGCGAGTCGATTGCGGTTTTCGAATGTGGTCTAGACGAAGATAGCGTCTCAAGCATTCGACGCTTCACTCGCTGTAAGCTGGAGGAGCCGTCGGGCCAGAGAGCTTCATCTCCTTCTCTTACGACTGCGAGCGAGAAGTCATCACAGGAGTCCTCTTTGTTCGGTGGACCCTCGACACCAGACGCCTTTGAGAGACCTCAACGGCCTCGTCGAATCTCGACTCTGTCTCTGAGCAGCTCCCCTGAACGTGGCCACCTCATCGAAGAGTGGCGATTATCAACATTGACATTTGGAGGCTTGAAGTCTGTTCAACTCACAACAAGCGCAATTGACTCTTCAATGCTTGCAACGATGACTCTCTCAGAAGATCCAATATTCGGATTCTCCACCATGTCAAATGCGTCCTCACCATTTGCATCACCGCAATCTATGGCAAGCCAGCCGTCAAATCCGGCCGACGTTCCAGGTCAACGAGCTCGTTTCGTCGCCGCAGGCACTAGCACGGGTATAGTCCTGCTCTGGGATATACGTGCACCTATCTCCAAAAACGTCGAATTTGCGAATACCGTCGATCCGATCCGGATCATCTTCACCGACTCTCCGGAGATATCTTGTTTGGCAATTACAGGTCTGTATATTGTCCACGGTGGAAATGATGGCCTCGTTCAAGCCTGGGACCCACTGGCATCGAGTCCACTACCTGTGCGAACGCTCCACTCGCGACACTCATCTCGAGCACGACGTCGACTGCAACAAGCACAAGCTTCTGTGCAAGGAGTTGGCATCAATTTCTTTGCGGCTGGCGCCATTTGCCTTGACCCAGATCCTACAGTGCTACGAGGCATAGTTTCCATTGGGACATTTCTACACTATTGGAGTTTCAGTTCCTCCGCCGCGGATCAATACAAGGGTAGCAAGCGAAGACTTAGACGCGGTGAAAGAGGCAGCAACAACAGTGGCGCAACTTTCTCTGCTAATCGTGGTGGAAACCTGAAAGGATACATCGCGAACGAGAAGTTTGAGTTGGAACTCGAGCAGCGCAACCAGCGCCGCGAAGCCAATCGCATGGCTGGTCGCTTTGGCCTTGGTCTGCTTGACAACGAAGACGAAGCACTGGCCTATGCAGCTCTGCTATCACAGGAGAGTCTGGAGAACGAGGCAAAGCGGAGACTGAGCGAGAATAGCGTCCAGAGCAACGACACCGTGATAGTACCAAGCTCCTCCGAAACGGCCACAACGCCAGTCAATGACGAGGTCGATCCTGAGATTGCAGAAGCTATTCGCCTGAGCTTGCAGGAGAGCTCTATATCAGAGACCCACCAACCGTACTATTCCTCGCCACCAACCGATTCAAGCTTGGACTCGTTCAGCATCCCGATCAAGTACGCGAAGAACAAAAGATCGCCAAAATCCCGTGCAAAGACGACATTGGCGTCGAACTCGTCGTCGCCGCCAGCTGCTGCTGCGGAAGGGTCTAACAGGGCTGAGCTTGACGATCTGGAGTACGCGATGCAACTGAGTCTTGCGGAGGAGAAGAGTAGACTCGAGTCAGTGGAGCAGAATGACCCCTTTCCCTATCTGTCAGGCGGGAAAGGCAAGGGCAAGATGTAGACTGCGTTTCGGACTAGGTTGTGACGCCTTTTCGGTGGGATTTCATTTGACTTTCTCTTCTAGGTCTCACTTCAAGTTTAATAGCTCTTGTTGATTGTTGTTGTTGTCGTTGTAGACTGCTGCTCAATATATTCATGCTTTTTCCCTGTTGCTGTCTTGAGTGGCTCAGTATGCTATCGTGTGAAGAATTTCTAAGACCGCTAAATCTGTCACTGGAAGTCTGAGTAGAACCGACCCAAAGACACGACATAAGTGTATGATCCCTCATAGAGAGAACGGATCTGAAAAGGGGACGTTGAATATGCTCACTTATACCGCAATCATAGAACACCTCATCATGCACACCCCCAACCGAGCTTCATCCGGACCCACTTAAAAGTTTCAATGTCTCGTGAATTCATGCATGCTTGTCGCATTGCAGATGTATCGTCGAACAATGCTGCGATAATGACTGAGCAACAAATGGAAGAAGATGAGCACCAGATAGTGACCGTGAATAGTCCGGAGCAGCTCGCGAAGCTGCTGCATTTCCAGCAGGACACGGCCGTGGCCTCCCATGGTAAACCTCTAATTCTTGATATGTCAACAAAATTGTACTAAATCAGGGTAGATCTCAAATCTGCAAAGGGATTCCTCCAGACGTGCCTGGCTACAATATCTGAAGCAACGCCGACAGGGAAGAATGTCGATGTTTTCTCGGCATATCTGGAGCGTCAATTCGCTCAATATCAGAGTGGATCGAAGGACGACGCCGATAAGCCGGCTTTCTTACCGGATGTCTTCCAGACGTGGAATCTCGCCGTTACGAACAGCAATGATCGCCTCTTTGCACTGTCCACTCGCGTTCTTCGGCTTATCCTCCAGTGTATCTCCAACTCGTTCGACTTGAGTCGTTTTGGCGCCCCGTTGTGCCGGACTCTCTTGCAGTATGGCAACCTCAAGACGGTGTCGCGTGGGATGTCAAGCGTCAAGCTGAGTGTCAGTTCGCCGTGTCTCCAACTTATGACAGAGCTTGTCACCTTTGATGGAGGTGCGTTTGCGCGACAAGTCTTTCTGAAGCGCGAGTGGACGTTCGACTCAAGTGCTCTGTCGCGCAAGCTTGGCTATGCCAATCGTCGTGGGGAGAATGAGACGTTCGAAAAGGTTCGCGAATCCATTAGATCTGATGCAATCAGATATGTGTTGGCCCACCTGAAGTTTCAGCCTGCGCAGACGCAGATCGAGATCTTGAAGCTGGGTAATGTGGTGCGGCCGATGTTTGACCACCTGATATCGGATACGCATGATATTGCCATGGCGGTACTGGACACGGTTCGGGAGAGTGTGCTCAGGAATAAGGGCATACCGAGGTCTAGTAAGAGCTTTCTGCTTACAGACCGAGTGCTATCGAATGTTGCAAAACTTTACCACACAGAGTCCCACGATACAGAGGATAGTGCAGAGCGAAACGTGCACGATGTTGCACACTCGTTTCTTCTGTTGGCGTGTACATCGGCTCAGAACGGAACGCTATATGACTCTTGGGGCTGGTATTACCGGAAAAGGGAGGATATTGAGACGAGCAACGATCAGGTTTCGTTCCCGCTGATGACAACACCAACTGCCACGTCCCTGCGAGGTCATGAGGTCCATCCGCGCAACACGAAATTGGCCAGTTTTCTCCAGACGCTACGGCCATGGGCGTCAAACCTGGAGCAAGATCTTACACTTGCCATCTTTGAGAGCTGCCCGGAGTTGATGGCCGACTACTTCCTGAAGAAGTCAAGTTTCCAGTTTGACCCGAAACTGACGGCAACGTGGATAGGATATGCGTCGTTCATGTATGCTTCCATATCACTACCGGTGCCGAAATACTTTGGGCGAACCGGTTCGTACGACTCGTCGCCTCCGCAGCTATCAGTCATACTGGAGAATCTTCTACCGTCCGCCCTCAACCAAGCAGTACTTACCCGCTGCCTGAACCAGAGCGTGGAGCTTATCACCTTTTTTGCAGTCCGAATCCTCATCATAGCGCTGGAGAAGCTCGAGACCGTGCTCAAGATGTTTGAAGAGGCATGTCTCGCCAGGAACAAGGCAACCTGGGAGGCCGCTGGCCAGACGTTGGTATATGAATTCTGTCAACGGTGTCCGAAGATGAAAGATGCCGTCGCAGTATTCTTCAAGTCCAAACCTGAACGCCAACTTGAGCGTGAAGCCATCACACGGCTACTGGCGCTCTACTACCGAGTCGTGCCATTGACCGCGCTCGAAGAGAACCTCGACGTCTCGAAGCATCTGACGGAGATACTGAAGGCTGATCCACCGCAAGACCATGGAGCGAAGGAGCTTAAGCTTCTCGAGCTAGGCCATTTGCTGAACTGTGCGAGATGGTCATTGTCCATGAATTGGTTCAAAAAGGGGGAAGGGTCTGACCTGTCCCCATTCACAGCACTGCTGAAGATAGTAGCTGGATCCTCGTCTGAGTCGGACCTACAGAGCTCAAATTCCACCGATCAGATACGTGATATCGTGGCAAGCGTCGCACGGGACAATTATTTCCTGCAGTCTGAGACCGACGTGTCGTCTTGTGAGGCCCTTGTCTTGAGCATAGCCATGTGTCCCGGCCAACGCTTCCTGAGCTTCCTCGACGACTGCATCGCCAGACATGTCAAGCGACCGATCAAATACTGGGACGACTTGGAGACCCTCAAATCGAAAGACAAGACACTTGCCCATGCCAAGGGTCCATTGAGCATGATCTGGATGACCATCTACGAGCAATCCTCGTTCCTACGCGATGCCGATGACATCCTCATCGAGAGAGCCGCCTGGATAGCACGCTTCTCGCTCTGCTGCAAGGCGATAGGAGAGAATGCTACCCTCATCGACGCATCAATGCACCACATCGCCAAGTCCAGCACCAAAACCATGCGCACCACAATCAAAAAGACCCTCAGAGACGCCTCCTCACACGAACGCAGCGCCAAACAAACTCTCATCCAAACCACCCTCTCCACCAAACCCCAACCACCACCACCACCACCACCACCACAAACCGCCCCCGAACCCTCCGAACCCCCTCCAACCAAAACCCCAAAAGTCAACTTCACCTTCCCGCCCCCCTACGACCAAGACCACCCAGCCCTTACCCGCGCCCCACACAAAGACATCGAAGCCCTCATCGCCGACGCCGACCTCCCCGCCCTAATCCTCTACCTCTCCTCCCCCGACCTGCACATCCGCATCCAAGCCCACACCCTCCTCTCATCCATCACCTCCGCCCTGCCCCACTCCCCCTACCAAGAACGCACCCAACTCGCCCTCCTCCTCGGCGAACTCCTCGAAACCGCCAATTCATTCCATACTCTCCACTCCTCTTCTTCTTCTTCTTCAACCCCCTCAACCCCTTCAACCCCCGCCCTCAAATCCATCCCGGCCCTCCCCTTCACAGCAACCCAATTCGCCGCCCACGCCCTCCCCATCCTCGCCGACCCAACACACCCCCTTTACCCCAAACTAAACTCCTTCCTCAACCGCGAACCAGCATGGCACATCCCCCGCCTCCCATCCTACTGGCTCCGCTCCGCCGTCCTCAACATCCCTTCCTCTTCCTCCAACAACAACGTAGACGACTACGACCCCCACCGCGAAATAACCTGGGTGCTCGACTACCTTATCGACGCACTTGCCTCGACGGCAGATCTGAGACTGTGTTTTCGCAAGGGGGTGTTTGAGAGGGTTTGTGCGTTGTATGGTGGGGCGAAGGCGAAGGCGAACGGGTCGGCGACGGCGGGGGTGGGGGTAAAGGGGAAGGTGTTGAGGTTGTTGTGGAGGGCGACGGGGCTGGAGGGGGGGAGTGATTTGTTGGTTACGAGGTATGCGGTGTTGGGGTGGGTGAGGGGGATGAGGGCGGGGGATGGTGATGGGTTTGAAGGGGCGTTGGGGGAGTTGGAGGAGAGGATTGTGGCGACGTGTAGTCGGGAGAGGATCGGGGAGTGGAGTCATGGGACGGTTGTTGTTGGGGCGGCGGGTGTGGGTGTGGGTGAGGAGATGGATGTGGATTAGTTAGTTGGTTGAGGGAATGTAGGGTAGGATGTGTGTATTATGTTTGGATAATGCTTATTATCAATCGCTCGAGACTTGTATTTGATACATTTGTTTGATTGTTCTCACTCCTAGACTATGATATCTCCAAGCAGGGACAAGCAAGTGTACTCTCACATCCCAGCCCATTCAATACAGAAAGTACGCACGTCTACCGCATCATCGGGCTGTGTTGATGTCTCGGACTGTGGCTCCCGACCTCCTACAAGGTAGCCCTTCTTCACCGCCGTGCCTAGCCGACCACCTCCAACGAGATCGAGCAGGTTGAACTCTTCGTCCCAGTCCTTGCCGACTGCTAGGAAATGACTGTGATACCGGAGCGGGTCGCCAGGGTACACACAGTACTTGCACCCGAAACGGAGCCCGGGAGTCATAAAGTAGCCCTTCTTGTAGAGGTGGGAGAAAAGTGGATAAGAGCTGCCGACCGCCGGGAGAGGCAGCGAGGATTCGGCATGCATTGGTAAAGGTGGGTGCGATGTCATAGGTGTAATGTGCCATTGATCGACCTTTTTAAGCAGGTCGAGCTCAGGCTTTGCATTGACAGGAGTAGACGGGGCGCCAGAGAACAGAGACACATCGTCGTCTGTCTCCGTGGGAGCACCTTGAGAAGACTCCGTGGCAGAAGCAATGCTACTAGGCTCTTCGTCGACACCGAGATGCAGAAGATCACCTGACGCAGGCTTGTCCTTCGCCTTACCTTTCTTCTCTCGCTCCCTTTTGAAGTGCTCTTCCCTCTTCTTGTCTGCTTGGCGCTTACCAGCTAAAGAAAGCTCACGGCCCTGTGTCGCGAGGATACTTTTGAACACTCTCTGCTCTTCAGCACTCATCCCCCAGATGCCTTCTCGATGCGCTAGTGCATCGTCTACGAGGTACGCAACGCCCTTTTCAACAAGAACTCTGGCTTCTTCAGGCATGAGCTCGAGAGGCACACCGAGGAAGACATTTTGTTGCGATACGTGGGGTATGGTACCAATCAGTACACCACAGACGTTGTGCTCACGCCGCAGATATGCGATAGTCGGTGTATCGAAGAGAAGATATCGACCTTGCACAACCGAGATCGGTATCGGCGTAGTCACGTCGGCCATGTCGGCGGACCAGTCTGGTGAAGCACTGATTAGCTAAATGCTACAACACGCTTCACATGCATGCTTCGAAATGTAGTCCCTTGGTTGCTTTCATATAACGGATCTCTTGTTGTGTTATGTAGTCATCAAAGTCGAAACTCAGTGGATTGACAGATTATAACGGTTGATAATCATGCTGAGGGGGAAGTTACAGTGTATGAAGAGAGTAGTTAGCTTACTGTTCTATAGGTTACTGGCTGTTTTGACAGGTCCAGAGCGCATAAATTCATGGCGGTTGGCGATCCATGTTGGACCGTTGGAGAGGTGTTGTGGGATTACAAAAAAGCTCGGAGGTCGTAGAAATTCTTTAATCGGTATGACTAAGCGGGCGCTCATACTGCTATCGGAGATGTCTTGGCAACTGTGGACTACATAGTCCATGCCGATATCTGGCTTTCAACAAATTGACGCCAAGGCAGTCGCTGTGTAGTGATGAACTTCTGGCTAGGCTTCGGCCTCATCCTACTGCTTCCTATCACCGCATTCTTTGGTCAGTTAGATTCAACTGCTGTAGTACGATCCTTTGACACCTTTCAGCATTCCTGATCCTTTCATCTTGCATGGGCGACAGATTCCGAGCACGTGTTCAAGCACGTCTATCCCCTCTATCGGCTGTGTCATACCCAGGGCAAGCATCATTCGGTCGAACGTATGCCAGATCGATGATGTCTGGGGCTGCTCCGGCGGGATGGGAGCAGATCGAAATGGAGGACATGATGAGTGATATTCGCGATTCAGGGGACGACGAAAGATGATGCTTGAGACATGATCCTCAATCACGCAGATTTTGCATATTGTTACATTTTACAGCTTTACAAGCCACCGATTAAGCTATGCTCTTGCAGACAGTCACACACCAGAAACGCCTCTGTATGCATATGCCGCATTCGTACCAAGGTCAATTCACATACCATTCCTGTTCCCCAGAATAACATTGATCAAGCCTTCCCTCGTCTCGCCGACCTTAGTGGCTAAGTTCAGAATCGCCGCTTCAAAGGCTTGGAAAGTCATGCCAAGATCTTTCAGTCCGTCATGCTTGGCCGGTGTTTGGCCCATGCCAGAAGCGCCGCGATCTCTTAGCTCCGTGAGCTCCCGTGCCTTTTGCATAGTGCTAGCCTCGACTGTATGCAAGTGTGACTCGATTTCCTCCAGGTGTGCCTGATGTTGCGTGATGGCCTCCGATAAACCAGCTTGCTTCGACTCGAAGTAAGAGGCCATATCGACGGCCGAAGAGATGTCTTGATCAGCCAGCGAGGATCTCGGAAGGGACGTCCCGAAGCCAGAATTTCCGGGGTAGTGGAACTGGGATGGTAATTTCAATTGCTCAATAGCCATAAAGGAGAGCCTGGCTTCTTCTGCATCCCGCTTCACGCTCAACTTCACATTGTGAATATCATTTGCATCGTTGTCGAGAGCAGTCTCCACCGCGTTGAGTCGACTCGAGAGATATTCGACATCTGGCGCTACGCTCGCAATCTTCTCTTGCATGGAGGGGAGGAAAACGCTGATCTGAGTGTGGTACTGTAGCTGTTGCTGGATGAAGTTCTCCATTTGTACTATTTCATTCTTGAGAGATTCGTGGAGGTCGGAGAACCGAGTGCTTGGCCTGAGATTGGAAAGATCAATCGTCACCCCCGGAACAGTATTCGTCGATGCGCCCGCGTTTTGCTGCTGTGCATTGTTTTGGCCGCCGAATAGCGAGGATCCGGTAGCCTGAGCTGGTTGTGTAGAACCAAATAGAGTAGGCTTTGATTGGGCTTGTGTCGTGCTTGAAGCACCGCTTTGCCACATGGTCAGATGAAGACTTACGCCGATCAGATCAAAGAACTTACAACAACGACGGGGTTGCCGGCTTGTTTTGATTGTTTAAGCCCCCGAAAAGCCCACCGCTTTGTTGCCCCTGCGTCTGGGTACCTCCACCAAGCGTCGTTCCACCAAACAAGGATGAGCTTGCTTGTGGTTGGCTCTGTGCCGTATTGTTTCCGCCAAAAAGTCCACCCGTGGTGCCTGTAGCTTGAGATTGACCGAAAAGACCGCTTCCTGCAGTTGCAGTATTTTGCGTTTGTGGAGCTTGTGTACTGGCGGCATTACCGAAAAGGCCTCCGCTCTGAGGCGCAGAAGACGTGGTCTGTCCAAAAAGTCCACTGCTCTGAGGTTGTGACGTTGTATTACCAAATAATCCACCTGTACTGGGTGCCTTTGTCGAAGCACCGAACAGTCCGCCGGTTTGAGGTTGCGTAGTAGCTGCCGGAGCTCCAAAGAGTCCGCTAGTTTGCGCAGTGTTTGTCGTCGAACCGAAGAGAGAGTTGCCTCGCTGGGGTTGTGCGGCAGCGCCAGAATTACTATTCATACGGTCAGCGTCACCGAATAGAAGACATCGACACTCAGATCAAGGGAGGATGCAAGCCAGGTAGGCCTGCTACGCGGTTGCAACTGTGCGCGCCCGCGCGCAAACATCGAAATATGGACGCACAACAAGGAGTTTGTTTGGCTTGTGTTTATGCTGAGGGAGTTTGACCTGCCGAAGCCCGACATTTTGAGTCTTGACGTCCACCACGAACTAGCTGTGGTGATGTCGCGCGGTGTATAGCGTAGTCGCGGCTACGGAAACGTCCAGGGCGAGCCGGCTAGAGCTGGCAGAGAGTTTGTTCTTCGGATCTTATAGCGCGGGATTCGTTATTGAGAGACGGTGTATAGGCTTTCGTTGTGGATAGTCTCGAGTGTCAACATTTGTTGCGGCAGACAGCTTCGGCGTGAAGTTCGTTTTGGCCCGACGCGCCATCAGCCAATCAAAGAGCTACATCAGCTCCGGCATCCATAGCTACCTCTAAACATTCAACCTTCGGCTCCACCCTCTCATTTTGCTCACGCAATCACTGTGACACTATTCCTCCATAGACCTTGGCTTGAGAATCAACATGGAGGACGAAGATGACTTTTACGGCACAGGAGAGGGAGGGCAAGACGCCAATGCGCACGAGACACCGGCGGATGAAGGTGACGATGTAAAAGACGAGAAAATGGACGAGGAGCTTGAGGAAGGCGAAGAGGAAGAGTCAGACGATTCGGTACGTGCTGCGGTCTTCGTATCATGCCGTCGCTAACTCACAGCTGCAGGACATCGACATCATAACAGAGCGCAAAGATAATGCCGAACCTGCACCGTAAGTCGCCCTTGCGCTCACTCTAGTCGCGCAACAACAATGGAGGCTTGCATTTCTACGTACTGAAGGATGGTTGTAGTCCACGGAATCAATATCAGTCAATTAAACAGGATCCACGGCCGTCGTCAACAGACGTGGCTTCAAGAGGCGGACAGCAATCGACAGCTAGCAGAATATCTACGGCGCCAACACCGGTAGCGTCGCAAAAGCTGCGAGATGGCTCAAAGTTTCCTGAGGTACATACCTCGACTGTGAATGTCGAAGCAGATCCTATGTATGAGCCTGCTGGAAAGCCTATATCGCAGGTTGACCTTGATGCGGGTAAGTCCTTCTCTATGGTACACGTATATGAAGTTACGCCGACTCACATACGTTCTGTGCAGACATGGCCGAGCATACGAAGCCATGGCGTCTTCCAGGCAGTGACCAAAGCGATTACTTCAATTATGGCTTCGACGAATTCACATGGGCGTCCTACGTCATCCGACAGCAAACTATGGCGAACCAACTTGTCAGCCAAAAAGCAGAAACTGCGCAATTCCAACAGATGTTTGGGGGTGGTATGCCTGGCATGCCAGTGCCCCCGGCAGCACCTGCTGCTCCCCAAGGAGGGGGCGGAGGACCGCCTGCGGGCATGCCGGGAATGCCCAGCGAACAAGAGATGATGCAAATGGCACAGATGATGATGGCGAGCGGGCAGGACCCTAGCTCAATGGACTTTGGCACATTCATGCAGCAATTTGGCGGCGGCGGTGGTGGTCAAGGCCAAGGCCAAGCTCAGGGCAATTATGGAAACCAGAATTACCAAAACCAAGGCTCAGGACAGAACGCTGGCGGTGGTGGCGGCAATTTTGGAGGCGGTAGAGGGAGTCGAAGAGGGGGTAGATGGAACTGAAGGTCTCCATAACTGCATGGGAGGCGTTGGGAGGTTGTCACAAATATGCCAGGTTTGACACGGTATGTAAAAGTAATCGAGACACTATGAGCAGCTCCGGATACCCCATTGATGTACATGGTTTGAGGGGGACTCGCTACGAGCCTCCACAAGGCTTGATATACACGATTAACATGCTGCACCGAAGAAACCGTTCATATGTTCCACTTCATACGCCCCTGTACAACTATCATATAGTCTTATCGGTGGTTACTCGTTCAAGCATGCCCATGACGAGGATTCAGCTTTTATATGATCCGGTCTGGCTAAATTTAGCAGGATTTAGAGATCTTCATGAATCGCCCACACCCCGAACATCGAACTTGGAAGGCTGCATGTTGGCCCCAGCCGGCTGATGAACTGAACCTATCCACGGCCAGTATCATTGGTGCAAGACACCAGTTTACTGCGTTTTCGTACGCATCGATTGGAGGTTCAGTCACATAGCATGCCATTCTTTGCGTCTTATGCCTCCCAGGTAAGTGGCGCTATACTGCAGACCTCCAAGTGATCAAGTACGGATGCAATCCCGAGACCATGGGTCGCGCTGTGTACTTCACGCAGAGTATGCCCATATATGTTACGTGAATCGACCCTCGAAAGCAAATTCCGCGACGAGCCATGGCGTACGACGAGACGACTTTGCTGGCTATTGGCATAATACTGCCTCTCATCGCACTTGGTCTTCGATTCCATGTCCGCCTCAAAGTCCGTCCTCAGCCTCTCGGCTGGGACGACTGGCTGGCTCTTATTGCAGGAGCTCTCTTGCTTGAAGTGCAAATTCATCATTTCATTGGTCCAGCCCCGACTGCTTATGAGCGATGTTTATTTAGTGCTAATGCGGTTGTAGGGATATATCTGGGCTTGAATGGACACCAGGGCGCAGAGGCCGACCCAACGCATTGGGGGGACCGTGGACGGATGAACTCTAAAGTAAATAAATTACTTGCGTTCACTTTGTACAGATCTTGACTTGCTCACATGCATGCATGCCAGTTGACGTATATCGTCGTCGTGATGGAAAAAGCCCATGTACGGGAGCCATCAAGCTCAGCGAGCTCTTCTTCTTCTTCCGCCGCGTCTTCCCCATTTCGCACATTTCGCAAGATCACCGATGTATTCATTGTCTTGACAGCGTTGTGGGCTCTCGTGTACACGTTTCTCGAAATCTTCCAGTGTGGTACGCACGTCACAGCGCAGTGGACAGCGCCGGAGCTCTGTTCCAGCCGCTACGGTCTGAAGGATCACCCTTCGGTACTGTTGTCGTTTGCCATTACTGACGTTATAAGTGACGTTGCGATTTTGGTATTGCCATTTCCTATCATGAGAAGGTTACATCGGCGCCCTAGAGAGCGTTGGGGCATAGCCGGTATCTTTGCCCTTGGCTGGATGTAAGTGTTGGCCGTGAGCGAGAGGTGGTGATCCCGACTGATCAACATGCACACAGCTCAGCAGCAGCCGGTGCTGTACGCCTCTACTATGTGGTCCATGCTACAAAAAGTCAGTGAAACATCTACAGATACAAGGATTTCCAATCTAACATAACGGACAGTCGACCAAGATGCGCTCAGAGCCGAAAGTAAGTCAAGTCTACTTCACACAAGTCGTTAACAAAATCCTCTACGCCGTGAGCTAACAAACCCAGACCCAATCCCAGTATATATGCCCCCTTCGACCTGGACATTCACCGAACTCTGCGTCGGAATCACGGCCGCGAATCTGCCCCCCTTGGCCCCGTTGATTCGTAAAGCACCGTCGGCAGCAGCGAAGGCCAAAATGTCCATCTCGTCCAGCTGGCTGTCGATCAGGAGTACGCGGAACGGGTCGACGACAGTGCCGGTATCTGTCAAAGAAGTTGTCGATGAAACGCACGTCCACACCCTGGATCAGTATCGAATAACCCAGTGTCGGCGTCCGATCGATGGACACGACAGCCAGATTGGACCACTTCAAGTGCCCGAGTCGCTGGTGCTGGCTGGTTCTGATACAGGCGAGGTGTATAGAGCAAGCTCGCCGAGACGCTATCATTCTGAAATGGTGCGAGTGAGATTGTCGTTGGGGTAATAGCTGAAACAACGACTACGTGCGGATTTTACGCGCAGCTCCATATGCTTGCTCCAGTCAGGGATATATGATTGACCTCATGGCCGACCAAAATTATGCAGGACCACACTCTTGAACGTCTAATCTGCCATACAGCAGTATCACTAAAAGCTCGACCGCGGATGACCACGCCAGACGGACAGTAGGCCACAGCTACTTCTCAAGTCCGTGCGACAGGGTGCAGTGAGAAGGAACAGTCGCTCAACTTAACTCAAGCCCTGGAGAGACTGGAGTTCCCGCCTAGCCTGCGAATAGGGGCACACTGCTCATCCACCGCGCGGAGAACAGACGAAGCTGAACTCCACCATGCCATTCGTCTATTCCTATATCTTCGCTGGTCTATCGCAGACCGCTCCAACAGCCTTGCCGACATTAGCTTGCAAGCTAAAAGTCTCAACATGCGCACTAACAAAACGGTATGGCCCCCGGCCCATTCCATAAACCTCAAATATGATAATAGACATTGGACTGCGTGTTTGGATGACACAACTGGGTCCATAAGTTAGTCAATGAAGAGAATGGGGCAGTATGAGTAGGGACAGCAGGGACAGTAAGGTTAGTATCAGGGGTAAAAGAAGATACGTGGAAAAAGTTGTAGATTTGGGGGAAATACGACACGGCTCGGGCGCCGGAGGGGGTCTTGCTTGTCCGGAGGGGACGAGGAAGAGGGAGGAGAAGGAGGATGGAAAAGGGGAGTTTGGGCGAGGGGAGAGGGGAGAGGGGAGATGGGAGATATAAAGGGGTAGATTAGGGCGTCCAAGGGGGGTGGGAGTGTAAGAGGGCAGGCAGATAGTAGTAGGAGGACTCACTACTAGCAGGACGTCCATTTTGCTCTATTATAGAATAGAAATCAACCTTTTCTTTTTTTTTAAATAGAGTTAGTGGACTTTATACCTAAAGCTGTATTCTGAATATATATGACCATATATATAAAACTAGACATATACATACTAATATACTTATACATACTAGCTAGCTAGCTAGTACATACATCTTCTGTAGATACATGATTAAGTTCTGTGTATGATATGGGATTCTGGTGAAATACGCACTGCAGCTACACTGGGATACATCCAAGAGTTACCATCTTATGGAGAAATAGTAGCATTTATCTACGGTACAGACCACAAAATCAGGACACTACCCTAATGAGAACCACCCAAGAACACTAACAACAATCAAGGCCTGAAATTTAATCACGAGCGTGCTTCATAAGGTACAAATCTAGATCAAGCACTATGTATATTGTGTAAATATGATATCCGATTTTAACATTTTTATCTAGTTGCTATTTGAGATCATGTGAGCGGTGATACAAGCTTGCGGTATCAAAATATGGCATGAGAACCAAGACAAAAGAAAAACTCAGAATGACTCTCATCTACCACCAGATACCACGCATGCCACTTACAACCGTGGGCGCTCAGGAGAGGTGCGCGGCAGGTCGAAGCGGTCGAGATTCATGACCTTTGTCCAGGCGGCGACAAAGTCCTTCTTGAATTGCTCGTTGGCATCTGACGAAGCATAGACCTCAGCAAGAGCACGTAGCTCGGGTTGGTGTCCGAAAATGAGATCAGCGCGGGTCCCGCTCCACTTCTTCTGTCCTGACTTGCGGTCTACACCCTCAAACAGCTCGTGGTCGTCGCTAGATGGCTTCCACTCAGTGCTCATGTCGAGAAGCTCCTTGAAGAAGTCGTTGCTCAATTGACCAGGAGTCTTCGTCCAGACACCATGGGCGGATCCGTCAAAGTTCTGGTTGAGAGTTCGGAGGCCACCAATCAGGACGGTAAGCTCCGGCGCGGAAAGAGTGAGGAGCTGAGCACGGTCGACCAAGAACTGTTCGGTGCGTACTCTGCGTGTAGACTTGCCGTAGTTACGGAAGCCATCGGCAAATGGCTCGAGGTGCTTGAAGGACTCGACATCAGTCTGCTCTTGGGTAGCATCGTTACGACCAGGTGTGAATGGGACTGGCACGCCAGATGCCTTCTCCAGAGCAGCAGCTCCGGCCAGAACGATGAGGTCTGCGAGTGAGACCTTCTTTCCGAATTTCTGTTGCACGCTGGAAAGTGCATTGAGGACTTCGTTGACAACTGGAGGGTTGTTGACCTTCCAGTCCTTCTGGGGAGATAGGCGGATACGAGCACCGTTGGCACCACCACGCTTGTCGCTGCCACGGAACGAAGATGCCGCAGCCCATGCAGTAGAGATGAATTTGCCGTTGTCGATGCCAGTGGCCAAGATTTCCTTCTTCAAAGAAGCGATTTCACTGTCATTGATGACTGGGAAGTCGACTTCAGGGATGGGATCCTCCCAGATGAGCACCTCCTTGGGGATCTCAGGTCCCACCCAGCGCGAGCGAGGACCCATGTCACGGTGTAGCAGCTTGAACCACGCACGTGTGAATGCATCAGCGAGCTGGTCGGGGTTCTCGAGGAAGCGGCGAGAAATCTTCTCGTACGCAGGGTCGAAGCGGAGGGACAAGTCAGTGGTCAACATGGTAGGCTTCAGCTTCTTGTTGGAGTCATAGGCGTGAGGGATGATCAAGTCATCCGTCTTGGCTACCCATTGGTTGGCACCAGCAGGGCTCTTGGTGAGCTCCCACTCGTACTTGAAGAGATATTCGAGGTACTTGTTGCTCCACTTGACGGGGGTTGAAGTCCAAGTAACCTCGAGGCCACTGGTGATGGTGTCGGGACCCTTTCCGGAGCCGTGCTTGTTGATCCAACCAAATCCTTGGTTGTGAATGTCGGCACCCTGGGGCTCCTTGCCAATGTTATCTGAGGGCGCAGCACCATGAGTCTTACCGAACGTGTGACCACCAGCAATAAGGGCAACGGTCTCCTCGTCGTTCATGGCCATACGACCAAAGGTGGTACGGATGTCACGAGCAGCAGCAACGGGGTCTGGGACGCCATCGGGACCTTCTGGGTTGACGTAGATCAAGCCCATGTGAGCAGCGGAAATGGGTTCTTCGAGGTCACGGCTGTGGATATCGGAATGATTCTTCTTGGACTGGTCTCCATCAACAACACCAGAGCCTGAACCCTCGTTCGAAACACCGACGTTACCGTCAGAGTATCGCACATCGTTTCCAAGCCATGTAGTCTCGCCACCCCAATATACTGATTCGTCGGCCTCGTATACGTCAGGTCGACCACCGGCGAAACCGAAAGTCTTCAGGCCCATAGACTCGATAGCGACGTTTCCGGTGAGGAGGAATAGATCAGCCCAAGATAGCTTGTTGCCGTACTTGAGCTTGACAGGTAGCAGTAGGCGGCGGGCCTTGTCGAGGGAGACATTGTCAGGCCAGCTGTTCAGAGGAGCGAAACGCTGCTGGCCATGACCGCCACCTCCACGTCCGTCAAAGACACGGTACGTACCAGCGCTGTGCCATGCCATACGGACAAACAGACCACCGTAGTGGCCGAAGTCGGCAGGCCACCAGTCTTGAGAATTGGTCATGACTCCATGGAGATCTTTCTTTAGCTCGTTGTAGTCGATGCCCTTGAAGGCAGCAGGATAGTCAAAGTCCTGACCGAGTGGGTTCGTAGTGCTTGTGTGTTGACGTAGGATGTTGAGTCTGAGCTCGTTTGGCCACCAGTCAGTGTTGCGTTGACCGCCACCGCCGACGTTGGCGTGCTTGACAGGACATTCAGCCATGATTGCGTTTGATGTAGTGAATGATCGGTGTAGAAGCTGTCTTGACGAGCAGTAAGAAGTGCGAGAAGATAGGCGATTGCGGAGGAGAGGGAGGGATAGACGCATTAGATGGAGGAGAAGGAGGGGCGAAGGCCGAGTCGGAGGGATGATGGTATATGAAGGAAGCGGAGCTGGCGCTAGGGTGGGTAATTGGCGACAGCTCATTCGAGGCGTGGGAGCATTATGAATTCGTAAGAGGTCAGGTCTGGATCGCAACAGCTGCAGCATCGAAGAACAGAGTGAGATTTGAGCAAGTACTGGGTAGCTTCTATACCGAGTGTGTGTAGTTTGACTACTGGGTAACTGCCCCTACAGTTCCACTGCCCCGCCTTTTGCTCGACAGTTCTCTTACCGTAAGCGGTAATAGTGCAGCTTTAGTGCATCTTTAGTGCAGTCCCGTACCCGCACTGTAATGGCGGGTCTCTCATGCATAACTTGCGCCAAGCAGTCAATCAGCCAATCATAGCACCGCCATTACTTTAGTGCATCGCGTCTTCGGTCGCTTCACATGCGGAACACAAGCCGAGCTGTCGTCATCGCTGTCCAGTTACCCTGCGTGAAGCTGCGCAGATTTCAGACTATAATGCGCAGTTTATAGACCACGCTCGCCACGAACTACACTATAAACCTGGACCCTGACCATGGAACCTGCCAGCATCATCCGATCGATACACGTGATGCCAGGCTCGAGACACGTGACTACTACGCTACACCTTCCGCTTGTGGCATCCTGCGGCTACGCACGCTTACCCTATAAGGTAGTCAGTTATGATGCTTAGTAATTCTTACTTCGGCTGCCTATCTAGGTAGGCACGAACGTTGACCCTTTTCTATCGTTAACACAATCGCTTTTCACGTGTTCTAGGAAAATGTATGAAGTATCCAAGATGAATATAGAGGAGATACCAAAGACATATAAAGCTTATAGACGAAAGGGTGATCATAGTACCTCAACAAGCCGTGTCATAGTTTCATATTTTGTCCAAGTTCTTCGGTTTCGTAGCTGAACAGTGTTGTGTGCATCTCAACAAGTCCTGCGCTCACTTTTAATTCGCAAACATAGTTCACCTTTTCAGGGTGACTCGACTCACTCTCTATCCACTTCCATCCTCCGTTCAATCCAATTCTCAGTCTGTTCGTCATCACTCAAATACACAGCTTCACATCATGCTTGGCCATCGAAGGACACCCCGTCGCCTCAAGAGCATAGTCCCTCCAGGTGATGCTTCATTGCCAACTGACACCACACCGTACCATACTAACTTCATCTTCCAGGATACACTCCTCCTTTCAGCAAGTGTTCAGAGGATCCAGAGGACAACGTCAACACTGACAACCCAAGTGACGAAGCAATGACTGATGTACCACCCGAACCAATGCTAGCAGAAGAAGGGGAGATGAAGACCACGCAGGCAGAGACAGACGCCGCACGAGGAGAAGTACCACAAACAACAAAACACATCTTCCAAAAACGCAGCTGCTTATCACGCATAGCCCACTCTTCTCGACATCCTCACAGAAACCCACGCCACCGTCACTAAGCTCCAGCACGAGATCAACGAACTCCAGAACATGCCGCCCTACGGCTTCTTCCGCATCGAGCAGTTCCTGATTGAAAAGTCTGCTGCCCGAATCAACCTTCGTATACTAACAGAGAACCTCGCAATCCAGATCGGCCGCATCGAGGCTTTACCGCACGACCAGCCACTCCCACCCGAAGTGCAACTTCAGCTGCTGAAGACAAAGGACGAAAAGGCCCAGCTGGCCGTCGAGAAGGTCAAGGCGGAGGCTGACGAGCTCCGGACAGAACTCGATGAGAGCAAGGTCAACTATCAGCAGGTTATAGATTATCTCGGGAACACCGGGACGGAGAATTATACGCTCCGGAAGAACCTGAAGACGAGTGAGGCGCATCTCAAGAGGGTTACTGCTTTGTATGAAGAGAATCTTGGATGATCATCATGCCATATACGGCTATGGGCATTGGGATACTAGGCTTGATCTTAGGGAGAAGTATGCGTTGTAAACTATCAAGCTGATGAAACGATACGTCGCGAAAGATTCACACTCAATTACATGCTTACACCTCCTTCCGGTGGTATTTCTCCTTTAGCTCGCCCCTACCGTATCAAACGACCCGGACCATGTCCTTTTCTAACTCAATTCTACGTCATCCATTGCTATCTGGTCCTCGTCTTTCCATCTGAGGTAGAAGAATAAGATCATTAGTCGGATAGTCAGGTGTGCAATAGTGAATTCCATATGGCGAGCAGTCGCTTACCACGACTTCAAATTGAAACCCCTTCAGAAGCTGCATGGTCAAATACACTGGAACGGGCGCCAGACTGACTTGTTGATATATAGTTGTCTGTAGTACTACTTCATAAGGAAGCGTCGTGAGGTGAGAGTTCGTATACCGTTTTTGGATTTGACCTCACTTGCGCGAGTCACAAGTGAATACAAAGGGTAAATTTCGGGCAGACACAGCTCTCTTCTGTGTTTATGTCCACAGCTCGTGCGATAGTGAACTAGTAGATATGCTGTGTCTAGGCCTAGTTCACTTCAGGGGCTGTTCGATGTGCTTCGCTTGGTTCATGTGTTGCCTATCAAGTGAATCCATACGCTTTCTGACGCTGTCACTTGAACAACTATGGGTATAAGTACTCTCCCATCTCCACAGTTGGCTCACCTCGTCTCCACCTCTTTCTCTCTCTCTCCTTCTTACTCTTTTACTCTCTTACTTACTTACTCTGGCTATCACGCTCACTCTCCCTCTCCTCCCCTCTCTCTCTCAATCATGAGCTCTAGAAACGTAGCTCTGATGCATGGTAAGAAACAACCCAATGCCTACACTACTATATATCAACTAACTTCCATAGCTTCAGCTGCGAATAGTGGCAAGCAAAATGCCCTGTCTTCCAACAGCAGTGAAGAAGTTTCTCCAGCCGATAGTAAAGCAGTAAGGGATCGTAAAGAGGTAAGTGTGATCGCACAGCCATTTCTCGGAGTTCACCTTTAATTTTCTCGGCAGCCTAGCTTTTTCGAGGTTTCCATGCTTGCCGAAGATGAGATTGCAACGTTGAGGCATGAAAATGAGGTTCTCGAAAATAGGCTCTCCGGGTTGACGGAGAGACATTTACTAGAGAACCCATTAGCAGGCGAGTTCACGGCCCTAAAGACTGAGATTGGAACCCTCAAGCATCAGGTCTCCGGCCTGAAAGACGAACTCTTGTCAAGGACTCTGCTACTAAGCGAACTTGCAGCCCTGAAGCTTAGAAATGGAACTCTTGAGCTCAAGCTACTTGAGTCGAGTGGCAATCTGTCCGCTGTGACTCAAGCGCTGACTGCAGAGAATAAGGATCTCATGGATCAGGTCTCCAAGCTGAGAGACAACCTCTCTGCAGCGAAATACTCCGGAGACCAGATGTATAAAGCTCATAGGACCTTTCGTGACAAGGTTCTGACTGCCGTCGTTGATATACTATGCTACCAGCATAGTTGTCTGGAGACCATCGAGCAGCTGCGGGCCAAGGGTAGAAAGGTCTCCGACACTGAGGAAAGGGCCTTCACGGAGCGCTTGGAGCAGTGTTTCGAGCCATACGAATGGTTTGCAGCTTCAGAGACCGCTGAAGACCAAGCTGTATCCGCCAGGAGTAGCGGTCTTTAGAGTCTCCCAACTTGTCGAGTCCAACACATCGTCTTTATTGTCACTCTAAAGTTCTAATTCCGGTTGTATCTTCTGCGCCTTCTATTCATATGGATATCCATCTAGGATTTTCATCTCATAGAAGAAAGGAGGAAACCCTTACACATGACAATTGAATCATTCAAGATGAGCAGTCCATTCCACTCACACAAAGACGAGAGCCGTAGTTTCTGTAATTAACATAACAAAAAGTCTCCCATCACGCTCTCAAGAAGTGCTTCATTGACAATTTTGTACCTGCGACCGTCTTCGCTCGAACCCATATAGCCCATATAGAACTAACGAATTAACCAAAGCTCACCATATACAAGCCCATGTTATCCCAACTTTGGAGTGAGCTGTCAAGCAGGATTATTAAGAAACCCTCCTCGCTAACCTGCCCGTTCTGCACTCTGACTTCATACATCCGAATCGAACCTACGAAACCCGCCGTGAGGACTCTACCGGAGGGAGCACTATCTGTCCTCACTACGAACGTACAGAGAGTGCGCGGTCCACCACTCCTCACAGCGCTGAATTACGCTTTGTTTCAATTGCATGCGTGGCACCACAAATATGGTTTTTTGTTTCGGAGAAGAGTGGATCATGGTTATGCGCTAGCTATATCTATCCCCTCAAGACAAGCACAGTTTCGCTAGTATGCCGAAAGTAAGGAATACGGCCGACGCGTATGGCCCGCCTCGATGAAGATACTAGCTTGAGGTGATAAAATGAGCTGGCAGGATTCGGCGTATATTTGCATGTAATCAGAGCGGACAGCTGCACAGTTGTCCGGTGACATTCGCACACGACATTTCACGGTGTCAGGGAGGCACAGCTCAGCAAGAGTAGCGACAGACAATGACAAGCCGTATGATTGCGAACTGCTCCATGAATGTACAACAACAACATAATAATAATAATACACAGTCCTACACCTCCTCCAAATCCCCGCCTTCATCTTCATCTTCAACTTCATCTCCATCATCCTCATCAATTCCAACCACCCCATAATCAGCCTTCGGCGGCCTCGCAGGCAGGCCCTCGTCGTCCGCTCCATCCAGCATCAACCGCTCCGCGCTATAATCCGGTACGACCACCCAATCATCCTCACCCTCGTCTCCGAAACAAAAAAGGTCCTTCGCACTCCCGGCGACAAGAACACGGCGCTTATTCGGGGGATCGGGCTCGCAGCCACCAACGTCCTGACGGAAGGACCGCGCGTAGGGACTGATGCCGTCCAGGAACTCGCTCGCTGTCAGCTTGGCCCCGGCGAAGGAGAGAATGGGAAGGGCGGAAAGCACGGGGTAGTCTGCGTTGAGAGGAAGGATGGAGTGTAGAGGGTGGCTGAGCGGGACGAGGGTGGACTCGGGAGAGGATTGTGGTGGTTTTATGGTCGTCCGGACATCGTCTTCGAGGATATCGCCGTCTTGGGGGTCTGACACTCGAGCAGGGTCGGTCTTCTTTGCCTCCTCCTTCTTGTCCTCTGCATATTCTTCAGGGGTGTTCGAAAGCTCATCATGCTTTATTGCCAGGGCTTCGTCGGCTGCGATTCCAGGGTATAGCATGAAATACCCACGTGCCCGCATGAATTCCACCGCGTACCCAAACCAAGCTGGGTATTGCTGCGAGACCGTCCCATCCAGCCCCTTTTTCCGCTGTTGCTGCGCTGCTATCCTGTAGCCAAGGAATGAATGAAATTCCCGAAACTTGCTGCCGAGAAATAAAGACGCACTTTCGCTCGGCGCCTGCCATAAGAATGGGATATTGGGGGTGTGAGCTTCCTTCTTGTACTCGGCATGCATGTCGTCAATCGTCGGGGGTATAAACTCTGCAGATCCGTTCAGGTAGGTTTTTGGGAAATCCAGGCTAAATCCAAAGAGATGCTCCGGGGCGTCCGAGCCCAATGAATGCAAATAATTCAATAGTACATATCGGGTATAATGATAAAACAAGGGTGATAGTTGTAGCTGCGGCGTGAGGGTTAGAACGTGAGAGGACCCTTGTTCGACTGGGAATGATGACTCGAGAAATTGTATTGCAGCGCGCTCTGGCGAGATCTTCTCATCCATGATTCGATGTCGCACGATCAACTGACTATTCTCTAGAGCGCTCTCTGATGACGGAGAACCAAACGGCCGAGGTGGCCACTTCCATTTCTCTAGGAAAGCGACTGTAGCAGGATCAACCTCTACCGGGAGATCTACGATTAGGCGCGGAGGCTTCATACCCGCATAGTCAGCCGTGTTTAGTGATTTCAATAGTCGAAGTAGTGAGCCTGACGAGGCAGGAGTAACATGAACTATGATATCGACCGACGGTTGGTGGAAAGCTGCCAATGCAGCACCGTCAAGACGCGTGAGCCACATCATTCTTTCCGCACCGCCCTTGGGAATCTCGATAATGGTCGTGGAAATCTCTTTGGCTTTTGTTCGTGTACCTCTTGCAAATGTAGGATCTTCAGCCTTCAGGTCATCAGTAATGACGACCTTGGGCCGTATGAACTGATCGATGTGCCCGAGAGCCACAGCGGCAGCAGACTCGGCACGTGTGTCTGAGCTATATAGCGCATAGTCAGGTCGCGCATCGTGCCAGAAGACCTCACACGAACTCTGGTCCACGCCGTTGAGGGTCAATATATGATCCAGAGACACATCATCTCGGCCATTCATGGCGAAATGAACATAACTTTTACCCATCCTTGCCATTTCACATGCCATTGGAATGAGCGCCGACATGCTCTTCAAGTTTGCCGCTGAAAACAGTACAGTATCCATACCTAACCGGAATTCAGCCTTGTCCGCAACAGCGCGTAGACTTTTGGCTAGTCGAAAGAACCTGATCCGTCCATTGTAGGTATGATCCACAGCTCCGGTATCTTTACCAAGGTCGTATAACTCCTTGGACGGAGGGCCCGTTGGCTCTATCGCTTCATCAACCTTCTGTGACTCTGTTGCAGGAGAGTTATGAGGCATCGTAGGAGAGTCATGAGGCGGATCGTTAGTCACCTCCTCTGAAATGGAGTCTTCGGGTGTGGTCTCCGACAAGTCAGGCGTGGTCTCCGACAAGTCAGGCGTGAAACTAGAGAAGACGAAGAACAATAGGCCTAATACGAATATGACGGCAACGATTCTCTTCTTTCGGTATCTCAGCCTTGCGAGCCAGCTTGAGCCACCCGCGGCAGGCTTCCATGGCTTGTGGCTGTCGTCCTTGACTCCCAGCTCTTCGTCACGCCAGGCTCTGGCACCTCCGAGACCCAATGTTGCGCTCGCGGTGGCGCCATCGCCTTCCCTGGTGAACGTCCTGTGGCGTCCGCGTCCTAACATACCCGGACTATCATCGTGGTTGCAAGTTTCTGACACGAGAGGTGTGCGGTAATCGGGGTTGTACGGGGTTGGGGTGGGTCAAGAGAGCATGTCTCGGCGCGGCGTTGGCAATGCGACTGAAGGAAGCTTTGTATATTTCCTGGTAGGTGCTACAGCTGTACAAGGCGCTGTAGATGCGGTATAACAGACGTATGCAATGGTCAGGCAGTATCACACGTGTAACAAGCTCTGCTCTTCGTGTCCTCCGCAGCTCTGTTGGCTTACCGTCTTCTCCGACGTTCAGCCGCTACAAATGAATTGCTTGGCCAACTTTTGCTCCATCCATTCAGCTTCTGACTGTGACATGCATATTCTTGTATCATTCTTCGCCTTCGGCTCGATATCATGATCCCGTCTTTGTCAACGATGTCTTCCTTCGACTCAGCATTTTCTACAATCACGTTTCGTAGCTCTAGCCCTGCATAACACAACCCTCGGAGCTGGAATGCCAGCTAATGAGAGGACTAGTAAACCATTCACGATTATGAATAGCGTATGTTTACCTTGAAGTTGATTGCTGTACTCGTCGTCAGAAATGAATTCACTAGTGCAATCAACGCGCCGAGACTCAAACCTGGATCAGAATATGATACCAGACTTCGTACTATGCGCTAGTTCTGGATAGTCATCTAGCCTGGTATCTGATCTGGCAAGCAGGTACGCTTCAGGGTACTGTTGCTCTTGCTTAGGCCCCTGAAAGGCTTGACACGCGCGAAGCGTGTTGTTCGCTACAAGTGTGCGATTGAACAAGCTATGAATTGTGGTGTTCCAGGTGATAGTCCGAAATTGGAACGGGATTTCCTTCAGCCCCTCTCCGTCTTGAGGAAGTCTTGGACCCACTCCATACCAACCCAGTCCTGATCGATTCCTCTGAATGATAATACGGGTCAGTATGACTTATTGTTACGTTCTGGCTGAGCCCAAGCACACACTGGGCTCTGTGACGTCGATATATACCATAAACTCATGTCATGCCAAAAAGTGATGGTGTTTGTGTATCTAGCTGACGGACTAAGTTGGATCATGTTTCAATCAAACAAATCATTCATTTCAAACGATAGCTTGTTACCAGTGACAAAAACTGATCAGGAGCAAGACTGGGTGCAAAGGTAATTATGCTGATGACTGAAGCGAACAGCTCAACATTGGAAGCTAAAGAGCCCATTTCCCTAGACGGGAATATTTTAGCCTCGTTGTCGATCTCCCGCATCAACAAAGAAGCAAGAGTCAAATGCAGAGTCCAAGATATAGCCCGTGTATACGGATCTTGCCTGTTCTTCCTATATATCTCTCGTCGCTGCTGCAATACTGATGACGATAGTGACTGAGGCAAAGCTTTGCCCTTTGTTGGCTAGGTTACCCTCTATCTAGAAACTGTGGGACTGGTAAGTTGAGCACACTGTTACATAAACAACAAAGAACAGCCCAGATGAGTACTCATGATTGATATGTCCAACAGTTGCATTATTTACACTGAATATATTAGGTTATGGGCAGCCTCACCGACATCCATTGATACTACCAAGTTCAAGTACATACCAGGTAGACGCTCTGCGTACGTCATTTTCTTGGCACTACCGACTACTGACCTAGCTCAGAAATGGTTTCAAGAGCCACGAGTTCCAGGCCGGAACTTCTTGCATCCCCGTAGGCGTTCCGTGATTCCTTGTTCAATCATGATGGAATTTCCAGCAACAACTGACAAAGTTCTCCGGATGAGTTATCGTATTGCAAGAGGAGAGCAAGGCGTTCTGACATTTGAACCTTATAAATCTGCTATTCTGCCATTGTGGCGCTTCAAGACTCCTGCGATAGCCCGGAAGAGTTCTGCTGACCTTTGGGAGCGGTTCGAAGAATATGGAAGACACAATGATTTCGTTGGGATGGATATGAGCCGGAAATTCATTCAGATGGTAGTCGTGGAATATGAACATCAAGTCCTAAGACTGACGTAGCTCACAGGGCATGACAAGAGCCAAGCGATATGCGAATCATGCGGGAGGACGGAAGTATGACAAGACCTCTGGCAAGGAGCTAGAGAAATCCTCTTCCCACGCAGGCGCCAAAGATAAGCTCGAAGCGTCCAATATCTTTAGAGAGTACTGGGAGAAGTGCAAGGCGCATGAGCACTATGCTACCCTAAAGCAGGATTTTCAAGAAGAGCAGAAGCAGTGGGACAAGACGAAACGCCACGAAGAAGACGGCTGAGCGTCTGGCTTCAAGCAACGCCAGGTACCGGTGTCCTCCACCTTGGCTATATTCAGACGTAGGGTGTCGCCTAGGAATGCATCTTATTCGGTCAGTTGCGATCACGACATAGGCCAAAATCACGTACAGCTGTGGAGAAAGCAATCCACTCTTTCAGGCCTTTAAAGTATGCGTCTTCGGTCTCGGATGGCGCAGAGTCGTGGCCCCATACCGTTACGCTGTCGAAAGCTGCAAGCTCTTCTGCTATCTTGATATCTTCCGGTATCTCCTCTTCATCGCTGTCCGGAGCGCTGTCCGCTGGTGGAGGATGCAACCTCTTCTCTGTGATCTGCAGAACGCTGCCACGGAAGCCCTCAGGAAGAGCCACGTCGGTACCACGAAGTTCGCGACCCCGAAAATATGCGCTCTTAGAGCCGTCTTCGAATAATATCAGTATATAGAGCCTGCTTTGGCCGGTGAGATGCTCACCATGCGTCTCCACTGGCTTCCAATATCTTTGCTTCGCCTCGATTGGCCCGTCGTACTTGATCTGGCAAGGTAGCACGTTGGCTGAGCATTTTTCGGGCTTCTGGCTGGAAGGTTTTATTGCCAACATGCTCGTTACCGGGAAGTTGAGAGATAGTTGTAAGCTATATTGCGCCAGGCTCGCGAGATCTGAGGTAGACGCGTCGCGCGTCAAGGCGCAGGAGATGACATAAGATAAGATAAGATATCCTCGGGAAAAGCTCGGGTAGAACTTGGACCTTTCCAAACCCGTCAAGCCATAAACTGCAAGAAAATTTCCTCAACGCAGCATTAAAAAAACAAGCATCGTTCTACGAATTTATCCCTCATGGGTCATTATGTACGCGATCAACGCTTCTGCGAAGCTGCAAAACGGCAGAGTAAAAGTAGCACCTCAATCTTGACAGACAGCGGATACCAATTTCCACCCGAAGTTCAGCGATGCCCCGCTTTCAGAAAAGAATGATCCGGTCTGGATCCTCCCAAATTAGACTGAAGCGGAGTCTTTTGTATAGACGACAACGACCAACCACTATCGTTATAGGCGCAGCCATAGTGTGCTAATGTGCTGGTACACAACCGCATTGCCTTCTGTCTCGACATAATACGCTCCTCTTGTCCTCGCATTGACGTGAGGCACAGACAGAGAGAGCTGACCAATTTCATCAGTGACTCCTTTTCCCACGCACTCCAGAACCCTGTACTATGTACATTTTCAATGATGTCAGCGTCATTGAACAGCCATAAGCGGCAAAGCGTGCGGTTTGCGGGCTCGGACGACTCCATCGAAAAGCGGCATTGCTCCAACACAACTGTTGGAATACAGCCAGTCCTGAGTTGATGAAGGGCAAACGCAAGGACTTGATGCAGGTAGTGGTGAGGTTCAGAGGTACCGACAATCGGCATCATCTTCCGGCTGCGGCGCATCCGAATGTACTAGCGGTGCCCACCAATTGACACACTGCCTACGTATCTACAGCAGTATTAGCTACTCCTACAATTTCACCCATCCACTTTGCGTCATATCAGTCTTTCTGGCTCCTCTTCCCCAACTTCACGATTGCACCTTGTACCTTCGCTGCTTTGCCCATTCTTTCGTTATATCTCCTAGGTCATAATCACGTGCAATGGCTGTGTTTACGCCTTTGTTAGAAGGTCTCAATGCTATCAAGGGCCGCGCGGGCTCGCTAACATGGGGTCCGTTTGTGCATCTGGCGCGCTCTGCTGTATTGTCGATTCTGCAGCGCATTGAGATTGGCCATCTCGAGATAACAGAATCAAATGGAGTAAAGACTGTCTGTGGCAACCTGCTGGTCAAGCATGCCTCTCCAACTGTCACTCTTCAGGTCCATAACGAAATGTTTTGGATTCGCGTCTTGCTATTCGCAGACATGGTATGTGGAGAAAACTCCGGTCGCATGAAGCTTGTGCGCTGATCCTCACAGGGCTTTGCCGAGAGTTACATGTTGGAAGAAATCTCATGTATAGACCTGACATCCTTCTTTAAGGTAAACATTCTTGTTATGATGCCCACGCCTCACTCACGTGTTAGTAGCTTTTTATCCTTAATCGCACACATCTGTCTAATGGCTCGACCATCACTTCGAACATCAGTGGATCAATCAGTGGACTGGTTCGCAAGACAAACACCCTAACAAATGCTCGACTTCATATTTCAGCTCATTATGATATTAGCAATGACATGTTCGCAGCTTTCTTATCACCAGATATGACATATTCTTGTCCGATATGGCTTCCCAAGTCATCGCCATTGTCTGCTACAGAGTCCCTGGAAGAAGCGCAGATGAGAAAACTGCATCACTTTATTGAGTCCGCTCACTTGAAGGAGTCGGACCATGTGCTAGAGATCGGCACAGGGTGGGGTAGTCTCGCGATCGAGGCTGTCAGAGCGACTGGTTGTCGTATTACCAGTCTTACTCTGAGCAAAGAGCAGAAGGAACTAGCGGAAGAGCGAATTGCTCAAGCTGGCTTTCAAGACAAGATCGACGTGCTCTTATGTGACTATCGTGATGTGCAACCTCCAGCCAAAGGGGCATTTGACAAAGTCGTCAGTATAGAAATGCTCGAGGCCGTTGGGAAGGAATTTCTTGAGACGTACTTCAGCTGTGTCAATCGGTTGTTGAAGAAAGAAGGTGGCATTGGTGTCTTCCAATGCATAACAATGCCAGAAACGGTAAGTTTAGGCAATCTGTTCCTCGAAGTACACTAATCTTTCCAGCGCTACGACGCGTACGCCTCGTCTGACGACTTCATTCGACGCTATATCTTCCCAGGAGGCCATTTACCAACAGTTTCCCAACTCGTTAATGCCATCAACACTGGCTCGAACAAAACCCTGATCGTAGACGACGTTCTCAACATTGGGCCCCACTACGCGAAAACACTACGACTGTGGCGAGAAGCATTTCTGGATAACTTCGATGCCGATATACGACCGGCTTTACTGCGACAACACGACGGTATGACAAAACAGGAAATCGAGACCTTCCGCAGAAAGTGGGAATACTATTTTACCTATTGTGAAGCTGGATTCTGGACCAAAACGCTTGGAGACGTAATTATCACCGTCGGTAGAGAAGGAACTATGGAGATGGCTGAAGATGTGCCCATGTAATCAGAAGGTGACGTCTTAGGGCACTTCAATGCGATCTCGGGTTGCGTTTATGGTTGAGTCGATTAGCGGGCGCTACATAATCCTTTCAATATACTGATTCGTCTTACATTAGATGAGGAAATGCCGGAACTACCTATCTGGATTTGTTTGAACACGTAACAAGGCGTATTACATGAAGCCCAACAGCCGGTCGGCAGAGATCAGTGTCTATAGGTCCTGGCCGTTCGAACATACCACGCGAGCACGCCCAGGCGAGCATATCAAGAACGCCACACCGAATTGTACCCCAGCCCGTTGGCCTTATTTACAATCCTATCATCTTGCATTTCCCCCTTGAAGACTATTAAGCAGCTGATTGCTGGTGGTAGATGCACTGCGCTTCGTCTATAACCACCTAAACTTTTAAAAGACTTGAAAAGACGGGGAAATGGCGGAACATAGCCCTTATGTTCACCCCGACGATTGAACTTCTAGTTACACCTAGCCAAATATCAAGTCAACATGCACGTCATCCATTCATGTTGATGCTATCTATGTAGCAATCATTAAATGATAAACCTTTATCAAGCAACTGCCGAAATAAGGAAAATGCAATGCATTTTAGCCTAACTAGGTAGCTGTAACCAGATATCGACATATACAATCCGAACCCTAATCCACGCATTAAAATAACTACGAAGACGGTATAATCTTAATCTAATTAGTTTGATTAATTATATTAGATTTACTAAACTAGAGTATATATCCAAGTATAGCTAGGGGACTTACAAGCCGATGGCACCTTATGTGGCGCTCTAAGCCCCCTTGCTTTCAGGCGTGTAGTCTGATCGCCCCTTGCTATTTTGAAAACGGACAAAGTTATCTCTACAGAAGGTCTGGAGTGCAGTCCCCTGCCAGAGCATCCCACAGAGGCCGGAAGCACTTTTCAGCTGAACGAAGCCAGCTTCCTCTGATTTAGCACCATGCTTCACCGTAGGAAAGTCTCCTAGCACTATGAGACTACCTTTCATCATACTTATCTCTCCTTGGTTATATAGCTCCTTACAGCACGTGAAATCGCCCTACATTTATCATTCATCCTGCCTTCGCACAATTTCCATGTGATGTCTCCTAAACAGTCCTTACCCACACCAGCCATCTGCAGACAGACCGAAGAAATTCGGCATGCCAGCGACGCTGGTGCAAATACTTGGTTTCTGCATCTATCCCTCGAGTTACGATAGATGGTTTACCAATCTGCGTTCAAGCAATTACCCTCATGTCTCAATCTAATCATGAGAAGCAACCGAAACCGCGAATCGACTGTACGGTCTCAGGGGCGCCAGGCCGTCTTATGGCAAAGGGGACTTGGACCTGCAAGCAAATTTATGTCCTTCGGCAAGCAGGTAGATGGGGATATCTGTCCACGCATCTACGGTCGACCCATGAATATATGCATCTACCATGCATCAACTCAACAATTCGTCGAGCAGATAGGCTCCCATGCTCAATTCTTACGACAGTTCAAAGTTGACCTCGCTGAGAATAGCGCTCCACTACACAAACCACGCACTCCAACCTTCTTAACCCTTCCTTGCGATGTCGCTCTCAAGTGCGTAACAATATACATCGGCTCTGCGAACCTGAGCTCGAAGTTGGGCTATGATTACACAGATCACAAGAGTTTTCGGTCAGAGTCGGCAAAAGTTTGGCTCCATCTTGCAGGTCACTGGATGGTTGAATACGGGTGACAGCAGGACGATAGTCTGGCGAGTCTCAAGATATTCCCCTTTCTCCATCGTCACAGCTGCGATGAACCAGCAACAGCTAAGAGTATCATATTGACCAGGTTTACGAGAGCCTTGGGGGTCTATCTGGAGGAGAACGTATAGCTTCCAGGCGAATGTCTGGTGCTCGATGTCATAAAGATGGACGAAGAGATGTGCTATCGTAGAACCTTCCGCTGTAGAATGAATACTATGTATCTATACGCTACAATTAGAAGAAGCTTCGCAAAAGTCCTTCTCCAGCGCGTTAGCAAAACATGGAGAGACACTTCGACTGCCCCATGGGTTCAGCGGTCTGCTGCTCACCCTTTGGAACCAAAAGATTGTGGTTAAATTACCGATATGACATATATGTGTGGCATATGAATGCTACGTACGGCAGATACCCCGAGTTCTATCATCAATTTAGGATAGCCATATTTCTTAAGTCATGACAAAGTATGTGAAGCAAGGAGGGCAATGTAAAATAGAAATTGGCATTCTCTCTTGTATCTAACTTCCTAAACTTCCAGGAAAAAGCCTAGACGAGGGCCTGGATAGCATATACGCCCTGAGGCACGATAGTGGTTATCTTTCGAGGTCAACTATAGGATTAGTAAAATAGCGGAGATGCATCGAGCTTCCTCGAATGACTTACTGTGAGCCAAAATTGTACTAGCATTTCGAACAAATACCACCGTGGACAATGCTGGTCCCAAATGAATGATTGTCGATAAATCCCCGGCACTCAGAGGTGCCAGCATTTTTGCAAGGGACGATGACCGTTAACTCAATAAAGTGTTTTGGATTGTTCGTACAGTTTAAGAATTTGCGTTTATGAAATTGACGCTCGCACATGTTGCAGATGCCAGGTATGATTTGTTTAAAAATTGCTTTAATACTTTCGCTCGGGGTACTAGACATTTCAGCTTCATATAGGGCTCGTATGTGAACAGGGGTAGGCAGGCAGCAGTGACATGACTAGACAGGCAGCAGTGACATGACTAGGCAGAAGCCGAATAGTGTAATAATAAGCGCTGCCAAGGTTGGCTTTAGCTCAACACATCCGTGCATTCGGGGCGGAGCGCTATTTTTCCGACACAACAGCCCCTACTGTCATAATCCATGTGCGAGCGAAAGTTGTGCCTCAACGAAAGGTCACCCTACTCAAAGAGCTGGCCAACAATCCGGAAAACCTGAAGCTTACAATGGATCCTTACGAGTTCTGGCCCTGGTATCCAGAGGGTGTCAGTCGTATAATTGCAGCTGGTGCCAGTAATTATATCGCAATCGTGGACGAAAGCACCGTTCTTAAATTTCCTATCGTGCCTCCCCAGGAAGAAGACGTCTACACGATCGGTGGCCTTAACTATCGAAGACAGCTTCGAGAGGCAGCGGTCAAGGGCCTAGAAGTTGAAGAGCGGATACTACAGCACCTTGGGCCACATCCTAGAGTAATTCGCCTCATACAGAGACACAGGGATGGTCTCCTTCTCGAAAATATGGCAAATGGATCTGTACAGAAGTACCTCCAAGAGAATGATTCCAAAACATCACTGTACCAGAAATTGGAGTGGGCATGGCAGGCTGCGGAGGGTCTTGCTTATATTCATGAGAGAAATGTTTTACATTGCGACTTCAGCATCGGAAACCTTCTTCTTGACAGTAACCTAATGGTTAAGCTTTGCGACTTCCAAGGAAAGCTTCTAGATAGTGATGGCTCGATTATCCTCGATGGAGGAGCCGCTGTAAACACTATATCATCAATGCCTCGCCCAGACTATAATATCTGCAACCAAAAGTCGGACATATTCGCATTAGGGACGGCTATATATATTATGATTACCGGTCAGTCACCCTTTCCGGGACTAGATCCTATAGATGATGAGCACGAGATCCAAAGACGATTTAGAGAGAGCGACTTTCCTCCTTTAAAGACTCTTTATGTAGGAGACATCGTACGAAAATGCTGGATGCAACAATATGCACAAGCTACTGAGATTATGGACGATATACGTCGGTTACAGGGCTACGAGGCTGAGAGGTTGGAGAATCGTGAAACTCGTTCAAAGTAATGCGACCCGGTCAGTATTTTGATCGCCTCCGTCTGCTGCATGAAAGGAGATAAATTACATCTTGGCGATGGTACGACTCAACTCGTAGTATCTGCTAGGATTTTTGAATTGCTCATGAAAGAGCTGTCATGTGACGTGAGACTCTTGGAATAGAGAAGTGTATAATAGCAAGCGTTGATTACGTAGTAGTCGCAGTAGTTCATCGATAGCCATTGTACCATCAAGTACTGCGGACGTTAAACTTGTAGATGTCATCAGTCGGCTAGGATTACATGAGTGTAAATTTTCGCGACACCTGAAGTCGATCCGATGTTTGGACAAGGAGTGGTATCTCGAGAAGGTTTTTGGGCCTGTCAAGAGTGCTTACATATGGTAGCTGTGCGCCGTAGCGCAAAACAAAAGAACCTACTACGCTAGTAAAATGAATGTCCAACTAGATGGTAGGTTTCTTCGATAGTTTCTTACGAACGCAAAGTAGTGGTTTGGAAGAAGAGCATGCCAATCAACAAGCGGCGATCGTTCCAGGACATTCGCTGAGCTTAACCGAGTCTTCAAAGAATAGTCACAGCCAACGTTCAAGCCATAACTCCATATCCTTCGACAAGCCAATCGATACTTAGCTTGTGGACGCGATGAGCGGGCAGGAAGACCTTTCGATCACGAACAAATCTCTCGTTTTCACGAGTGATCTTGGTGTTTTGCAGAAGTTAGATCAGAGCGGCCTCCATTTACAGTGGCCTGCCATCGGCGATAATTATCAATGATTGGGCCAGCCTCGATGGATCATACAATCCTAATCTAGGCCCTTGGATTGTATCCGATTGTATATGCTCACGTCTGGCTGTAACTATTATAAGTTGCCTTAGGCACTCGATGATACATCATTGGTATCCACTCTCTTGGCGCCCCTCTTATGTATTGACAGCTTGAAATCTTCGAAGCTTGGAAACTTCGTATCGTTCGTATTACTTCAAGTTGTCGAGGCATCAAGAATCTTGTTTGCTTGATTGATTGATTTTATCGAAGAGTCAATCACAGTGTGCACGATCTAAAGTTCAATACTACTAAGCAAGGTCACTAGGCTCTGAAGAATGTCTATAGGCGTGGCTATTATTGGGAGTGGTATGTAGCTCTATTCTTTACGTTGCATTCTCATACATAAAAATTAGGCATCAACAACGGAAGATCTTAGTACCTCCTCAGAAAATACCCCGAACTATTGCATAGCTGACATATCAATAACTGCAGGCATCTTCGTGAAGGAGGAGCACCTCGTAAGTCTTTAGACATGAACCTGATCATACGTTTTCTGCCTCTCCCCTCTAACCACAACTATACAGCCAGCAGTCAATTCAACCCCCTCCCTCTCCCTCAAAGCCGTATTCTCCCGCTCCCTCAAGTCCGCCGCCTCGTTAGACATCCAAGATCCAGGTGTGGACCTCTACAGCGAAGACGCCGGCGAAGGAAAAGCCTACGCAGACCTCCTCGCCCGCAAAGACGTCAGCGCCGTCATCATTGCCCTCCCCATCGTCGCCCAGCCCGACTTCGTCAAACAGGCCCTCACCGCCGGTAAACACGTGCTCGCCGAGAAGCCCATCGCGAAGGACGTGCAAACGGCTGAAGCCCTGATTGCGCATTCCGAGGGCTGTAGAAGCGGCGCGACGCTGAGTATTGCGGAGAACTTCAGGTTTCTGGAGAGTCTTAACTATGCGGCTGAGGCGGTGCGGGGAATGGGTGAGGTTACGGGGTTCAGTGTGCGGAAGCATGGATTTGTGAAGCCTGGGACGAAGTACTTTGGTATGTATTCTTCCAGAGAAGATTAGAGGTGTGGGTAGTGTGGGTGCTGATATGGTGCAGAGACGGCGTGGCGGAAGACACCGGATTACCAGGGGGGCTTTCTGCTTGATGGTGGCGTACATACCGTTGCTGCTATTAGGCTGTTGCTTCAGCCGGAGAACCAACCGATGAGTGTTTCGGCGTTTAGTAGTTTGCTGCAGCCGCATCTACCGCCTATTGATTCTGTCGATGCGGTCTGGAGAACGGGGAAAGGCAAGCATGGCGTCTTTTCGATGTCGTTTGGGACAATGTCCAAGGCGAGCGAGACAGTGATTGTGACAGAGCAAGGCACGGTATCGGTCACCATCGGAGCTGTAACTGTCGCGTCTGGAGATGATAAGAGGACAGTCGAGTTCACGCATGAGGGAAATGGTGTGAAGCAGGAGATGAAGGTATGGGCGGAAGGAATGCTGTCAGGGAAGCAAGATTCGAGGCTTTCTGCTTACGAAGCATTGAAGGATCTGCAGGTGGTAAGTATCATGGTAATCCTGCCTCGTGATTCTTGAAGCTGACAATCGTGAAGCTAGAGGCAATGTTTCGAAGTGGGGAGAATGACGGCACTCCTGTGAAGATCCAGATATGATGTGATGATGCTATAGTAGTAGAGACTTTCCTTGTAAAACGTAAAGCTCTTTTACTACGTATAACTGATTAGATATTTAGCAAGTGAGATTACAAAGCATGCGTCCCTATCTCTGCGAACCTGAATCTTCCTGTGGATACAGAGAACATTGGTCGTAAATCTTAACTTCAAGGAAGCTTGAAGGGTCAGGGCATGCTATAGTGGTCCTGGATGTAGCTGGTCGCATAGAGATTTCAAGCCAAAGTCATAGCAACAGTCAAAGCGACGAGCATGCCACTGACCAGACCCGCACGGGTCTGTACACCTGCACCCGTTTCCGTTGGAACACTGCCGGTGCCAGTCCTTGACGCAGGAGTACCCATAGCACCACTCTCAGAAGTCGCCGTCGCCATCGTACCGGTAGGCGCACCCGCCTGTGTCGCATCGGCCAGCTTCTCCAAGCCAGCAGTGATCGTCACAGGTACAGAGATGTACCCGTATTCATCAGTCTCCGAGAGCGTATATGTTTCGGTCGAGCTGCCGGGAAAGTTTGCCTCCGAGCCTGCGGCGCTCTCGGCGCAGACCGCAAGCGTCTCGCTAACGGTACAGGTAGCCGCATAGGTGAAGTCTGGCTCGGCGGTTGCGAGGCTGGTGATCCAGGTGTTCTGGTTCTGGTTCACGACGTGGACGGGAGGGCGGAAGCCGCAGTCGCTGCCGTCGACGTCGGACGGACATGTCATCTCGAAGGTCGTGGCGGTGGCATCTGCCGATACCACTGATGCGACAAGGGATTGCACATCTCCGGCGGCGAAGAAGAACGAGGTGACGGAAGTGGACTGCGCCAAAGCAGTGCCGATTAGGCTGCTCAGAAGAAGAGTGGAAACCATTATTGCAATGTGTGGTTAGAATAGACTGGTATAGCCTGAGTATGGATGAGAGCTCTGTTCGAGGTGATGTCAAGAATGGAAAGGTAAAGAGTGACTGTGCCTTCGATTGGCGTTGACAATAGTCCAAGACGTTCCGTTCTGTATACGCGCTCGAGCTAAAGTCAATACGCGCCGGCCGATAATTAGGGGGAGGCGGCCCCCAATTTAGACATTCATTTACTGCACGTGGCCTCGGCCGAAGATCATGATCGTAAACTCTGCTCGTAGAAGGACATCAGACGTCTATATTGCTGATGGTTTCGTTCGTTCAAGAATCACTTTTACAAGAGGTTCGAAGTCGACGGTCTGAATGCTTCCAAAAGGGCCGATGTTCGGCGCACGGAGATATTTGAATTACTTTAGAAACAACAGGGGAACGATGATCAACAAGCATAGAACCTTGCAGATCTGGCGAGCACAGAGCCATCTCCACATTTGTCGATCTCGGAAACTCGATTACATGCAGGGATCCCCAGTCAGACCTGGGTGAGTACATACCTACGCTGCCAATGTCAGATAATTATAATACATCCTTATTGTCAAGGGTTTCATTGTAGGAATCCGCAGCTCATCATGCCAGGCCTCCATACAAGAAACATTCGATATCAAGGGGGTAAATATAACACTTCTGCTTCCGCCCAGTGGTGTAGTATGCGTGACAGTGCCAGTCGCATGCGACAAAGTGCGATGTATTCCCACGCACATGGTGCTGTACGACATGTGACGGATATCATCTGGAAGAAGTAAGGTCCTCAAATATCATTGCAACAGTCGCCTCGACATAGGCTCCTCGTCAGTACAAAGACCCATATTCCATTCACCATTGCGATCACTCCAAACTCCCCATCAATCTCTCCAACTCCACGCCCTCCACCCTCACCAACACCTTGTCGTCACACATCTTATCAGCCCTCCCCCACCCAATAGCCACAATCTGCGTCCCATACCCCGGCTGCTCAAACCCAGGCTCAATCGGTCCCACCTTAGCCTCGAATTCCTTCACCACCTTGTACACCGTATATTTAGCCCAGAGAATGTCTGGGCTGAGACTGCGCATGCGGTAAGGGGTGCCAAAGGGAGCAAAGTAGACGCGATCCTCGTTGCCAAAGCGGTCAAATGTACGTTCCTGGTTGGATCTTGGTAATGCCGGCGATTGGAGTCTTGCTGTTGTTGGTTTGTGTGCAGACGAAGCCTCCTTGCGGGTCGTTGGGCCAGTTCCAGGAGCCGGATTGTCCCTAGGTATGGTTATTCTAAAAGTAGTGTGATTGTAACATTCCTCTCAGGCCACGCAGTAGATCTATCTCAGCGAGAAATTTCAAAATCGAAGCACAGGTCAAGGGATGCAGCTTTTGAGCTTGCATCTGGAAAACTTGGACGTACATTTGTCTGCCAATCCTTCAAGAACTCTTCCGGAGAGCGGCCACCCAGGCGATTATAGCCATGGAGTAGTGGCTTGAACCTGACATCAACCTTCTTTGGACCAAGGTCACCATTCTTCCAATCCATATAATTCTCACTGTCCATCTTGATTTTGGTGCTGTGGCTGTCGGCGTAGAGAGTGAGATAACAGAGGCGATTGGGATGTATGGCCGTTCCACAGTGAATCAACTATCTCCTATAAGGGGACATGCGATTACTGTCTTGCTCACTTTCACCGCTAAACTGACAGCTGAAATCGTCAGAAGCAAGAGCTGAAGCTGGACGTAAGAACTAATAAAGCATCCTCTATCGACGCCACGAACGCCACGGACGCCACGCGAGCTGCCAAACATTTGGACCCCTACAACTATGCTTGAAGAAGATGCATCGTTCCAGCGAAGTCTCACCGCATCACATTGTAGATCTTACGTTGTCAGCTTGAGCACCATTTCAGTAGCGAGTGCTATAGAAAGCGCGGAAGGGTGGAAAAGTCAGCACTCGTTGCAGAATATGATTGTTTTCACTACAGCCAAACAAGCAGGCATTCTGCTATCGAGATATTATCGCGGTTCGTCATGTCAAGACAACAACACCGCCGCTCATTTCTTTCGTTTCTTCTTTTTCTTGTTTCTTATTCTCTGCTTTTCCCTCCTCATCTCGTCTCGCTCTTCCCTCTCTTCTTCTGCTGCCGCATCGGGTTTCACTTCCTTCCTTACACCATAGTGCCGGACGGCTTCCCTCTCGAAGCCGTCCTTTTCTCTTCGATATAGCGCCATAGTGGCGCGTGCGTCCACGACACTAGAGTGCTCGCCTTGTTGGATCTTAATCCCAAGGAATGTATCCGCAAGCCTCTTTAATGCAGGTGATCGTCCTCCTGCAATTTCTCGATACGGTGGGTACTTCGACGTGTCGCGTATGTCTTGCTTTGGGTGGTTTATGATGAGAGCTTGCAAGTCATTTTTTACTGCGTGCGCCACAAGTATTCTCCCATTCAAAAGACCTTTGACATCGTCCTGCACCATTTTGAAACTCCTCGCAACTCCTTCCTGGAGATGCTCCTCTGCGATACCACTCACATGTGTCCTATAGTCCGTGACAGGTAACACAGGTAGGACATAGCTGTCGTATAGTACATCCCCATGGTAGTTCGTTATCGACACTCGAGCCAGTTGTGAATCGGAGTACGGAGGTGGACCAATACCCACCATCTCACAGTCCAAAGCAACATATCTATTTTTCTGCGAAGTGGCGGCAGGATAGAAACCTTGATTTGATATGAAGGGTTCCGAGAGAGGTTTGAGAAGGGCAGATGTTGGATTATCGTCGTCGAAAGGGACTTTGGCAATGTCGATAGAGGAGTGAGGTTGAAGCTGAGCTGATGGTGCAGCCGTAGTGCCATTCCCAGGCTGTTCTCGGGAGAAGTAAGAGCCCATCTTCGTGCGATTCACTTTCAGGGTCCCATTGGTTGCATGGACTTTGACCTTCTTTGTAATGCCATTGGGCTTCGCACCAGCCGTGTGTTTTCTCTTCAATGACTTCTCTGCTTTATCTTCAGCTTGGCATTTCCCTTTCTGTAGTGTTTTTTGAATCTTCTTCCAGTTACTGGACAGATTAGCTATCTCCATGCCGGGTCATGTGTCACATATTCATGCTGTGGTTGGGCTGTGAAATTTATCATCCTGCGCAAAATTACAGCGGAGCTTGGGAAAGTTCTGGCAGGCCCGAGCGCGCCGAAATCTTAGCGCGCGAAACTGCCACTTCCGCAAAGGCGGTCAGCAGCACTAGCTATCACGTGTATCCGTTGCTGAAGCGAGTTCAAGATGCGACAGAATACTAATCATCAACAACGCAATACATCCATCTGTCTTCATCTCCAAACTCTGAATATCGCTTTTGCTATCTGAATGGCGCCCAGAGAGGGCTCAAATGAGCCATCAGGTACCCCAGTGCCGTTAGAAAAAGGCTTTGCAACCTTAGCGACGCTTAGGTAAGATACGCATAGATGGTATATAGATAAGTGAAAGCTAACATGCGTATTCGTAGGACTGGAGTCAAAGCTTGGGTTCACAAAGTGAGTAACCTTGTGATTTGAGGTCTGCGCGCGCACTCGGAAAGGACGTGGGTTCTTATAGACCTCAACAAAAGTCCATTAGCGGATTTTCCAGTCTGATTCTTTGCACAAATGTCTTATGCATGATCGAGAAGATCGGGATACTTGAAGAGACTACTGCTGACTGTTTCTCAGGATGGAGAATATCGCAAAGCAGAAATTCTGGCAATACAACCAAAGAAAGGAACGAATACGTACTATGTCCATTACGAAGAGTTTAATAAACGTCTCGATGAATGGGTGCGCCCTGATCGGATAGATCTGACTCGCGAAGTGGAATGGCCAGCTCCTGAGAAGCCTGACAAGAAGAAGACTCAAGGCGCACCACCGAAAGCTCAACAGCCTCAATCTAAATCCGATGCCGCCTCCAAAAACCAGAAGAAGACGCTCAAAAGACCACGCTCCTCGCAAGGTGGAACCCCAGAAGTGTTGACTGATGCCGGGAATAGCAAGTCCTCACGCCCATCACGTGCATCTGGCAAAGAGAATAAGGAGGTCACAATTCTTGCCCCTGAAATTACCGACCTCGCCACTCCGAAGGTGGAAGACGAGGAGATCGATCTAGTAGATGTGCAGGACGCTGCCGCTGCTGCGAAGGCCGCACCCCCTGAAGAATATTCGCGCGAGGAGGAAATTGAAAAGCTGCGCACCTCAGGCTCGCTCACCCAGAATCAGACCGAGATCTCGCGTGTACGTAATCTTGAAAAAATCCAAATGGGAAAGCATGAGATTGAGCCATGGTACTTCAGTCCGTACCCAGTCGAATTCGCAGAGGAGGATATGGTGTATATCTGCGAGTTTTGCCTAGGATACTACGCCGACGTGACGCAGTTTGAACGGCATCGTGAGAAATGTACTTTGCAACACCCACCCGGCAACGAGATCTACCGCGATGATTTCGTTTCGTTCTTCGAAATTGATGGCCGGCGACAAAGAACATGGTGTCGCAATTTGTGTCTCTTATCAAAGCTGTTCCTGGATCACAAGACGCTGTACTACGACGTCGACCCGTTTCTGTTCTACTGCATGTGCATCCGCTCAGAACATGGCTGCCACTTTGTCGGTTACTTCTCCAAAGAAAAGGAGTCCGCGGAAGGTTACAACGTTGCATGTATCCTGACCCTCCCTCAGTACCAACGCGCCGGATTCGGAAGACTGCTCATCCAATTCAGCTACGAGCTCAGCAAGCGCGAAGGTAAACTTGGTAGTCCCGAGAAGCCCCTGAGTGATTTAGGTCTTCTAGGCTATCGAGCTTACTGGCAGGAAACAATTGTCGACCTCCTAATGGACGGACGCACCGACGCGAATGTTGAAGAGCTTGGTGCCATCACTGCGATGACGACTAACGATGTACTGCACACCCTCCAGAACCTTAACATGCTACGTTATTCGGTAGGTGGTCACGACATACAGAAGAAGTATATTGAGACTCACTGGTCGCAGAAGAACCAACATGTCATCGTTCTGACGGACGCGGTTATTGAGCAACGTGAGCGGCAGAAGGAGAAGGAGAAGCTGAGAGGCAAGAGAGTCATTGATCCAGAGCGATTGCAGTGGAAACCGCCAGTATTCACTGCAAGCAGCCGGACGTGGAATTGGTGATTTCATCTCAATCTGTTTTATCGTTTAGCATGGCGCCGTGGCTGGCATGATTCTGGAGTTCTTGCGTGGTGTCAGGACAGAAATGGTCTTTGGGTGGCTGTGATGCATGGTTGAAGGTTCTACGTTACGTATGGGGTATGTTTTGATATATTGCTCTATTCAAGAGGCTTATGTTCTCTGACTTCTCACAAGAAGTAGTCCGCAACTGGCTTCTTAGCCGGCATCCCCCTGGAATCTTGCGGTGCTGCTTCAAATACCCTATATCTGCGCCCGGGACCTTCTCTATTCCTTTCATTCAGTACGCCTCTACTTCTCCCAATGTCGCCGTTACTCCGTGGTACGAAGCCCCCGTTGCCTCCGTCTTCGCCAAGCTCTAGAATTGCGGCTACGTTGCCACATCGATAGCAGTAGTTGGGTGCACTCCACACTGTGACAATTGTGCTTTCAAACATCTCTTTGAAACCCTCCATGACTAGCTGATGTGCGCGGGCGATGAGCGACAGATTGTTCGTATGGTTGAAACATTTGACAATGTCGGCACCGAAAAGAAACCCAGCGCCTCGTGGAGAAAGTCCCCATCCGTCAATCTCGTCAGGATCAGACCAGAGAAGATCACACATGGCGCCTTCATGTGGAACTTCCTGCTTGCGATCAAGGAGGCGAATCTTGTCAATCGTATCGATCAGGGGCGAGAGGCCGCCATGGACGCAGAGAACAGCTCCAGAATTAGACGTACGAGAGCCGTTGGAGGAGGATGTGGCACCGGTCCCACTTGGGCCAGAGGCAGATGGAGCAATAGGAGACGAAGACGGAAGTGTCTTGGAAGGTGAAAGAGGGGCTTGTTGCTGTGATGCACGTGGAAAGCGCGACATGATCTCGCCGGCGGAATTGAGTATCTCGATCTCGATGTCTTGGTCAGCGTAGGAGTTCTGTTCGGATTGTGAAGCCGTGTCAGAGCTTTGGAATGGCGCTGCAGAGGGCTCAAGGTTGGTAGTGGCGCCTGTGACGAGCGCACCAAGGGCAAGGTAGTCGAAGACGTCGCAGCAATACCTGACAACACGGGTGAGCAATTCCCCTCTGCCCAACTTTGAGTAATGTTATTCATACCTCCAAACATTTGCGCTCCCGTATTTTCTTATGCATTCGTCATAGAATCCATATACTGTCGTAATCTGTCGTGATTCGTGATTTCCCCTAATGAGGGTGATGCGGTCTGGGTATCGTACTTTGAGGCAAAGAAGAAGTAAAAAGGACTCGAGAGAATAGAACCCCCGATCAACGAAGTCGCCTGGAATCACTTTAGCTGTCTTGGACCCAGAGCAGATTCAAAGGTGTCGTACCCATGAACAAATAATTAGTCTCTGGCACATCGCCACCAACACGAAAAAGCTCCATCAAGTCGTGGAACTGTCCATGGATATCGCCACATATCTGAAACCTGTTTAGCAAAGCCAGAGCATGTATGAATACCTTAGGACTCTCTACCGTCACTGGCGCATCAACGCCCACCACATTGCCTTCCTCGATCAGCAGCTCGCGCGCTTTGTACGTAAGCTCACGGACTTGGTTTTCCGGTATAAGACGACATGCGCGTAGCTGTGCGATAGCCCTATGGGAGGTATTAATCAGTCGTAGTTCTAATACGATAGCAAGCCTTGTACGTCACTCACTTGTCAAGGTCACTCATGTTTGTGCTTTGAACCTTTCCGTCTGACTAAAGCTGACCCGAAGTCGGGCGCCTTAGGGTAATGCTTGACACTCCGGTAGAATTGTTTAAAAGTGTCGGCTCTTCAAGGGTGCGTCCTGGTGGGAATCGACTATGTGTGTGGTAAGTTGTAGAGTTGTGAAAAGCGAATGTAGTGGTGGCGCCTAGGAAGCAAGCATGCGATATGGCGTAGATGCGCCGTATATTGACAATCTACCGGGCTCATCAAGACTTATAGCTACACATTATTGAAGACGATCGTGGGATCATAGGGTTCGGGCAGGGTCTTGGTGTTGTTGAGTACAGGTCGGCAGTAGAGTTGGTCACCAAATGCAACGCGCAACGGGAGAACAGCTCGGCGCAGCGCCAAGTCTTTTCGGAGGAGAGCCACCTTCTGTCAATTTATGCACAGACTTCGAGTATCAACATCGTTGTTCACCCCGCCCAACGTCTTGCAATCGCTACTCCCAATGCGGCGGCAGTGTACATATCGCACCGAGAAGACCATCTTGGATCGCTAGCTGACATCCACCAGGTGTCTCCGAAGCTGCCGTATTCTCCCCAGCACTCGCCATTCAGTCTTGATCCCTTTTCCACCTCATCCCAAACGATATCTTGCCGCGCCACGGTCTTCACACCTACCGTCACCCTTCCGACACTGTATCGTATTGAAAGATGCCTCCAGCTCTCCACCCTCGCTCACGTTGGACAACTTCACTCTTTACCTCAACTCTTCTCGTTTCGTTCCTCGTTGTCGGCACACCACACATACTGCCATGTCCAGCACCACGGAATATAGCTGCAGACTCGAGGGACTTAACAGACCCTTCTAGACCTCGACGGCGGAGAAAGCGCGCCTCTGGGGCGTCTGAGGATCCGGAGGTACAAAGTAAAGAAGTTGAGCCTGGGAGGGAGTGTCCTGTGCCCAAGCCATCAGGACTAGTAGGTCAAATACTCGGCTTCAAGGAGCGGAAAGAGAACACAGAGAATCCTACAATCATAATAGAGAGTACTAGGACAAAAGAGAGACGGAAAGCCATGGATGAAAAGACGGATCAGAACAGGTAACAGCAATGGCTGAAGTAGCAGCCTAAGACGAAGGTCCGTATGATCGCATAATTGTACAATACTGTATAGAGATCATGAGCCATGTAAAATACCAGGCAATTGGACGTGTCGCATATCGCTAGACTATTATGGAAAGGTGTATAATTGCTTGACCGGATTCTTGTTACAGGTCATTAAAGTACTTTCTTTTTCGGAACGCTAAGGGGTAGAACTCTAGCTGAGTTATGTGCCAGAGGTGTGCGCGGTCAAAATCATCACAACAGAATAGCTGTATGTATGTTCTTCGATGTACTCAGCCCTATGGCCGTTTAGCTTGGCCTACCTACCTGGCTAGTTGCCTAGACGCTAGCAAAGCTCCCTAGAATCTGGTATGACGTCTGCTGGAATAGCTAATATTCGACGCAACTTAATGCTGAAATTGCTGCCACTCAGGGGAACATCTTATTACGTCCGAAACAGCATAATGATACTCAGAAACCCGAGTTTACTGTCTACCCTCTCAACAGCTCGTTGCGCCCTCCAACATCGCCAATTCAGCTGCAGCGCATCCCGGGCAGCAAAGAACCGCATTTTCAATTCGTATGCCTCGACTTCTATGCCACCACCAGGGATCAATGAATGGCTGACAAGATTTTAGTATCCGCCGGCCTGATGACCTCCATACTCTCAACCTTCTCTCCTCGTCCTCATCTACGCCGCTACTTACATTCTGGTCGACCGCCTGGTGCCCATCTTGTAGCACTGTACGGCCGCTGATACGCGAATTGATCGAAGAGCATGGCGTGGGAGAAAGTGAAGGTGGGATCGGGTTTGTTGAAGTCGAGATGGATAGCCCAGAGATTGGCGACCTGCCGGTGCAATATATGATCGCGTCGATGCCCACGCTGATGGCGTTTTCGCGCGGAGAGCCTCAGGTTGAGACCAAGGTCACTTTACCCGAGAAGATGAAGGATAGGGCATGGATAGAGGAATGGATAAGGACAGAAGCGAAAAGAGGCGGTGCTGGTGGTGCCGGCGGAAGTATATTTGGAAGCTGGTTTGGAAAGGGGTGAAGAAAATGACATTGTATTCTCGTTTACGAATGTTGAGTCGCCAGGCTATCTAAAGATCATTGCGTAGGCTGTCAGCTTCACTTAGAATCTCCCTCATCCAGCTGGTCGTGACTTCTTCATCAAATTCGCGCAGTCCCGGCGTCCGTCCCAACATCACCCCGTTCTCTCCTGTTTCGGAGCGCACATTATACGCAACTTGGTGTAAGTGTTGTGCACATCCAAGGAAATCGTATACATCGATAAGCTCTGTAGCAAATGGCAGTGTCCTAAGCCTCATAGGCGGGGTTGTGGTGGTGGCTTGAGGCGCGCACTGTATGCTGCATTCGATTACATGGAGGTTCAATCTTTTAACGCCGGTGAATTTGAACTCCAGCAGTCTCCGTATAGCCTCAATCACGGCTTCCATCATTTCCTTCGCCTTGCAATGATATTCAGACTGGTTGCAATTCTTTGTACAGCATTCGTAGACCATGTGCAGCATGATAACATTCAAAGTACCAATGCGCTCAAGATCAGTCTTTTTGAGATGGCGTGGAATTTCTAATTCAACGGAAGTCTTATTCGCCTCGTTTTCACCGCGGATAACGAAATGCTGTCGTTTGAAATTGAAGTTCTCAATTACAGGAATGATGAAATCCTTGGTGCCGTCCTTGACGCTCAACCAGATTTCGAGTTTCTCGGCGCGGAACATCGATATCAAAACTTCGGCATGGAAACGCTTGCAGGTGTATGCCAGACCTAGTAATCGAGGCATTGGGTCCTGTGGTCGGGTGTTATAGAGACCACTATCGTATCGAGGACAGCTTTCGTCCACCAAGTGTTCGACTATCATCAGGGTGATTTCGACAGGAAGATTGATCAAACTTGATCCTAGCGATGGTCGTGAGATTCGTCTTCGCTTCCTACATGATAGAAAGGTGCTTCCAGTAATGGGCCTCTTGATCAGTCTTGTAGGTTGGAGCCAAATACTTGACCTGGGTTCGAAATCGACTGAAAGTTGCTGGTGGACCGGGCGTACCAAACTCTGGGCTTGACTGTCTTCTCGACTTTCAGATCCAGCTGTAGGCGTGATATCTTCAAGTTTAGAGCTTCGAGGTCTGACGGGCCGTCCTATTCCATCTGAAGGTATTGTACAACATATGTCAGAGTATTTTAATCAGGGATTTCTCTTGGCAGATCGAAGTGAAACAGCCGTGGAATATCACTGTCTCCGGTAAAAAATTGTTGAAGACAGTCAGCTGCTTGGGGATCTCCTTCCTCATGCCGACGCGTACTAGGGGGAAGAACAGGTCCCTTCCCTGTTCTGGGTTGTAACATAGAACACATTTCTGAGTAAATAGCCACTAGCTTTGCGTTCACTCCAATTTTGGACTCAAAGCCAGTCACTTATGACTGTAGTCAAAGAAACAGTCCATTCTTTCGGCCCATTTGGGGTTATAATCATAGCTGATTATGTACATTTACGAATTTTCAATTAACTTTCACAGGGGACAAAGCGTAAGTAGCCTCACTGTCCTCATTCATCCCGCAAAGCACGCCGTTTTAAGACACAGTGCTCACTGTGCGCTCGGCAGATTCACACACAGTTCTAGTACACTTTGACACGTTGACTTACCCGGCATATGGGAAAGAACATATAACGTGCGCGAATCTCTCCACCCGCACTCTCCTTCTCCAAATCAAGTATCTTCTGAGGCACTAACTTCACATCACGCAAGTGTATGCTGTGTTAAGTAGGGAAACCTAATCATCGAAATGTTTGTGGTGGAACAAGCTGGCCATGTTTGATCACACGTAAACAAGCTTAAATATGGACTGGACTCTGTTTCATTATACTCAGACACAACGTCAATCTGATATATTCTGAGCCACATCTGTTCTCAGTCCTTGGTAGACTCAACAGTGATGATGATTGACGGCGATACGCGATGGTCAAAAGATCATTGGTGAAAACGATGATTATCAGAGCTATCCAAGTGGAACATGAACACACGACATACCCCTGAACGGGCTACTTGCTCATATCATTTCCCCCTTACGAAAGAGAGAGCTTGCTACGAAAGTGCTGATATATGTATGATGTAGTTCATTACCTGATGATGATAGATGTCAGCAACATAATGCGTGTATACGTAGCTCTACCTATCCCTTCAATCTCAGTTTGAGGAGGAGGCTGTTCGGTGTACTTGACCACTTATATCACTTAGCATCGTCATGGATATTTCACACATTTGGTATGCTCTTTTCACTACCCAGACGTCGAATCATTCAGTAGTCTATAGGCCACTCGGAATCAATTTTGTAAAAATCAATATCACCATAGGCTACCACTGTTTAGAATTAGATGGTAGGAGTGCTTTCACGTAGATGTTAACCACGTATGGAGTGGCCACTGTAAAACCATAGTAATCATAGTGTAAGACTAGATGCATCGACGTGGTACAATATTTGTCATCCAACCTTTGTACCGAAAACCGCTCGCTCCTATACAGTGACCAGACAAGATATAACGAGATTATCGGGTTACACAACACTTGTCATTTCAGCACCGACACAAGGAACAATGACACCAGTACCCGATATCCCTCCCCTTCTTGATGCTTTCTTTTTCTTCTGTACTACCACCTCGCTAAGGCACTTCTACTTGAAAGCGCGCCAATGCGTAAGAAGATCCGACAATGGCTAGCGTCAACTTTGAAAACAAAATATGGCCGTCCTTTCCCCATATCAAACTTGCATGTTAATCTTAGACGACTATGCGTCCGTGAATATGATAGTCTCATGCTGGGTAGGACATCTATTCATGATTGTCTTCAGTGTGTGATAATGATGTACACTACTGAACTATCGAAACACAAACATTCACATTTCTAAAGGGTCGTTATGCTCAAACAAGGGGGAAGTACGGCTCGATATATCATTGGTGGGATACCTTGGAATTTGGAGACTACAAGGACGCGTCTTGGGGTTAGATTTACAGCTGACATACGGTGCTCTGTGTCCCTTGGCTTTAGAACAAGGGACATACGTAAGAGCATGAAGTATGAGCAGACTAATTAAGCCTGTACATTGCTCCACTTCCCTCTTCTAGACACGCGAAGCTCTATCTGTGGAGTGTATGTAGTCCTCGGCGGTTTTCCAACAGTTCATCTATGTTATAATGTGCAGATATCCCGCACACCCCATGGTGAGCACAATGATCCAATCCCTGCTCTTCCCGGCGTTGCCACTACGAGGCATTACCTACGAGATTCCCCATCCATGAGCGAATTTTATAGTCCTGAACACTAGTATCGCCGACGATCATCATCGGGGTCTTGAGATGAGTGTTCAGCGACTACTGGAATAGGTACGGTTTGCCACTTTTTTGATTGTTTCCCGGAAAAAGCCGGAGCATGTCCTCCGCCAAAAAGTTTTGGTATACAGAAACAGAGAACCCGAGACACAGGGAGCGGGCCAGCTTTGGAAATTGGAAGTCGGAAATCGGCAATCGGATCTTGCCGTGAGTTGTCCACGCACATAGGGGGGGTATCGTGTGTTTATCTCCCATTATCTGCTGTAACTATGTGGGTACGCGGAGGCGTATGTAAAAAGAATGTCACCGTGGTCGGGTCGGCATTGCTAATCGGCATCGGTGGCGTTCATCATCTGTTCGTACACCAGACGCGTGCATAGAACGTGATAGCAGGGATAGATCGATCATCTAGTGACATACAATTGTCAGTGTCATATGATTCCAGTGGTACGCTTTATGCAATTTCAGATCGTCAAGTACAGTAACTGAGTCAAGTGAGAGCCCCGACTAGCCCTTATATGAACCTGGGTTCCACAGTGCCTGGTGAACACGAGCCACGACGATCTCGTCCTACAGCACTACTAGCTGGAGCGACTCTTAGTGTCCAGTGTCCACTCTCCTCTACATGAGCCCTCGAACGGGGCTGCTTCTGACCCTGATCCTACATCGACGTGCAGAGCTGGTGAATTGGCGTGCTCGCATGCCTACATGCCTTCCCGTCAAATTCAAATCTCTGAATTTAATCGCCAATCAAAGTGCTGGTGTCCAACTTGAATGTCCTGATCGCCGTTCTTTCAAGTACTTCATGCGGCAAGTCCATAGCGGTGTGGCCGCATGTAGCTGTGGATAACGTTGTGCCTGGGATACTGTGTCCCAGCCACATACATACAAGTAGCCTGGGGTACCTCCACAATGTCACGTCTGAGCCCTATTGCCATGTGAAAGCTCTGCCTCCTCAAATCACGTCACTACCTGAGGGGCATGTTCAGTGACATGAATCAAATTACTATACTTTCTTTTTCAACACATACTTGACCGGGGCGCGGAAACAAGTGTTTGGCTTGGCGGTCCCTAACCCTATTCACAATGGCATGACTGGATCTGCACGTCAGGTCTAGTTGAACATCGGGCTCTCGGTGGTATTAATAGCAGTATGTCAGATCCTAGATAGTGCGGTGCCTCACTATGTCACTTGTCATTGGTCGACGCTGAGATGGACGGTAAGAGTGTGACATGGAGATCCTCGGAGGCTAAGCGAGACAGGGTAAAGATCGTTGCTTGAATAGATGCAGATACCGCATAGATGCTAGCAAAAAAAGTAAGAAGCAGCTGAACAAACGTTCTTTCGATGACTTTGTTCTCTGGGCACGATCATCCTCAGAGTGAGGCGGGATTCTAAATGTGCGTTGCCTTGCTAACCTATGACAGGAAAGATTCAATGAATCGTACGGTCTCGACTGTGAATAATTGTATCAAACGTCGCATAGCAGCAGTCGATACCGCGCTGTGGAACATTGTCGACTGAGAGATGAAGCTACATCCGGTTTGGCCGTTTCCTTCGTTCGTCCTTGAAACTCAACAATGTTAGCGTGTCTCTATTCTCGTCCATGAAAGCCACATTCCAGCCGTAATTCATCGTACGTTGAGGTTTCAGAGCTCTACATGTTATGCATTACAGTCATTTCGCTCTACGACTCGCGTCACAATTCCGAACTTGAGTCGGAAACGTCTCCGTTACGAAGGATGCGGTTAGTCTGGCTGTATGATGGTCATTGTATCCAGCCGTTCCATCCTTCTGACAGCCTTGTTGTCGCATACGCACTGACTCAGCTAAAACGTGGCACTCACCAGGCCAGGACACGACTATCACGATGACTACTAAAGTCGTAACAGCTCAGCAGGGTCTAACACAAGCGTCGCGATTCAGGCCTCATGTACGACCCCAGCAGAACTGGACGAGTTCCGGGGGGGGGCTTTTAATTACTGTGTGGGGGCGAAGTAAAACTGAAGAGGGCGGGCTGGGGGTCTAGTGGCAAGCAAGGGTTTCCCATGAGAAGAGAGTCGTGATTACCCATGGACGCCCGTTAGCCATAGAACATGAATCGAAGTGATGGCGACGGTGAGCCAATTCTATGGCTGAGACAGACAGACACGGCATCACGGTGGCATGCGGGAGCTCAGAACTTCCTGGGTGTCTGTTGAATTTCGGGTGACGTTACCGAGAAGGATCGACCTGACAGATGGGCCTGGATGGGCCTGTAAGAAGTGAGATTGAACCGTGGGATGATCCTCAATGTTGGAGAGTCGGAAGGCTAGCATCTTACGGAGTGGATTACCATTGTGGTTATGGCGATGGTGATGGTGATAAAGCTGACGTCTTTGGAAAGAGCAACTAGAGACTGTGGAGATCCTTGATGAGAATTTATCATACCAACTGCGTATATAACAGACTGATCATGACGGTCTTATGGATGATTGAACCTATGAGACAAAGGGTATATTGATGGGCACGGCTCGCTATACCAACACCTAATGGAGAAGGAATGACCGAAGCTGGCAGGGCTGCTGGTATGTTTGCCTCATACAGCTAGCTGATGAACGACATTGAGTTCTTCCGCCATCAATGGTTACATATACAGGCACAGGGCCGAGCTTGTGCTTCTAGTGTCCAATTGTTGGTGGAGGTAACACCGATAATGAGACTGAGACCGAGACTGAAACTGAGACAGGGAGGGGGTCGGACTGACACTGAGACCGAATCCCACGAACTGCCAAGGCATAAACGATCATCGGCGTCGTGCTGTTCTGATTCAACGACGCCCATACACGAGGTAGCCACAATAGACAGGGGGAGGGGGAGAGGGCTCAAGAGAGAACATGTATGTATCTGCGTCCGCTAGCCCCATCAGGCTAAGAGTAAGCGTCTGAAATAACATTCAATTCATGGCTTCGAGTTACCGGACCGCGACAGACAAAGCGCATACGGACCACATTGCCGTGGACTCACATGCTGGTTACGCTATGCTTGACATCTGTCCTAGAGCAGCTGAGATTTGATCAGAACCATCATGGCTAGCAATTTCAAGTCATCCTATTGAATGGGTTTCCTGGTGACCGGTCAACTTCGCGGACAGGAGTAGATGAAAAGATATTCATTCGTCATCTACGTACGTACCAATGTTAAGTCAAAGTAGTGCTAATGACTAGTGTGTCTCACAAACAAAGCTAAGCTTTTTGAAGAAAGATGCTATGCAACGCTTACCGGGTAACCTGTAGGCTAGGTTAGAACAAGTCTGAAGGAATACCGTTCAATCCTTGATAAATGGGTCCTTGACGCCGGGGTGTATAGAATATTGAACATTGTGTGTGATAGGGAAGATTATATAGTCATCGGGTGCCTGTACTTCTGAATCCTGGGGCTAGATGGCCTAACAATGGTACAATGCAGACTCTAGCCAATTAATTACAACGCGCATATCCTATGTTGGTCCGAGAATACATACAAAGGGCCAAGAGTCTTCAAAGTTTGGACAACTTGTGATATCATGTTAAAGAAGAGCGTTCTGCAAGATCTTGAACTGGCTCCGAGCATTTGATTTGTGCAGAGCCAATTGGAAAAGATTTCAGCGAGACTCATATCCATAGAGTGTAAATGTATGTATCGGCGGGAGGAGAATTAGCATGAAAGCATGATACTTTGCATACAGGTTCCCGTGAATATCCACCTACACAACTGCGTTTGCTTGACAGTTTGACTGCACATATTGTATGTAGCGGGTCACTTCGTATCTCGTAGCCGCGACCGAACGCCTAGAGATGTGTCTACGAAGGTAATAGTGTAGGATTTGTTCCTGTTCGGATTGAAGTGTGGCGTAAGTCAGTGCTTCATCTCGTAGCTATCTTATGTTCTGCGCTGATCATACCGTTGAAGCTGATACAAAGCGCTGCTCCTCGTATACCAAAACCTGTCCTGGAAACGGCCATGAGTCGTGAGCTTGCTCCGTATCCACGCCTGGGCTGGTAGAATCCGTTCGTATACATGTAGGAAATCTATTGGAAGGCCGATAGATTCTCTGTAGTAGACAAGCAACCCCCGGAAGAGGATAGCCACTAGGGACTCGGGTGATAGCCTTGGCTCCATATCGCGGGCGCGCAGTTCCGAAGTTGAGAAGGCAAACAAGAGGCAGACAACGTTACGATTCAGTCTGCTGTCAACGAGGAAATGATTGAGCGATTCTAGGCAATCGAGATTTCATGAACGATGCATACCATCCTTAGTACGAACGTCGGTCCCTGAGTGTAGAAGCTGTACAAGATAGTTCGACCAATCTCAAGGTATAATTAGGTCTCTTCATCTCAACACGGTGTCTGTAGCTACCCTGTAATTAGTTCGCTGGTCTGATCTCTCCTGTACAAGCTAGCAGTCCTCGTTTAGGCTAACGGTCTGCCGTCTGCAGGTGGATTAGTGGAGCTGCAACGCTAGCTGAGGCTGCGCTTTGTCCAATTGTTAGGATCGACGGTCGTGCTGGCAATTGAGGGACCATTGATTGAGGCGGCGTGTATTTTTGACATGAGTGCATGCAACATTTTGAGAGTTGAGATGGACATGTATAGGATCTGCAACAGTAGACAAGCTCATGTTGGGGTTCAAAGCGTTCAAGTCGAAGGATTGGAACAAGAGGGGAGATGAGAAAGTGCATTGGAGGTCAAAGATAACCCGCGCTTACTTAGCTTAGTAAGGAGACTCTTGTGATAATGCCTCAGGCACAAAGCAAGGTAGTTCTGGCCCCATTGTACGGCAACGGGAATCGGGACACCGCCCGCCGGTTCCAAGCGCGCACATGAACCCTCAAGATCCCAACCACAACCTTGAGCGACTATGCCTATTCACATATCATTGCTGACGCCACGTGCATTTGTATGTCTCACGTACCGTCATATTGAGAAGACCTCCTTCAGCTTTTTGTGGTCGGTTCGGCCCAGATGGTCTCGTCTGTCACTTGCGTTTCAACCCCTTCTCAACTATCTGTCTTCGGGCTCTCGCCTTGAAATACACAGCCTAAGTCAACACACCCAATAGCAGCACCGAGAGGTGAGAAACAAGGCTCGCCTGGATGCAGCCCTTGTGTTCGACATGGCCGTATGTCTTTTCGTGAGTGGCCATCGGGCAACAACCTTTAGCCTCTCCATTCATGGCCTCGACGACATGGAACAGGCCATACTGTTCAGATGGTTGCATACTTCTAGAGGCTCATTTATGATACAAAGGTCATGAAGTGGTGCCCTTTCATCATCGACCGTAGGGATTGAGACAGAAGATATATTGAACGGAGACGATCAACTCTGTAACCTTACCCATGATTCTATTTTCAGCCGGGCTCAGCTCACGCTACACACTCCCTCATCTCTAACTGGGACAATATCCGCCGGCGAGTCAGCGACAATTGGCCCACGCTTTTTACCCATGGTCCTCTTCCACGTTCCTCTCCCACGTGCGAACACAGTCCTCCGAACGTTATTGACAAAGGGAGGCCTCAAACGTCAGGCTTCAAGGTCCGCCCGCGATCTTATGGTTTTCCTTATGATACCTCCTTGACACGGACCTCTTTCCCAGGCCGGATCAATCCGCTGGCTTAGAGTTTCACATATCGATTAAAGGCCATCCGGGATAGTTTCGTACGCCATGTGCGCTCAGTTTATATTTAGACGTCGTTTCAAGTTCCAGTAGCTTGAAGAGAACGGTTACTCTGGGCGTGCCAGGTACTAGAACTAGACACCATAACTTTTACTACCCCATTCGTAAAGCAACTCGAGGGAATGGTTTCTGTATCATAGGAACAGAACTTCGAGCTCCTTGGAGGGTTAAGTGTTCATTTGAGGCCAATTGCTGCGCAGATCGAAAAAGTAAGCATGTTGTTCAGGTTGAAGTCTACACCTCTACCCATGCATCATGATGTACGTTTGGCAAGCCAGTACTGAGTAATTATCCTTGATTTCAAATGCGACGTGAAGTTCCACATTAATAATTGTTTTGTCATATTATGATAATGTTGACGGAGAATAGGGTGTACAGACAGCTAACAAGTTCCTTCAAGAGCAAGACTGACCATCAGGTACATAAAGTCAGATGTTTCTACTGACCTTGGTGAGACCACTTACGAAGGGGTCGATTTCTCAAATCCCTACCAATATCTAAGCGTTGTTTTGTGCATGTTCGAAGATCATAACGCCCTGGCCACAAATGAATGCGATTCATGGAATATTAGAAACACCCCCCGGTCTTGAAAGCTTTTCGCCAGAGCAGTCCCAAACATATTTACCGATGTCCAAAAAATAACATTGTCACATGACCGCGCGGATTTGTCACGGTGCGCGCCCTTTCAACAAGTGTTCATAGTAGGATATAACTATTCTGGTTTTCATCCCAAAGCGAAAAAGTAAGTTTAGAGGTCTGAGTGGGAAGACTCAGCAATGTACTCAGTGACAGGTTCTCCAAGTATAGAACAAATTAATGGTCTTGCCCGAGGGTCGAGCGCCAGTGTTTGAAGATATGTTATGAGACAAAACAACAAAACAACATATACAATATCTCCATACTGGGCCGTGAGAGACCTAACAAAGAGCCAGTGTTGTCTGGTCTGATAAGATCAAGTAGTCATGTGGCGAGGACAGCCGTAAAGAGGGTCGGCTAAACATAAGTTTGAAAATGTTTCACGCACCAACAAGATGAGATGAGATCTGACGAGTTGCGTGACGGCTCGGAAAGGCTCGCGAGCAATTAAGACTGGGACCAACATCAGGTGTGGAGGTGGCGTAGCGGCAAGACACAGAGATGCATTGAAGTAATAATACCTTATGGTTCATGATAGACAATCAAACTATTGATCAACGGATTGAGATACTATAAGATTCATTCTGACATGAAGACACATAGCATACGCAAACCAGACTATAACCCAGGTGGGAGATGGAATACAATAGTGGTGATGATGAGACTAGAAGAAACGTCGACGCTCAATAACTTATTGGGTACAGATGCGTGTATATGTGTGTATATATGTTTGTTTGTGTGTGGAACGGGGCGGAGGGGGGGGGGGGGGGGTACAGAGTGAGAAAGTCCTAGCGCCGGCCGCAGCCAACAACAGGGCCAGGGCCCCCTCAAAATGGGGACTGCAAGCAAGCGAAACAGGCGGCCACCGCCGCACGACCCGCCCCCCGCTGTAGGATCATCCCGCTAGTCACGCCAAAAAATACTAGCCTGGTCCCTACTCGCCCCCATTCGGAGAGGCAGTGGCTCAGGTTCATTCCTCATGTTGACTGGCAGAGTGACAGCCAGGCAGACACATACAGTCTCTCTCAGGTCTGCCATCATCACCACGTTAGATCAGCCTGGTTACCTTCGTGGAGAAAGGTCTGTAACGGCCTACGGACGCCATAGCAAATTCTCTACTACCTGTGCCCAGCCGCAGTCTTGAATTCAGATAGAGCACGATCCCCACAATGACATTCATAGTCTCGTCCTCATCTGGCACATTCGGCCAGTGCCATAATTACTACCGCAGATAGTATCTTCTATCACCAACTCGCTCGCGTGGATCAGGAGGTAAGCACTTCTTGGCCATGGAGACATAGCAATTCCAAGATCAACAACACGACGTCTCAGGACTAAGATCAGCGTTCACCATCCCCCCCCTCCCCCTTTCAGATACTACTTGCCCCGGCTCTGTATCTCTTGGCATTGTTGAAAGAAATAGCTGCAGGGTGTGATCCTATCTTCAACCGTCATCCGTGCCACTACCACTACAGCGAGCCTGGAGGCGAAACCCATGTCATACTACCCCAAATACCAGTATCGGCCGTGAAGCACCTAGTCTTATATTAGCCGTTTATCTTCTTCTTGTGGAATAGCCTGACGGTGCTCAAGGCTTGGGGCATCACTATAATATCTACACAGATCATGCCCTCTCTTCTCGCCACTCGAGTTACACCTCCCTCTTTTCAAGCTACAAGCTACTCCATTTCTATTACACAGGCACATCAGCAATCATAGAACATATCGTTGCATTCACTATAGAACATGCCTTCAGAGATTCAGAAAAGAAAACGTCCTGTTGCTGCTTGCCAACCATGCTACTCGAAAAAGCAGAAGGTATGCACTCTTTCCACACTCTTGAAGGGAGACCCATACTCCAAGAGTATAATCTGTTGACTTCTTACTAGTGTGACCATCAATATCCCTGCTCCAACTGTGTCAGGAGAAGACTACCAGAACTATGCAATTACACCTTCGCAGACAACGATAACGCGCAATCCAAACCAAAGTCTGCTCCACAACGAAGTCCCAAACGACCTGCTCATGGCTCGCAATCACCGACATCCTCCGATGATCTGATGGATAGTAGCTCATCCTCACCTCTGCCAGCTTTGGACTTGGATAGCAACACACCTTATGAAGCTAATCTGTCTTCTTGTCTTGGCTATTTTGAGGGGAGCAAGTCCAATCTTTTTAGTCTTATGGATAAGGTATTCTACTTATGGCTCGATATGTTGCTGAGTCTGACAAGCTAGTATAGTTCGATTTGCTGAACACCAAAGAGCTAGACGCGGACCTCTCTGGTGTTATTCCCGACGCCAACATGCCAGAAATCAAGCTGTGCCTGGACATGTTTCCAAAACGCCCAATCATCAACTGTCTTGTACAGCATTTCATTAAAGAAGTGAACTGGTTGTACGAGATGATCCATCCAACTTTGTTCCTAAACAAGTATGAACAGTGGTGGAAGTCTGTCCCAGGATCCAGCGTTGATAGCCTTGACTTCGGCATCCTTATACTTCGCATTTGTGCCTACAGCGCTCAATTTATTCCATCAGGTACGCACAGTGGAGACACGATACGCAATGTCCCAGTAAATACAGTTCGTCAGCATTGTGATAAGCTGGCTACTAGATTATGGCGCCTCGTCGAACAGATCGAAGGTCCAAAGTCATTGACATGTGTCCACCACCTCTTCTATCACGCATGTTACATGCAGAATGAGGGTTCCATGCGAGATGCCTGGTACATCCTAGGAAACGCCATCCGGGTGACTCAAGATCTAGGAATGCACTTGGAAGAACCACTTCGGTCACAAACGCCATTGAATGACCTTGAGAAGGACATGAGACGCCGTGCATTCTGGAACCTCTATATCTGGGACCGTTTCCTGTCCCTTGTCCTGGATCGATCGCCATGTATTCCAGAGGAGCATTACTGCAGTGTCGACTTGCCTAAGATGCGGATACTTTCGGGCGCACAACAAAATACGAACGCACCAGACGTTTTCACTGAGCGTATACTACAAGCCAAACTCAGTAAACTGTGGTTTTCGCTCGTACCCGCCAACAGGGCAAAACCCGACATTTACGATCCAAGCGTAGCTGAGGAGGTCTATGAGAAGCTCTGCCGTGAGTTCGTTGCAGAGCTGCCTCTAGTGTTCAGTCTCCAGAGTCCAGATACTCAATGGGATCAGCAAATTCCGATGCTTGCTCGTCAGCGCCAAACTCTCAAGATCTCTGTCTTTGTCATCCTCTGCCAGCTCTTCCAGCCATTGCTCCACTTATCGACCGAGCAAATTCAGACGATGCCTCACTACAAACGTGATCTCATCACCACTCATCGCAATCACCTGGTGACGTCATGTGTTTCTTTGCTTGAGGGTGTATCCCAACTTCATGATTTGATGGGCAACACACCAGCACGTTTCCATTTGCTCAGTTTCTTCTCTTTCGAGCCAGCAATGTTGTTGGCAATGTACGTCATGAGTACTGCAATGAGCCACAAGGCCCTTACCAAAGCCCGCGAACAGGATGGGCGTCGCCATCTCTTTGCTTCGCCCCCTATGACGCCGACAGTCGCCTCAATTGATAACCCTAAAGGCGTCTTGACTGCCACAGAGTGCCGCGTCCACATTGAAACGGCTCTCCAGCGTCTGACCTTGTTGCAGGAGTCTACCATGATCGCGAGAGTCTCGGCTCGCAAACTCAAGGAAGTCCTAGCCAAGCTTGATTCACTATCTGCTGAGCCCAATATCGGCAGTGATGATGAGGCAATAGACAACGACCGACTGACTCCGGCTACAAGACATACACACTCTACTTCTGTTTCTAGTGCTCTTGGTAAAAAGAAAGCAAACTCTTCTACCACTGATACAGTCAGTACTACGAACTGGTTAAGCCCATTCGAGGTACCGGCCGTGACTACTACCACGCCTACGTCGACTCGCCAACACGGCCAGTCCGTCGGTCAAACATCTCGTCGAACATCGCGTCCACAACTCTCCCGTATGCATTCCTTCGCAAGCATGACATCCGTCAGTCTCGATTCACCGCCTGTCCAGGGGCATAGTCATGGGCGCGAAATGAGCACATACCGTCCCAATCATCAAAATGCATATTCACACTCGCACTCCACTTCTCTCTCTCTACCACATGCCATGATCCTGGACGGAACGTCATCGCCTCACCACGGTTGGCATCTGACCTCTCCGCCGCCGGCATTCAGTCCGAACGGACCTTGTTTATCTGCACCAGTCGACGGATATCACACGAACACGTTCTCAAATTTCAGCTGCCATGACTCCGGTATAGGGGACAGTGTTAGTAGCGCTCACTCAAGTGTTCATTTCGGATTCGATAATGGCCAGTGGCCAGCGTTGTATGATGAAAATGAGGCAAGTAATGGCCTGGGTGTCTTTGTGGGTGATATGAGCGAACAATTCGTCGATTCTAGGAAGGGGTATTTTGATTCGACCAGAAGTGTAAGGTGTGATAGCGGCGTTGGGGACGTGCCAGAGACCACCGATTTTGATGATGGCATGGAGGCCAAATGAAGTCATGCGGGCCTATCCTTTCCTTTGCGGTCTTGTTTACAACCCTTTATTCGTAATATTTATCAAACAGCTCACGGCCGCTTCCTTGTCAATATTGGCGTTGATGGTGTTTCTTAACCGCTTTCCTTTGTCTCTCTTTCGTCTATCTTACCAGTATATACCCGCTCATGTCCTGATGCCCTTTCTTTAGTTTTACTATGATGTCGCATATATTTTTTCATATCTGGTGTTTTTATCATGTACACTTCAATGGGTGATGCATAGCTGGCTTGCCCGGAGGAAACCATGACTCAGCTTGTACGTTATCAAGACATATCCATTAACGCTTGAAATTCTATAGATATAAGATTATTACTATTCGTTGTCTTGCTCAGTGAGTCTGTCATGCACTCGTGTATTCCGCCCCATATACTCCGCTCTTGCTAAGTAAAATCAACATCGAGTCGCCAGATTCTCTTTCCCTTTGCCACGCAGGTCCATAAACAGTCATAGTCTCCAAAGTAAACCGTCGTTCTGATCGTATGTGAAAGCACACCACCTAGGTACCTCCGCCCATTACTCGTGACGTTGATCTTAGAACTCATCCATGGGGGGTGATCTACGTGAAGGAACTATAACTATATGGTGAGAGTAAAGGTTTCACTATAGATCGATATGACTAACCAGGAGCGTCGTTGGGAGTCCTATCAACTCGTGATGAGGCCTACATACATTTTAGAGTGCCACAAATCTCGCTGCAGCCTCATGCGCATCTTCAAGCACGAACGCCGTAGCAACTATACCACCCTCGCCCCTGTGAATTCATTCTCGACCCAAGGACCCCTCGGCGCCTCTCTCCCAAAGCATCGCATCCGTACTGCAACCAACGCTGACACAGTCGCACAACAATCCCTTCGGAGAGCATTCCTCGCCGTGTAACCACCAACGCGCGCGCATTTCTCCCACCAAACACGGCGCTTTCTCCTACTGGTCGTACTCACGCCACAGGGTATCCGCTCCTGTATCACCATCTAGATCTCGTATAGGGTCTTTCGCAGTACTGTATCCCAGTACGGATCCTCACGGGGTAATACTGGGGACCCTGCCGGTATCTTGACATGGCGTGGGATTGCTGACGAGAGATTATTGCCAAGGTTAGGGGGCGGAGAGGACTGGGTAGAGAAGGAGAGTTTTGGGAGGCGAGTTGGCCCTTGCGATGGTCAAGGAGACCCTGCTCTGGAGATCTGGGGTTCACGGCCAGGGGAAAGGGGCAGGATGAACGAATGGTAGGGGTTGCTATAGGTGGGAAGGTTATTTGTGAGGTTCGTTTAGGTGACGACGTGAGTGTTGTCTGATCCTGTTCCTGGACCCGAACATGGGGTTCCTTGTCAGTTGAAGCACGGATAAGGTAGTTATGGGGGTCAGGGGCGATAAACTATCGTGTCTAGGTGTTACTAGTTGGTACGCGTACTTGGAGGAGAGCGCTCAACACGAATACTGCTAGCTGCTACTATTTTTACGAGTCTGGGACCCGACAGTAAGGAACGAGGTACAGTAGTGCTGTCTGTACAGCTGGACCGAGTAACATTGATAACATACGCTATGTTATGGCGACAGGCACGGAAATACACAATTAAGCTAAATACAATTGACAGAACATGTTTGCAGGGGTGGGGGGTCAATGGTATGATGACAGCTCAGTCAGGTACGCAAACAAGACGCCTTACAACATCCGAAACATTCGACCCGGTGAGCACCGTATAGCCCTACTGAGTAATCCGGAAGAATATCTCTTGATCACATGTGGTGTGACCTGGTAGTCGGACCTGGCTTGAGCGACTCCTCGAAGGTTTTACTATCCTGGGCATGTTGTTCCAAGAACCTGACAGGAATCGGAACATGTACCGCCCTGATGTACTCTGCAAACCCCTTTCCAAGTCCATCCAGCAGCTTGGAACTACTTATGCCTCTTCCTAGAGGCCCATAGATGACGAAGTGTACAGCGCATATCTTCGTCATCTCAACCCTTTCTACAAAGTACCAATCTTTCCAGTCATCGCCCATCAGCTGCTTTACTCTAGCTCTAGTCATGAAGGTGCGAAACCACTCCCATGCGTCCTGGGTAACATATAATCCCAGATTGACGTTTGCGCCTTTGTCGCCAGAACGCCCGAGTGCAATGTCGCCCAGTGGCCGCATGATAGTCGGTCCAAAGCTCTGCGATATGACAGCCGGGTCATAATTTTCGCGTGGCTGTAGTGGCTCTGTCTTTGATGGTGGCCCGACCAAGTAGCGCCGTATGGAGCTCGCATCAATGATGTTCACGGCTTCTTCGAGCTCACTCTGTGGTATAGTGGCAGGATAGAAGCCCAAGAACGGTTTTGGTATCGCGGTCCGCATGTCCGTGGACCAATGCATACCGGCGAAATGGGCCATCCCGATGGAAGCTTCTGCTGCCGCAAGCTTGCCTAGGACAGAATGATCTCGTGCTTGGGCGAAAATGCGCATATATGTAGTCGAGGAGAGCTGAGTTCTCGGATTCTCCATAGGAGTGCCAACTCGCTGGAAGTCGAGAACGTCGAATTTGGAAAGGATGCCCCATGCTTCGAGAGTTCTCCGTACTTGCATCTCATGATAGTTCCATTTCCAATCTGTGGCATAGCCGCTGGCATTGAGAAGGATTTCGCTTTGATAGCCGGCGCGATAGAATATGGCTAGTTTAGTCGTTGGTGGCGGAGGAAACCCGATGATTCCGGTGACTTGTATCCTATCCGTAGACTCTTCTTTGATGTCGATATCTTTGATATCGGCTTTGACGTCACTGTTTAGATATATGTTCCCTTGGAGTTCATACAAAAGCTGACACTTGACAGTGTCGACAGTTACAATCCCTCCGAGAGCTTCGTGTTTTGTCACAGTACATTCGCCCGTAGCGGCGACCTCGACAATGGGTAGTCCGAGATCCATGAGCTTGTGAATGGGATACTTATACGAGCCAGCGAAGTTTGCCCCTGTGATGTAGGTCGAGCATTCGATGAGGTGACCACCTACAAATGCTCCAGCGAGTGGAGTATAGTCGTCCTCACTCCATGAATGCCACCAAGCAGCAGCAGCGATAACAGGCGAGGCATCTGCAACACGTCCGCATATGACGATATCAGCTTCCCTATCTAGACACTTCTTGATTGCACGGTACCCTAGATAAGCGTTTGCGCACACGATTGGCATCTCTGAAGGATGATCCATGAATGAAGTCGAGTCTTCAATCAGTTGAACTTCCTCATTATCCTGGTCGAGATGCGTGAGGACACCACTCTTGATGTCATGAAGTAATTGGTCGACTTTGTGCATCAGATTGTCGCCGTCGACGTAAGCAACCTTGAGACGGAGCCCTTTCTCCTTCACCTGACGCGAAATTCAGCCAATGCAGATTGCCCCGTGGAAAATATTCTCTGTACAAACCAAAGCATAGGTCTTCTCCGCGAGACCTTCCGGATTTAGTCCTCCACCATTGATGACAATTTTGATACGCTTCTCGTGAGCAATGTCGAGAGTCTGCTGGAGACCGTCCCAGGCAGAGGAAATCCAACCAGGATTAGTTCCCTTGGCGTAGTCTTCAGCTGCACTTGCCAGATTGAGTTCTGTTCATGTTTCAGCTGTTCCGACTTGTGGTTTAGGTATCGTGATGCTCCTGACCGGCAAGATAGTCTCCCGTGATAACATCTACATCGCCATAATATGCCTGATTGTACATATGCACACCAAGATCGGCTTCAGACTTTAGCAGCAGTCATTCGCCTGACAGTGGAGCCACATACTCGCCGCGCCTGAGCAATTCGCGATTTTGACCGGCCTCTTGATCCGATGCTCCATAGTACTGAGTGAGGCAGTTATGGATTCGCGGTATATAGCGTTTCAGATGCCTGGCTTTTCGAACGATACTAGATCCTCTTCACGTAGTACACGAACATACAGCGCTGGCCACATGCAAGTTAGCTGGGTTGCTAACGTTCGAGTAATTGGACGGAAATGAACAAGCTGAGCGACTACGAAGTTGTAAGGGGACTAAAGTGCTTAGTCAATTACGCTTGTAACGGCAGGCCACATGGAAGCCTCATTTTAGTTAGCATTATACACACCATAAGATACTCACTATCCTATCAGATACGTTGACAGCACGGTTGTGGAGAGGGGTAGCGTATTTAGTGGGGAACCTAGTACGTCTGACGCGTATAGACTATGCACTTTTGAGTCTTGGACCACACTTTAAAACATTCCTAACCAGCCTTGAATTAATTTCCTTTGACCTAGAGCACGCTACGGCGGACTTCCTCATAAGGCTCCGGCTTGATCATGAGGCCTACCTTCAGTATTTGTGTTTGACGTCAGAAGGGCATTGTCCATTCCCCGCAGTCACTCGAGGCAGCGTAACCATTCACTCGTCACACCCACGATACTCATCATGGGCTCAGCACCTCAGTACAGCGTGCCGGAAGAGGCCCAGTCTATCTTCCAGCAGGGAATACTGGATAACGACTTGGTCCCGGATTTACCCTCCGAACTGCGTTCGCTTGCTAAGCTTGTGCGTTTCAATGGGTCTTCAGAGCCGACTCTACCCATCAATTGGCGCTTCGCGGAAAGCATATCAGCACTGAAGGCATTTGAAGCTTCAATGCTGATGATCTTGATCAGTCGTAAATACAAGACGACTCCGACCGAAGTGACTATCAATACGTGAGTCGGCCAGTGAACTCTCCGTTTGAAGGCCACTCTAACACGTCCTCCAGTGACCATGCTACGCTTTTCATCATGTCCCCCCTTGTAGCAAAGGTCATCAAGGATGGAGAGCCGAGAAGGATTGCGTTTGATGTCAACGGAGATGAATTCTTGAAGAAGGCATTCCCATCAACAGATAAGCATCGACTAGGGGCTACGCCGCATCGAAGCCTGACAACAAACATTTACAAGACCAAAGATGGTCGATTTTATCACGTCCACGGTATGGAACCCTACGACTCTTATTCTAGCGTTTTTTCATGTTCCGCGCAGGAAGTCTCAACCCCGAGCCGTCCCTTGAAGCGTTGGGTCTCCCAGCCGACGCTCCTGACACCGAGACTTACGAACAGACTCTGGCGAATCTCCAATCTGCAGTTTCCACCTTTGACTCTGCCGCCCTTGATGAGCTTATGAACGAGAAGTATCGTCAGGCTGGCACCATTTGCTATTCGTCGGAAGAGTTCTTTGCCAGTGCACATGGCAAAGCAAACGCCCACGTAGCTTTGTACGAACTTCCGCCGACATCAGAGTCCTCCGGCGCTCACCCACCCTCCTGGTGGCCCGAAAACAGTAGCATCCCATCATCGCCCAAGCGTCCCCTTGCAGGGCTCAAGATCGTAGACTTGACTCGCATCATCGCAGGCCCAAGCATCACACGTGGACTAGCTGAGATGGGCGCGAGTGTCATGCGTATTACGAGCCCCCACGTTGCAGACTTTTCAGTGCTACACCCAGATTTGAACTGGGGAAAGTGGAACGGAAGTCTGCACCTCACCAATGAAGAAGATAAAGAAAAGCTACGTGCGCTGATTCGGGACGCGGACGTCGTTGTTGATGGGTATCGGCCAGGGGTTATGGAGAAACATGGGTTTGGTCGAGATGCAATTTTTGAGCTTGTGAAGGAACGTGACAGGGGAATCATCCATGTGCGGGAGAACTGTTATGGATGGCATGGCCCATGGAGCCATCGAAGTGGGTGGCAGCAGATTAGCGATGCGGTGCGTTTACGATCTCAGGATTTGTGCTCTTGCTGACTATGCAGTGTACCGGCGTTTCGATGTCTTACGCAAAGGCCATGGGTAATGACGAAGCTGTCACTCCTGTCTTTCCAAATTCCGATTACTGGTATGCTTCTTGTCTTGATCTTATTGAGCACATCTGACTGTTTCAGCACTGGCGTCTGTGGTAGCACCGCTGTTCTCCATGCTCTTGTGCGCCGTGCCGAGTTTGGCGGGAATCAGAGTGTTGATGTAAGCACAATCGACAGTAACAATAGCTTCTTCCACTAATGTTACACAGGTCGCTCTCAATTACTACTCTCAGTGGCTTATACGCTCTGTTGGTACGTACCCTCCTGAAACATGGACCAAAGTCCACCAACGTTACAAATCACCCATCTATCGGCATTATCACAACATGGGTTACACTCTACCTGCCATGCTCAAACTTTTGAGCGAGTACAATGCCAACACCCTGTTCGATCCCGCCTTCTTCGAGAACCGAGCGGCAAAGAATATCGAGTTGACGTTCGTGCTACCAAAACCCATCGCACAGTTCAAGGACGAAGACGTCAAGCTAGGATACAATGTTGGTACGCGTACGAATGGTGTTGATGTTCCGAGATGGCCGGATGACCTGAATGTTGAACATGTGACAGATGAGAATTGAAATGAAATGTAGGAGCTTGTTTCTCGCGCTTCTAGCAGGCGCGAATATTGATAAACAGTCCTGCCTAGCTCTTTGGGTTGACACATAGAGTGACAAGAACGCATAACAGCATCCTATCTCTCTATATTTGTGAAATTAACTGGGAGACCGAACACCTAATCCCTTCGCTCCTCATAGAATTCGAAGGCAAAGGGCTGTCAAATCACCCCTACCTAGAACGCTCTGTGTATGTTACGAGCACCATCAAAGCCCTGAAATTCACAACCTCAAGCTTTTTGCTAGCAATTCGAGGCCTTTGTAGGCTTGAAACCAAGTGGCTATCAGCTGGATGCACTTTTCACGCCTTCTTGTAACACTATCAACCTAGAAACGCTTGACATTATATACAGAGCTATAGTCTCCCATGGAGGTAGATCTACAATTTCCGTTAGTATGTGTCGGGCAGCAATAGGTGATGCGATCCATATTCGTTTCATGTTAGACGGTCTCACATCTTCAATCAATGTTTAATAAACCAAAATCGCAAAAATGGCGCCCTCGTACCATTAGAAATGGGAAGCCAATGTTCTAGTGTCACGATGTGCACAGTCAGATATCAAAGATCAGGGTTTGCAAATGGTCTGTTACTTTCGGGGCGCCTTGTAGACGCGAGTGGTATTACATGCTCAAACAAGTCCGAGCTTCTTCTTCACATCTGTCTCCGAGATATCCCGGCCTGTTTCCTCGTTGAATCGCTTCGCCACGCGCTGGAACGCGGCTTCCGCATCCTCCACGTGCATGCGAGCCAGCATCTCGCACTCCACCTCGTTGAACTCATCGTCTACAGATAGAAACATATATCTTCCATTTCCTCCTCTCGATCCACTACTCGGCTCCGCTGCTGCCCCAGAGTCACCATTGGTCTTTTTGCCCTTACTGGGCTTGCCCTTCTTCTTGTTGTCTTTCTTTTTCTCAAGATCCGGCTTTTCGATCTCTTTGTCGTCGGACTTGATCTGTGGGAAACGTTTCTTCAGCGCCCACGCTGGCTTGCCCGTTTCGGAGGCAATGTCTTTCCAGGACTTTCCTTCGGCTTTCATGCGGAGGAGTGTAGCATCTTGGTCGGCAGTGAAGACGTCTGGTGCTGGTGTTGGTTCAGCTACGACTGCTGGGGTTTCGGCTGGAGCAGGCTCAGTCGCTGCAACAGGCTCAGGAGGTTTGTCATCTGCAGGAGCTACAGCCGCGACCGTAGCACTCTTCTCTTTCTGTATAAAGTTGTCAGTGGCCTGCGTGAGAATGAGACTGCAGCTCTAGAGTTTGATACAAGTAGAGCCATGAATACCTCCTGACGGACCTTTGGAACCCAGCTCGGTTTACCGCCCATTGCAACACGATATACGTCAAACATTGAGACGCGCTTCGGAGGCATTGTTCGTCAGTTTCGTAGATGTGAAGATGTGTCGATTCTGTGAACGGGATGGTTTGTGGTTAGGTGAAATTTATAGGATTGAGTGTGCTTGGTCGACTTGAGATATAGACGAGTCGGTGAGCTAACGGTGGTTCACTCAGCGCCTTGATGGAAAGAATGGCGGACAATAGGCTCGTGTAATGTCAATTGGCACGCGTTCACTTCCCTTAAACCAATGTTGCCGTTGTTCAAACACGTCATTGACAGCATGGGGTACCCTTGTCCGAGAAGTGAAACAGTATAGACAGTTTTTCAGCTGATGGTCAGTCCGGCGATATTTGGATGATCTTGGGACAGTTGAAGTGCAGTATTGATCATTACTGCATACTGTTGAAGAATCGAAATCGTAAAAAATAGCATAAATCCCATAATAAAATCACAACACGTCGAGTATAACAGGTCGAGAGTGCCTTTGTGGTAAGCCATTTAGAACACACGTCAATACTGAAAATTGAAGACCGCATCTACTGCACTTACCAACACATTCATCTGGTTGCGAACGTCAATTCTTATAGTGGAGGAAAATGGAGCAAAATATCTATGGCCTAGCACGGTTTGACACTGAAAGTGATATCAAGGACAGCGTCAATAGCGAGTGCACTACAAGAAAATAGTGATTTCGCTCTCCATGCCTGGCTCCAGTTTTAGACTTCTGAGCGCTTTTAGGGTGTCCTCCCATGGTACAGCAAATTTTCCTGCATTGATCTTACAAATGCGCAGTTCACCGACATCCTCACCTACGTTTCGTGCGTCTCGAATCTGTCGTAGCAAATCTAATAGCGCCGGTCCTGTGTTTGCGAGTATGCGTGCAGGTACATCCTTGCGCCGTCCATAGTGCCTGCTCGTAAACAAACAGCCGACATAATGTTGCGGCTCGTTCTTCTGCTCACTAGCAGGAGAAGGTGGAATCAAGAGCGCTGTTCCAGGTTTAGCATCTGAGGGATTCTTCTTGCAGTACGAAGCGTAACGTGTGTTAGCCTTTGGATATCGCAAACGGAATTCTGCAGCAATTCCGGTGCCCCATACGCCTGCACAATTGCAAGCATGAATGAAGACAGTGCGGGAAGGGGCGACGGAAAAGATATCGCCGTGAGTTGTAGTGATACTAAGACGCGTTGGTGGGAGAGGGGTCGCAAGTGGCGTAGATTGCAGGAGAGTACTGCGTTCTCCTAGTACTGTTCCCTCATTGATGCTGCAGGTCTCTGCTATGAAATCTGATCGAGATGTAGCTCTCGCGACCGACTCAAAGGTAACATCAGGCGCGGCCCCGTGGTCAGACTCAGGCTTAATGACAGGTTGGACGGAAGGACTAGGGTGTGAGCTTTCAGAGGCACGAGACTCATAGTACGCATCAGCTTCCTCGCGCATCGCAGAGCTCGTTAAGCTAGGCATTCTTGCTGAAGGGCTCAGCTCTAATGATCGGTCGAACGCATCGGGGTGTTCCGAAGAGAATGAAAGAGATCGGGAGACAGACCGGAGGTCTCGCGCAAGCTGATGGTGAGCAAGAAAACCTAGATGAAAGCTGAGATTGAAGGCTTATGCTGAAAGAAGCCTACAGGGTGTTCAATGTTAGCAGTTTCCGAAGATTATCTACGCGATATGGTGCGTTGATGTTGATGATGGTGAAAGATGACGGAGGAGCAAGCAAGTCCACACCTTAATATGGAAGTGAATGGCAGTTGCACTAACCCCAAAGTAGCATGGTCGAGATGATGACTAAATGACTAAGCCAAAGATTCTGATTGGCCCGTATCAAGTAGCACCTTCGGCTTCACGAACTTCGACTTCTCGCTCCCGGCCAAGCTCCCCTACCTGGGTACATCACCATTGCCGTCGACCTCACCACTCCTCCATTGCCATCGCTGTCATCATGCGGAACCTTGCATTCAAGGCCGGTACACTCGCCCGTGTGTGCTCACGGCAGCAATTGCCCTCTGTACATGCCTCGGGCGCTGCCGTCCAGCAAATCCAGCAGAAGAAAAACGCTTCCTCCTTCGACAACCCCTTCCGTGAGACTCAGACCACAAAGATACCTAGCTTCGACAAATATAGAAACAGTGGAGGAGAGTCGAGCGCGAAGGTCTTTCAGTATTTCATGGTGGGAACGATGGGCGCTGTGACTGCGCTGGGCGCAAAGAACACCGTGCAAGGTGCGTAACAATCAATTGACGCTCTACATCATCCTCTTAAGCTCGCGGACACCTATGGAATATCTTGTGGAGGCTAACGCTACTGTCTCGTTAGACTTCCTCGTCAACATGTCCGCATCAGCAGACGTTTTGGCCATGGCGAAGGTCGAGCTCGACCTTTCCGCAATTCCCGAGGGCAAGAATGTAGGAAATCTTGTCGTAGATTATGAAATCGTATACTGAATCACAAAAGGTCATTATTAAGTGGCGTGGCAAGCCTATCTTTGTTCGCCACCGTACCGAGGATGAAATAAAGGAAGCCGACGAGACAAAGTGGGAAAGTCTGAGAGACCCCCAGCCCGATTCAGACCGAGTCAAGAAGCCAGAATGGTTAATTATGTTGGGTATGTCTTCTCAAATGGTATTTTTGGCCAAGCTAACACCAACAGGTGTATGCACTCACTTGGGTTGTGTGCCCATTGGTGAGGCTGGGGACTTTGGTGGATGGTTTTGTCCTTGCCACGGTTCGCATTACGATATATCCGGCCGTATACGAAAAGGACCTGCTCCTCTCAATCTCGAAATCCCTGAATATGACTTCCCCGAGGAGGGGACTGTTGTCATTGGTTAAGAACACAATTGTAGATACGGGGTGTACTTATAGCAACAGAGGAAGAGCGTCTCATTTGTGCTACTTGATTCACTGAGGCATAGAGGTGTTGCGAAATACATTTACAATTTTTGTCAAACGGCCCTGCCGTTGGTTGTTGGGATATCATGAGATAGACTGTTCGAGACGACATGAAAGTGACCGGCAGGCACCATTCCAGCAATCGCGCAAATCAGTGCTACACCAGCTATGTAAAGACTTCACTAACATACTACCTCTGATCAACTGACTAGTGGTGTGCTTTCTTCCTCACGGGTCTTGCCGAGTAAAATTTCGGATTCAACAATTGAAACACGACCCGTCATGACAATCAATAGTACAAAGATTTTAGATGCAATGCTTACAATGTTAGCCGGGCTCTCGGCGTGGGTGGTCATAGTCAACTATCACTGTAACTGCTCACATTCACTGCTTATCCTTGCACAATCACAATCTACGGAATTGTTGATTTGGTGCGGCACAAAGTTCCAGAACTGTGATTCGCAGTCCCTCTGCATAATCGACACATGAGGTAGACTTCTACTTATACACAGTCCTCATACCCTTTGTTACGCCCGGAGCAATAGTACATTATATCTACCTCTCATATACATGACTTCTCACTATAACGAGAATCTATGAGGCTCCATCTGCTGAGGGATCTCGAAAAGCAAAGACTAAAAGGCTACGCAAGCATCGCTCTGACACATACAAAATCAAGTTTCAAAGTCAAAACAGTTCAACCTCGGAGGGTCCATTTGGTCTCGCTAACTTCCTGGGAATGGGCAGACGCTACCATGAGGCCTTGAAGATCTTGACCGATTGTTCACTCGTACCACTACGGAGCATTAACTGGAGAGCCGTACCTTGAGTTCCAGCTTGGAAAAGGTCTTAGCTGAATCACCATCCAAAGCAATGTTGATACTAGAAAGTTCGATTCATGTACGCATCGAAAATATGAGTACACGTTACTCTCTGGCTATATGAGTTCGTACAACTCGAAGAGACTACAGGTCAAGGACAAGAAGACAATGATTTTCGCATCAGCTGCGCAAGTAAATCTCGTTCAACCATAATGCTTTATCTCGTCATCCAAAAACTCGGATCAGCCCGTCGGATGATCGCCATACCGCCTTGCGCTATCGGAAGGTGTTCGTATACTGCCGATCACTTCTCAGTCTTCGACACCTCAGGAAACCAATCACATTCTCGACTATCGTTCACTTCTACATAGGTGTACTGCCACTAAGTATAGCTCTCGCGTAAAGTCTTGTCGGTATGCAAACCAGGAACAGATACAGGCGAAGCGTACGCCACCCGCGTAAAGGCGTCTAGAGGGTGGTAGTACATGACGAGCGCGAATGAGCTAAGATCTGCTTGGGAGTGAGGCTCTAGCCAATGTAAAGTCCCCAAGACGACATGCAGGTCGTCGAAAGGATCTCTTCGTCTATGGATGAAGATCTTTTGACAGACACTGTGGCTCCATTGATTAGCCTATGTTTTTTGTGTTCCCCGAGCGTTGACGGAGATGGACCAAACAAAACTTGACCAAAAATATATAAAAACGTCGGTGCCCCTTAGCTACCTCTTCTGTTCACAAGTCCCAACCTCGTTCCTTGCTACAATATCGATATGAAGGTAAGAATATTAAATGCCACTCATACATTACAGTATTCAAAGATTAATGTATATCAGTTCCTTAGCACCATTGTTGTGTCCATCGCTGCCACTCTGGCAACAGCGACCCCAATTGAACAACGATCCGGATCTCCTCTCACTCAAGCACAAGCCGAAGCTCGCCTTCAACCGCAAGGTATCTCTGCAATCTCTTCCGGCGGCTGCACCGACAAGACGAATCCTAAATGTACATCGTACGCGGGTATTCTCAGCGGAACTGTGGACGGAGCCATAACACTTAAAGGCGCATGTGGTTGTGACATCACTATCACCGGTGGTACCGAGACTGGACATGCAGGCGGCACGTATAGTCATGCCAACGGCTATAAATTCGATTTCAGGAAGAATACAGCGCTGAACAACTATGTCACGCAGACTTTCACACGCATCGCAGACCGTGGAGACGGATATCCGCAGTGGAAGAGCGCGGCTGGGAATATCTACTGCGATGAAGGTAATCATTGGGATGTGACGTATTATTGAGTTTAGCATTCAGTCGCAAATGAAGTATACATGATGTGGCATATACCTATCTTTATAACATGCCTTCCTGTGTGTATGTATGTCTTGTAGTCGCCTTTGGTTACTTTGAACCCTCCCCGAGCCAGGATTCGACTTCGATCTCAAAATGCATGGCTGGCGACCCCAACTCCTTGACGCCAACCTCCGTCCATACTGCCGCATGCCCTGGCATCCATTTCCGCAGTTCTCCAACAATTAGGTCTGTTTGCGAAGGGATGTCTGTCGAGTACGTGACTACCTTGTACACCTGGTCCCAGCCTGTACCTCCAGCATGCTTAAGGGCGACTTCAACATTGGCGAATGCTTGGTGAATCTCGTCAGCAAGCGAGCCGGGTATGAATGAATGATCGAGACTCGGATCAGGGTTGTGAGGATCCCAGCCTCCTGTAGGTGAGTCAGTAAACGCTACAGGAAAATAAGGTGATTGAGGAGCATCTACCTTGACCCGAAATCACGAGACGGTCACCAACGCGAACAGCTTGTGTAAAAGACATGCTCTGGCGAGCAAAGGTACCCCAGCCGGGATAGTCGTACGATTGAAGGTTGGACATGGTAAGTGCTTGCTAATACAATAATGACTTAGGAGTGCTTAGATGTTACAGGTTTTTGTCTTCAACTGCTTGTGGAATAGGGAATTCGAATATGGCGGAACCTCCTCTCCCTTTATATAATTTCAGGCCAACACTTCTACTAGGTGTGCTCGGACAATTCTCAGTAGAAAATTCTCCTGTTGGACCAGTAGCATGTTATAGTGCTGACCGAATAAATGCTGATGGATACCGCTCCAGAGCTGAAGCATATGCTAAGACTCGTATCCATATACCCCTCAATTGATCAACTGATCACTTACTATTTTGATTGTATATTTTAGCCGCCAAGTTATTGTGCCTGGCACATTGACCATCGAAGGAAGGCTACATACTCCTAGCTGAACTGAATGTGGTTTAGTGTGGCTACTGCGATGGATTACGGAATCGCATCGCTGACAAATGCTTCTATGAATGCATCAAACAGCCATGGGATTCAACGGTGCTCGTGTTGGGTGACTACCAGGTAATCACATATACATGGCGCTCATTTCTGCCTCCAAGACTGCAAGATTTGACTCGAACTCGAGAAAGCACGAAGGACAGAGGTTCGAAGACTCACGAGTTTTCATGGTCATGCGTGAAGTAACCAAAAAAGAAAGGTAGCAAGGGGAGTCTAATATCCTCTATCGCACTCTACACAGCTTCCCGTTCTGCGTCCAAACTCCCTGGTCGCCGTCTCTGACTTCCCAGTCTTCGCTTCCCACCGCAGTGGTCGCGTAGAACACTGCCCACGGATCCCACTTTCTCTTCAGCTCTTTCAACCTGCCATACTGCTCTCCGTAGAAGCTGCTCTGCCATTCAGGCTCCATGATATGAGCTTCGTTCAGATAGCTGCCTCCACCTGCACTTTCTGGCGCGGCGGCTCGCCACCGACCCGTCACCATGTTCAGCTCTTCAGAACCTGTTTTAATCTGCGCTGGTGTCGCATGTTCAGGAAGTACGACATTCGTTATGTGCAGACTCACAGCTTGTCTAAAGGCAGATGATACGGCGTTGTCCTGTCTCAGAGGATTCCCAGGTGCCATCGCGAAGCCGATCGTCAAGTAGCCGGCCTCTACGTTTTTGCGCACGGCGTCGAACGTGGCGGCAAACTTGATCTTATCGACAAAGTTTGAGCGTGGGAATAGCCTGTTCCCAGGCATAACGGTCGTCGAACCAATGGGGTTGTCGTCGCCAAAGTTGGCATCATAGGCTGAGTAGAAATCTTCATAATAAGTTGTATTCGGGGTGAACGGTACATTTAGTCGGCGCAGTTGAGCAAACCATGGATCAACGAGAGCGGTGAATTGAGTGGGCGTGTAGTCGGGTGCGAAAAATGGGATAATTTGCAGGCTGAGTGTACCTCCGGTGTTGGTGATGAAGAAGTAGACATAGCTGCCGGCATCCGTGAAGCGGGTGAAATTCTCATAAAAAGACTTCACGGCAGCCCAGAAAGTCCCTCTGCTGACGGTAGAGGAGGTACTAATGGTGAACCGAGAGGTTGTGACCGGGGTCTTCGGGTGGACTCTTATAAGAGCTGATGTGACAACACCATAGGTGCTCCCACCACCACCTCGAAGTGCCCAGTAAAGGTCAGGATTTTGCTCAGAAGACGCCGTGACGAATTTTCCGTCGGCTGTGACGACCTCGAAAGCGAGCACCTGGTCTGCGGCCATACCGTACTTCGATGAAAGTGAGCTGTGGCCGCCGCCCTGTATGTAGCCTCCCGCGAGACCAACATTGGGGCAAATACCGCCAATGGCTGTCACCCCATGCTTCTGCGCTGCGATATATACATCTCGTACCAGAACACCTGCGCTGATCTTCATTGCTGGCCCCTGATATTCTTTATTTTTGAAAGTCCTAACGAATCGAATGTCTCTCAAGCCGTGTGTCCACACGCTCAAACCCCCGGCACCACTCGATTTACCAAGATAACAATGCCCAGTATTCTTGATGACCAGCCGCATATTGGCATTTCTAGCAAAGTTGACTGAGAGTTGGATCTGAGCGACATTTTCGACCTTTACTGCATAACTCGGATAACCGCCCAGCGAACAATTTGAAGTCCCGTTCTGCCCATCAATCGGCAGACACGTTCGACCTTGGAATATGGGCCACATCATCGATGTTGGATCCGCTTCACTATTTCGTTGATCAGTTGTATCTTGTTCAAACCGCAAGCTTGACCCTTACTGTAGTTCTGTCGTGCCGAAATTTTCCATCACAGCGTCGCACTTCTCCTTACTGTATATTCCAAAGTCCTGGTAGCACGGCGCCGCGATCGGCACGGTCGGGACCAACGCACCTCCAAGTAAGAAGTCGAAAGCTTGCCATTCTTGTGGCGACGGCCAATTGTGATCTCCAGGAAATACTTTGCACTGCCCTATGGCTACGGGTCGCTTTTCCGCTGATGAAATGTTGTTCTCGAAGCCGAATAACTGCGTGAAGTTGACCGGAGCATCCACTGCATTGATGCGTCGAATAGATGCGTCCGTTACTTGAATCATTTCAGCATCGAAAAGGCTCACCCCTGAAGACGACTTTGCTGGAACTTTGGTGACGGCCGGAGGTGTGGCACAGGCAGGCGCTATGGAAAGTTCGACCACTAACAGAACAAAAGTAGAGGCACAAAGCATTGTGAAGATCGAAACTCGGCAGTCAGAATTAATCTTGCCATTCGCTTTGTCTTATGTATCCAGTCACTTTGGTGTCGTGTCGATAGGGTCGGTGTTTGCTAGTTCATTACATGCGGGGTGCAAGTGATCTGCATAGAAGTTAAATCCTTCTCGGCGAAGGCTAGCTGAATCAATTATTTCTATGAGGAGGTCAAATTGAGTTCCGCTACTTTACAACTTACGAACACGCTTGCTGGGCTGACCGGTCCCTAGAGACGCAGTACATGTAGCGTCTCACCACTCAACAGGAATTTCCAGATGGTGATGATGTAGTGGTTCAAAAGAAGTCTAGATATCTTGCAAGTGTTCTAGTGGCTGCCAATTAAATCCGTATCAAAAGTACAGTCTGTTCGTTCTCCGTGTGCCGCCATTGATATATTTGCTTGTATTGTTGTGATATGCAACAATGCGGGATTCTGTCAATGTTTGCCTCTTTTTATAACGTCAGGAATACGTAGCTGTTTTTGAACAACTCTGCTGAGGACGGAAAGGATGTCTTCGATTCATAAAAAGCCTATGAGACGTAACCTATCCGATCGTGCTTACATCCTATGACGCCAACCTTGAACTCAGACTTAGGGAAATGCCAGATAATCTTACTATGACAGATCAGTCTACCAAAAGAGACAGACTGCACCCACAGCCACGACAGCGCTCAATGCGCTTCCAGCGATCTTATCTGCAGCGTCAGTGCTTACTGGCATCCCCGTGGGTGTGGGGGTCATACCTCCAGGCGACGTCACGGCCGAATTGTTCACAACGCGGAAGTAGTTTCCGAGAATTGGAGTATTCAAACCAGCCGCAGCGATGAAGCCGGTTGTGTTGAACCCTCGCCGCATTTGTACCGCCTGCTGTTGGCTGTCTGGCACCGAGAAGTTTTCTGGCTGTGGGAACAATAATTGAACGTATCGATGAGGGACGGGAGGGTTTTCTGCCGGAGGCGCAGGTCTGATATATGGTGCCGGAGCGGAGGTTGTCTCGGATGAAGTCAATGTGCCATTCGGGGTGAACGAATAGCCTGGGACAAGAGCGTGGAGGAGCTGGACACGGCCGGCCGAGGCATTCCCAAGCTGGGCTGGGACATCCAGGTCTACGACGAGGTGGTGTTATTATTCCGTTAGACCGGACTCGAGGCTTTTGCAACTTACCAATCATCATGAAGATGTATTGACCTGAGATATTCCCGCTTGCAGCGAGAGTAGGGATGCTCTGCGTGACTATCACGGTCTTAGTATTGCAAGGTCGTATTGGCCTCTCAAGTACCGTGACTTGCCCTCTCGAGCCAACGTAATACCAGCAGGGCTCACGACTGTCGAGCCAAAAGTTACAGACAGCATGTCTGAGACCGCAGGCTGAAACCCATCAGGGGTTTGTGCTATTGCCAGTGGGAGCGCCGAGGTGGCAGCAAGAAGGCCAATGTTACGGATGGAACAGCGCATAACAGATAATGTCTGCAGTAGTCGAAGGGTGAAATCGTATAATAACAATAGCCGTCAGGCGTGTGAGAAGAAATCGAGCAGGTACCGGCTATAACTCGTAGATGGATCCATGGTGTTAGTTAGGGTCAGGGTCCTTGGATGATGATGACGCCAGAGATTCAGTGGGTTGTCCAGCCGCTTTCATCCGAGACGAGGTATACTCCACATACTATTTACCCTTCACTGACTCGCATCTCTTCTAGCAAACAGGGTTGAGATCATAAACTCCCGCCACGACTACTGGAAGTTCCGCAGATGATTGCTCGTCTCTGCATGGTTTCAGTGGACGCGCTCCAGGGACACAGGAAGTGCCCAATGATAACGCAACATCAGTCTCCGCATATTCTACGGATATATTAAAGATTCTCGGTCTGGCATAGGCAAATTGACATGACGAGTCCAGGGAAACTCATCAGTCCACACTGCTCCCGATCTCACGTTGCCCCGCCCCACAACGATCATTATACAGCGACTCAGCTACAGGCCGATTTTCGCATGATGTCCGTTATCACAGCCTTTGTGTAGGCCTGTATTGAGGTTCTTGTATTATATTGCTTGGACGAAAGAAGCCGATCCGAGGATTTTCACGCACGCTTTCCTACAGCTTCTCTTACCGCTGCATCTGCCATACCCATGAGTTCTTCCTTATCTTCCCAAGATGAGCTCGAGCATATGCACAATAGGTCATCGTAAGATGCATTGTGAACAATAAGGTGGCCGCAGATGTACCTATGCAACCCGCAAAACGGACCACCAGGCTGGAAAGATTCACGCTCTCCTAATAATGGCATTTCTGTGGTTGCTACTTTTGTGGAGCATCTTTGAAATCTGTTTCATGTCTGTCATAACTTTGGCTTAGTCTGAGATATAGCATGCCAAGTATCGTGTACGTATCCGTATGCGACCGGGTTTGCTTTCGGGCTTGCATACATGGCCTGCGGGAATTGGGCTTTTCGCAGTTGCTGGGTAAAGAATACCGGGTGGCGCGTAGCGCTGTCATAAGGCATGAACAAAGTATGCGGCTTCGAGTGTTGCGCAGGTGGCATCGCTTCTATCTGAGACCGCGGCCTCTGCTGTATGGAGTCTCGAGAGAGCGACACAGGTGCAGGTTGCGGAGGCTGCACCGTTCAACATCAGCGATCACAATGATGAAGAGTCAAAGTGAAGGGCTTCTGTACCTTAGGTCTATTAGGCTGAGACCTTGAAATCATTCTCCTTGAACGCGAGACGAACAGTGACTAGACGAGGATTTCTAGTGCTAGTGCGATTCGGGGGAAGGTGAAGTAGTTGTAGGTCAGTGGGAACTGAAGTCAAGAATCACACTCAGATGTATTCACTCTGTCATATCGCAGTGTGCTTTGTATGAAGGAATCTGTCCCGGCAAGCCATTACATGATTACAGCTGGCTGTTACGCCGACCAGACCCGAGCCACAGCCAGACTAATCCAGAAACGGTTAGAGTACAAGCCTCAAACGGAGCAATCCCAGACAGCCGGTTGCCGGTCCATTGGATCGGATCGTCCTATCGGAGGCCGGGTTTGAGTTGGGAATTTGCACATTCAATGCATCTATTACATCTCTGTCATCGACTTCCGCTCACACCATATCTTATAGATGCTCTCTATATCAGCTACTTCCTGGGGCACGACAGTACGGGGTCTTTCTCACTGGATACTGTTAAGTCAGGCTGTCCTCATGTCGTAAAGAAGAATTCGAGACCCGGCTTCAACATCTACACTTTCTTCCAATCTTCTAGAGAAAGGGTATCCAACGCTGTATGGGAGGCTCATTATGCGCAAATTGTCTCGTGATTCGCGCTACATCACTCAACGTGTATTCAGACGAACAACGAGCTCCGACATCCGAAATCATCCTCTTATAAAGATCTCTAATGGCACATTTTACCAGCTGCACCCTCAGACGAAGCCGTCAGGGTGCATCACTTCGGCTCCAAGGCCACTGTTTGAGAACTTGAGCATTTCCATCCCCTCCTTCACAACGCCAAACCAGCACTGGGCTATACTGAGCCCTTCCTCCACAGTGCGAACTTCTTTCTTAAAAATTCTCCATGGGCAAATGATATGTCAACCTCCGACAGCACGGACTTATCCCTATCTCACCACAAGGGCCTCTGCAACCCATACACAGAACATTCGATCTCCCGAGAGGTCTATTACTTACGTGGGCTTCGATAATGATAAGAAGTCTTTTGGTGGCGCTTATTTGAGTGCGCGGTACGAAAGTCGTGTCGAGGAAACTGATTTCACTCTTCAGCAGTATCTCACCGGCGATACTCAACTCAATCCCAGTGCGGACTGCATGCAACCAAACACACTAGCCGAAGAGGTCTCCATCGCGGTAGCGACCGACCTAGACCTTATGAAGTTGCTCAAAAAGCCCGTCAACATGCTCAGTAATGGTCAATCGAGACGGGCGAGAATTGGTAAAGCACTGCTCACCAAGCCAGAATTACTTCTCCTGGATGCGCCTTTCATAGGTCTAGACCCTTTCGTAACAGAGCAAATCTCCTCACTACTTGAGCGCCTGTCAAACACATTGCAGCCACGAATCTTCATAGCTTTGCGCCCGCAAGATGTCATTCCCGCATGGATAACGCATATTATATATGCTAACAGGAACAGCAAAGTTATGTGCCTAGGCCCTCGAGAGGATGTGATGGATGTACTCCGGCAAGAATATGAGGCTGTTGAAGCCATGGACTCTTATTCTTCCCTCAGTGCCGATAAGCTCGAGACTCTAGAAGTAGGGCGCCATCTTGTACGTAAGGGTGACTTCATTCGAAATAATGCGCGCGTCCAGCGCAGCATAAGTGTGGACGGATACCATCATACCGACCCAGTTGACCATGCAACTAGCGAGGTCCTTGTGGAGATGAAAGGTGTGAACGTGAAATATGGCGATAACTCTGTGCTTGGAGACTGGTCTCAGATAGTTGACAGTCGGGAGCAGAAAGGTTTATGGTGGAATGTGCGAAGAGGGGAACGATGGGGGATTTTTGGTGCCAATGGTATATCAAGTGCACGAGCAAGGTCTTTGATATTTGTGCTGAAACATTGCAGGTTCTGGGAAGACAACGCTCTTGTCATTGATCACGTCTGATCATCCTCAAACGTACTCTGCCCCAGTCAAGCTCTTTGGGCGCGCTCGCCTACCTTCTCCAGGTCGACCTGGGATTTCCATTTTCGACATTCAATCACGAATAGGCCACGCGTCGCCAGAAGTACATGCTCTCTTTCCTCGACACCTCACTATACGTGGTACTCTTGAGAGCGCCTTCGGGGATACTCCTCTCACAAAACCTAGACTAGATCCGTTCGCTGTGGCAAGGGTGAATGCATGCCTGGCGTGGTTTTCTGAGGAGCTTAATCCCGGGTACAAACCGAGGGCAAGTCATGATCTGCACTGGTCAGTAGCAGCAAACTTTGCAGATCTCTCGTTCTCGTCGCAGCGAGTCCTTCTCTTCTTGCGGGCTTTGGTGCGTCAGCCAGACATAATTATCCTTGACGAAGCTTTTAGTGGAATGGATGATACGGTCCGCACTAAATGTCTTCTGTTCCTGAGCTGGGGCGAAACTAAGACTTTACACGATGATGCTTACATGGCCGATAAGCCTGTCGTGAACGGGATCAATGCAAACCAGGCGCTGTTGTGTGTCAGTCATAGTATGGATGATGTACCTGGGTGTGTTAGACAATGGATCTGCTTACCGGAATCGGGTACAGGCTCACCAAGGATTGGAAAGCTTAATGGGCCCGTTGGCCTGGACGCTCGACGATGGGACAACATATGGAACTATGGCGGCAGTGTGATGTAGCCACGAAGTTTGCATACTCGTATTATACTCTGCCTGCCTCATACGAGCACCGAGTCGATCAGCAGGCTGTAGCTCAACACTTACGGAAGTACCTGAGTAATAGTGGCTTGACAACGACTACCAATCAAGATATGGGGCTCGTAATCTGACACTCAGCTTTGGGACCCGCTATCAAACGTGGGACCCAATCCTCGTTTGTTCCATACCGTATTCCATCGTCGAGATTACCAACCTTTGCATTGGAGAATGATCTTACTGCTGCCTTGGCTCAAATCGATCGACGCTTGCTGCCGTGCGGAAGTTGCCGAACTGGTAATAACCAGGCAAAAGAGTGCATTATCAGACGCTAATGCGGCATTAATGCTTTCTACCGCCCTTCCTTTATGCATAACCATCCTCGACGAATAGAAATGGCAGAACCGAGATGAGTTGGCTGCATCCTTCCGTAGTATCTGATGCCCCTTCGGAAGTTCCAATATCAACGCAAACGCCGACCGAACAAGCACAAAGTCCTTGCAAGGGTCATGATACAACAGTCTGTGAGCTACGTATGATCTTCGATATGCAGCTTTGAGCGCTGAGGCTTGAATCGAGGTCTCTGTCCATGCACCTCGACCGCTGTCCTCTTTGCGTAGTCTGCTTCAGGGACTACGGCATAAGTTCTTCCAGCTCTGAGGTCGGAACCTGACAATTAATTGGACAGCCACCAAACTCTATACACCCGCATTCGGCCAGGTGGCGTAGTGGTAGTGTGCTACGTTACTGGAAGCGTTTGTCATCCAACGTCGTGGGTTCGAATCCTACAACGGCCACCTTTTCACACACCAGTTTTCGCACGCTCTATTAAAAAGTGTGCGGGGCTAAGCGAGCACGTGACGTGAAGGTTACCGTCACATGACTACTTAGTCCTAAGCGACCATTAGGTAATATGAAAATGACTATACCGTCATCACATAATGAGAATTACCTAATATAGCCACCTGCTAAGCCACCTTAAGTGGTAGAGCGACGCCTAGAGCGGCTAGACCCATAACTAGCTTAGCTCGAATCATAGAATTTTCACTATATACCGGGGCCTTATCCACCCTAATCCGGCTTAGCTCGCGCTTACTCCGGCTCGGTAACCACGAAATAGACGGTAATACCTAATTAAGTATCCCGCCTACCCATAGACGATTATATAGCCCCGAAGAATAATTTCCGAATTCGGCCTAGCTAGGGTTAGTGCTAAGGCATAGACCTATTAGATATACACCCCCTCCGGCATTAGTCATCTTAATTAATAACTACTACCCGGCGCAAAGCTATATTCCCATGGATAGGAAAAAAACACGGTAACATAGGAATAAAAGACTAGGCCTAGCCTAGCGACCTACCTAATCATAAGAAAGGTAATACCTACTATAGTTAGTTAGGGCGTTATTAAGAGCCGGTACTAATATAATAATAAAAGCCTAATATAAGGATAAGAAGTAAGTTTATCACCTAATGGGATTCGAGGACTTAGACTAGGCTAGGTTAGGTTAGTAATAGGGTCTAGTTAGGGAGCTAATCACAGGAGGTTTTCTTATATACATAGTAGCCAATACTAGAGGAGGCCTGAGCCTGTGGAGCATATATATGGCTATATATATAGTTCTTCCTAGTTAAACACTAATATTATTATTATTATTATACACCCGCATTCAAATCTCATGCACGCATCAAGCAGGTTGTTGTGTTTAGGCTCAGCTATCATACTATAAATAGTACACGTATCGTGGCATGACAGTAGAGCGTTAGAGGAGGTTCACAAGATCAGGCCATCAAAGCTTAATGGATTCGGAAGATTTTCCTTTACTGATCAAACGTCTGTGTGGACCATTGTTTACGTGCCGCGGTGCAGCACAACAACGCCGACGGCAGCAAATATTTTCGCGATCTCTTGTTGTAACTCTACTCAGATCGTAATACGAGCATTACTTCGGCTAGCCTAATCTCGTCTGTTCCTACAACGTACAAGCCATGATAGCCAATCAGATGCTACTCAACATCGATCCGATTGCAACTCTGGTACTATCTGTCAATGGCTGCCAACAAAACCATAACAAGCCAACCTGCTATTGCATAGCATCCAAATGAGCCATCTAGAGCTAGCCTTCGTCTTTTTCCCAGACCTTCAATACTACACAGCGTACGACAGTTGTTCGAGAGGTGAAACAAGCCAAAGAGTTTGGGGCTCTGTGCGATCATGTATGAGTCAGAGCCCAGAGTCGCAGTATTCCAGCTCAGGTGGTGCACAGCCTTATGCCTGACTCCTCTCTGTGAAGCGCACGACTATCGGTGCCTTCCACCACATTATATGGCAATGACTGGCTCTCTCCCAATCGAGCTCCTTGTTGATGAGCTCCAAGTCATATCTAAACATGATTTTGGCCATCAGGAGCGACATCTGGACATATGCAAAGCTGCAGACGTGATCAGCACGTCATATCCATTCAGTATCCCAAGCAAGACGTCCGAATAGTGACTCACTTGCGACCCACACACGCACGCAGTCCCAGCGAAAACGGCTGGCTTGCCTCCTTTATATCGGCACAGTCTGGATCCGTCCAACGTTCTGGCTTGAACTTTTCAGGCTCATGAAAGTATGCTGCGTCATGCGTGACAGTCCAGGCGGAGGTATATACTTCAGTCTATGCTATCAAGTCAGTTGTATGATCTTGGTTCGATTGAAGTGTGATTATATGCTGACTCCTGCGGGAACGTAAATCCCGTCGATCTCCTGTCCAGCACTTATACGAGGAAATCCCTGGCTGCCGGGCGGATGAATGCGTAAACCTTCATTAATGCAAGCTTGAAGATATGGTAACTTTAGAGCCGAGCTGGAGTCGATGGCTTGATAAGAGGTGTATGCGGTGCGAACCTCATGCTGCAGCTTTTGCAGAGCTCTTGGGGTTTTGAGAAGGTAATATGTTGTTGCTGCCATGCATGTAGAAACAGTTTCGCCACCAGCGATGCTAGACTATCTATTAACTGTGGAGTTTCCCGGGTATGTATGGAGACGTACATGAGTGTGGAGGCGTGAGCGGTCATCTCCTCGAGAGATACCTCGCCGCTGCGGACCTTGTCGGTGATGTTAGTGAGAAAGTCTTGGCGATTGTCTGCACCTTCAAGACGACTGGTTCAGAGTCAATTCTCGGGAGTGTGGAAGAGAGTATTGGATGGAGAACCTACCGCTGAACTTTAGCTCGACTGTGTCCAGAGTGTTTTTTGCGAATTTTTACTGTGAGTCGTGGTAGGAGATATCTTCCAAGGATCTCTAAGAGCTTAATACGACGTAGATTATCAACGAGCGTGATCTCAAGGAGGTGCTCCAAGATGAGGTCGATCCAAAAATGGTGCTTCTCTGTTGCACAAGCTCGTCAGTAAACTTGAAGCCAGAAGGATCTTCTTTCTTACCCTCTCTCACACATCCAAAGCTTTCTCCAAAGGCCATTTCTCCTAGAATGTCGAAAGATACCATCTCATACCACTTCGTGACGTTCAGCCCATTGGTCAAACTCAGTGGACCGATCTTTGCTACAAACTCATCAATGCATCTCTGAATAATTGGCTCTTGTGCATTTAAAGCCTTAAGCGAAAAAGCCGGTGTCAGGTTCTTCTTCTTCTGGGCGTGGACCTTTGGATCACGTTCACTGCCTATGCAGCCAGTTTTGAAGCCAGCGCCGTATATGTCGTAGAATTCACCCTTTATCAGTTGGGGCTTTCCAATGGCTGGGAAGCCATATATAGACTTCCACGATCCGGCAGACGCAAAAGACAATTCATTTGGGGATACTCGGAACACTGCCCCTATGGTAGCTGTCAGTACGGTATCTAGACTAAGTGTAGATCAGTGTGAGTAGATACCATGCTTCTGGTGCATTCGTTGTATGCCTCGATGTGACCGGCCTCGGGTCGTGTGGTATATTCTCCATAACTATGGTGTTTGTGTTGGCCGCAGCATTTGTCGGTATGCTTGGTATGACTATTGGCGAATGGGTATATAGCTTACCAGAGAGGCTCGGCCAAGAAATGGTCCGGGTATGTGAGACAGTGGATGGAAGTACAGATTGTACACAGCATGGGTGACAGTGTAGATGATAAGCTGTTTTCAGTGTCAGGCAGTCGAAATTCGGCGAGGCTCATGGTATGGGCTTACTGTAGAAATGATCATATGCATAATATATGGCTGAAAGTGGATTCTGAGAAGGGTTTGCAGCGATGTAAGATCAGTCAGCGGTATACTTAGAGAGTCTTGAACTTCACGCCATCGAGGTAACATTTTGAAGATGGACAGTATGGTAAGTTAGCCTAATCTAGCGATAATGTTGATCCACCTTGCAAGAAAGGATGGCCATGTAGCAGCATATACCTCTAACTTGAGCACTCACCAGCTCCATCTTCGGATTCAATGAATGAATCTTCCCCTTCAGGCGATTGGCATGAACATGTCTCGCCATATTATTCGGATGTCTGCTTTCGCTCAAAGCCAGCGTGTGATGAACGAGGCTGCATGCATGACTAGTTCAAGAGACACTTGATTGAGGGGACTAGCTGGAAGAATAGACATTTAAGCGAGGGCGCATCCGCAAGCATAGATAATCTAGCCACTTCCATAGGGTATTCACGACGCCAAAACACGATGAAGACGGCTTACCGGTCGGGAACGGGATCGGCACCTACGATAGCCAGAGTATTTACCTCAAGCCAACGCCATGGATAACCACTGACTGTACTAGCCTTGTCAAGTGGCGTCTACTGTCCAACATTCCACGTATTCACTGCTGCGCGGTGACTTATGGGCCTAGTGACTATCGCTGTCGTCTCTGTTGTGTTGTGACTACTATCGAATTGTGATATGCCAGGCTGGGGCGAGCCTTGGGCTGAGCTGCACCATACGTATCGCAGGCTTCTATGCATATTGCGGCTGACGACTTTTTGCCACGGAGTAATAGATACCCAACAGTCAGCAAATCTTGAGGGCTACCGTACCGAATTTATGTCCAAGTTGTGTGGAATCTAGGCGATTATTAGGCTTCACATCCATACACGCTGTATCGTACACTTTATAATAACCCTCTTAGCCCAAATCTGGCGGTCTCTTCAATTCTCTTATAGAGAAGACGTGGTGGCGTACCTACTCGTTTCCTATCTTGGCAAAGCAGCATGTGGATTTCGATAGAACAACTTACTATACTAGACGGTTGACTCCACACCCTTAGCTTGATCCTCTACCTCACCATGTTCGGTACATGGAGATATGATCCGACAGACAACAAGCTAATAGGCATCCAAGATTCTAGCGTCAAAGCAAAGACATGGAATCGTGGCAAACTAAATTCTGCTTGTAAGGCATGCAAGGATAAGAAGGTTAGCTTTTGTATATCCAGAAATTTTTGCGCAAACCCTCCATTATTCCCCTACTTGATCTCTCAATACTTGCTGACCAGGCTCCTGCGCTTTTTAGTTACGCTGCACAGCGCAGAGGACTGGCTGCGACAGATGCAAGGCGAACGGAACTACTTGCATCTATGTCCCACGTCGAGCTTCGTCAAGAGCAACTACAAATCCGCATCGAGCAGAGGGTGAAAGTCATGGTGGACGTGAGAAAACAGTAGAGAAAGCCGATAGCAGATACCAGAGTCGGAGCAGCTCTAGTCCAGTCGGTGATCCTTCAGAGTCAGAACAGCTCAATGGCGAATCAAGTACCCTCGCATCTGGGATGTCAATGTCTCCAGCTCCGAGTCTTGATTCCTTGCACTTTCTACAAGAAGCAATCCTTCCCAGTGGAAGTCTCGATATATTTGAAGTAGCGATGCAGCCAGACTACAGCTTGGGGGGCGGGGGCCTGGAATTCGAGCTGTCTGATGACAATAATAATGAGGACAACGATGACAACGACAATGGTAATGCCAATTGCAACAGCAACAGTATTAGCAACAGCAACAGCAGCAACAGCAACAGCAATGTTAATGGCTTCCATGTGTTCGATCAAGACCAAGACCTCCTATTGTCAACCGAACAAGATCTTGACAGTAAGTTCAATATGCTTTCGATCGCAATTTACAACATGACATTCCTTTTGCTGATATTCTTCCGATTACAGGCCTAGGGTTTCCTTTACCAACCCCCAGTGATTCTACTAGCCCGCCCCGCTCCCGTACCGAGCGCCAACCACCGGCGCTAGCACTAGCTCCGGAGCCAGCTCCGGCACACTTATCCCTGGGCCCTGACCCTTTTACTTTCACTGGGAGCCCGCGTCCACGTCCGTCACACCATCGGCGGAACACCACTACAAACATCAAGGTCGCTACCTGCCCCTGCTCTTGTCTGCAGAACCTGGCTGCACTCCTAGAACGACTTATGCTTATGACCTCTGGCATATCCACACCACAAACCCAATCGCTCGATGTCCAACTTGCCATCCATAAAGCAGCTTTAGCCCGCTGTGATGCAGTCCTCTGCTGCACTTTATGTGACACACGCTCTGAAAACACCATGCTGTTAATCACGGTCTGTGAGCGCATTGTGGACATGTGTGCTAACATTGTTGATACCTACCACCTTCACCTCGATGCTGATCAAAGTGCCACTGCTTCGCTGGACTCGCTGCTACAAAACTCAGGTGCATCGGCACCTTCCATACCAGAGTCGGCTTCTTCGTCTAATACACTAGTCTCAGGTCCAGTTAGTCCTCTGTCTGTGGGGTCTTTTCAGATCTCGTCGATGAATGAGTGGGCAGCGGTCATAAGGACCATCATCAGGCTTCAATTGCAGAGAATGGGGTCGCTACTTGGGCGTATGAAGTCTCTATCGACTGGAGAAGTGCAGGATGTACATTCAGATATGCTGAAGAAGCTTCGTGATAGGGTTCGGTCACTCTTACATGTAGCTGGAGGAGGCGACTTGGACTGAGACACCGGACTTGCGTTCCTTTAGGGGACCTCTAAGACTTTTTGTCTTTTAGGTTCTCTTAACCAAAGGAGCAAGATGATACTCCATGGATGGTACATGATTAGACGCTAGGGCTTCGAAGTATAAGTAGTCCGATTCACTACGATCATATTGTCGTCTGCAAGTGACTTGTACAGACAGTCGTGCTTTGATTCTACAAGCGTGGCTTGACGATGCATATGCAAATGACACATCGCCTCGGAAATAGTACAGGGTAAGATTTGGGCAGGCTAGCTCAACGTTGAACGTGTATAGGTCTGCTCATACGTCGAACTATCACACCAGCACACAGCTCGTGTTTGGGGCCGCGGATACATGACTAATCACCCTCCATGCTAGTCTCAGAGGCAGCTATCTCAACGGGAATGGCTTACCAAGTAGCCTATTCAAGGTACCATCTGGGTCGTACTTTCTTTGAATGTCCTTCAAGCGCTTCAAACTTGACCCATCCTTTCCATACGTTGGATAGGGATCCTGGCCCGGCGAGGCGTCGTTCAGATAAATGTACGGATAGTCCAGGCCCAGCTTTTTGGTCTGCGCGAGGATAGATTTCCCAGCCTTACGAGAAAATTCCAAGACCTTCGCGTCATCGGCCGGGTTCGTCCACGATGTAGAAATGAGTCCGGCGATGAATGTTCCCTTGCCAGGATCCAGGTCAATTGGATTGCCACCCGCAGCGCGAGATGCCTCAAGCCAGGCCTTTGAGACTGGCTGATATGTGAGCGTGATAGCGCAATTGGTTACATCCTTTAGCCCAGTCAGTGAGGCTGTGATGACGGTCTCGTTAACGAGGGCGAAGGTCCGCGCATCAGCCTTAAAGGAGACCGAGTAAAACAGCTGTCGTAGGTTGCGGGATGCGAACTCAGGAGTGTTAAGGGCATTGGCCAGAAACGTCCAGCTATCTCTTGGGCCAAAATCGTGGACTAGGCTTGGTGCGTTGATGGCGGTGAAGTTCTCAAAGGATTTGGGAGAAACATCTCTGCCGGAACGGAAACCCAGGAATATAGACTCGACAACTTCATCGGATGGGGTTGCGGCGATGATCATACTGATGGCTGCATCGGCGTCTTCTACGCCGCCTCCTGGTGCCATATATGAAACGGCAGCCTGAAAGAACGCAGGAAGGGATTCGCGCTTCCAGATAGCTGCACCAGCCCATGCAGGGCCTGCGGTGAATGTCTGTACATCGAAACGAGTTACAATACCAAAATTGTTGGAACCACCCTTGAGAGCCCAGAAAAGGTCGGGATAGGCGGTCTTTGTCGCGTATACAACACGGCTGTCTGGTAGCACGACTTCATATCCTACAACACCATCAGCAGCCCACCCCTTGCGAGAAGCAAAATAGCCGATGCCACCGCCTAGGAGCACACCACCAACGCCCACAGAGCCATAGCGACCGCCGTTGACAGCAAGACCATACGGGGCGATCCAGTTGTATACATCAGACCAAACCTGGCCGGGCCCTATGCGAGCGATGGATTTGTCGGGACTCAACTCGCGGCCGTTCAAAGCTGACAGGCTCACCAAAATACTGTCGTCACTTTCTTGTGCCCCGGGAACTGGCATGTGACCCCCAGCCCGAACAGTGAAGGGGACACGAGCCCCTCGCATGATTCGAAGACCATCAGCAAGATGGCGGGCTGAGCGTGGTAAAAAGACGCACTTCGGCTCCGCAAGGCAGGTCTGTGACCACACAACTAACAGACGTTGTCAGCATGTGCGAACATGAGCATAAGATAGATAATGACACACGCGCTGTCTGATTGTGGTAAATCTGCGAATCTTCCTCGAAGAGCGCGTCTGGTTGCAGACTAGCTAATGACTTGCATGCAATCTCACTGCCAACTGGACCTGCAGACGAACGATCTGCAAGTGTAGACACTGCGGTAGGTATCGCAACAGCGGACGATTCAAATAAGCTTATAACGCCTACTAAGAGAGAAAGGAACGTCTTCATGGCTGGCGATGAGAAAGAAACACCCTGTGAGTCAATCTTAGCTTATAACTTACAAGGGTCGAATCTCTACAAAGTGCCATTCGGTCGAAGTAGGATCGGATCGGGTCGAATCGAATCGAGTCCTTGTAGGACCTTGCCGCGCGGCAACCTGTCACCACATGGCAGAGACTGTGCAAAGTCTGGACTGAGTGGCAGGAGAATCCTAACGGAAGTTTGTGAAATTTCCGTTTCGGGACGTCCGACGGAAAGGGAAGTATTTGACGATTTGATAGACAGAAGCTTTAGCATTTAGCCCGGGTAATTTGCGGGTTTCAATGCCTGCTCCGAGTGATAACGAGGATGCCACATCGGTGTGCCGAAAGAAGTCCTTTTGGATCAAGCTTATGTTATAGAAACGTTATTATGGCTGACGGATGGTTTGTTGAACTGCATCGGGACGCCATGTAGAGTAGCTGCATGACCAAAAATCCTTCGCCTCAAAAGGAAATCCGGTCAGTTCATTAGAACCAATACAGATGGCCGAGCATATTTTAGTCCGTTAAAAGTAACTCAGATGATATTTGGTCAATGAGGACTAACACATACGGCTGACGGACCAATGTGCCCGAGAGTTTCGCTTCCGCCGTTCTTTGTCCCGCATGAGGGCGCTAGGGGCGGCGTAGCTGCATGACTGACTTATCTTCAGCTGAAAGGGCCTCGAATGTCATCCGTGGCATTAGGTCGGCATCCCAGCATTGGCCTTCAACGGCAGTCCGACAAGCTCTCCGATAGCAGCACGCAGCATACCAACATGGCTACCGCCTTCAATCCCAAGACTGACATCCCCGACCTAACCGGCAAGGTCATCTTCATTACCGGAGGTAACACTGAGAGAATTCAAGGCCCTCATAGTCAAGGAGGTGTTGACAAAGGCTTTCAGGTACCGCGGGTTTAGGAGCTGAGGCTACCTACCAATTAGCCGTGCACAACCCAGCTCGAATTTATATCAGCGGCCGGAATGCAAAAAGAGCTGCTGTCGTCATTAAAAAGGTAGAAGAGCTTGGCTCTAAAAGTACGGTCCACTTCATTGAGCTCGATCAAGGCAAAGTGTCCAGTGTAAAAGCAGCCACAGAGCGCTTCGTCGCTCAGGAGTCGCAGCTCGACATTCTGATCGCCAATGGCGGTATCATGGCTGTTCCGGCTGGTCTTTCAAGCGATGGCTACGAGGTGCAATTCGGCGTCAATCATATGGGCCACGCCATGCTCGTCAAGCATCTCCTGCCACTCCTACAGCGTACAGCGGAGAAGCCAGGCTCAGATGTGCGAATCATCTTCCTCACATCCCTCGGATTCCAATTCGCACGTAAAGGTATTGCATATGACACCCTCAAAACAACACAAGATGCCGCGGTCCTAGGGCTCTGGATCAGGTATGGCCAGAGCAAGCTTGCAAACATCTGGTACGCGCGAGAGCTCGCGAAACGGTATCCGTCCATCACAAGCATCTCAGTCCATCCTGGAGTTACCAAAACCGACTTGGTGGGACAACTATCTCTTGCAAACCGCCTCTTTGTCTATGCGACCAACATAGGTAGTATGGTCGAGCCGCACGAAGGCGCATACAACATGTGTTGGGCCGTGGGAGTGGACAAGGCCAAGCTGCAGAATGGGCATATGTACGAACCAGTGGGAAAAGCCACAAAACGATTGGATGCGAAGCCTTTTAATGACGACGAGGCGGCCGAGAAGCTGTGGACGTGGACTGAGAGGGAATTGGGGGCTTCTTAACTGTGTGAGTGAACGTTGGAATGGGACGCATTGATATTAGGTAATTACTAGCCTTGGTCTCGAGGTTTTCAGTGGAGGATTTGTCAGCTAGCGCCTCGCCACCTATCTTACCGCCTTAGCGTAGATAATTATACTAATTAATTAAACATTCGACAACGCTTCATCCACTCGCGGATACAGATTTAATGACTGCTCGATTATGCACATCGCACGTGTTACTCTGCCCCATTCAACTGCGCATGCGGAGTCAGATAAACCTTGACGTCTTCTGGTGGCGTCAAAGTGACTGGGCTACCTCCTGCTCGCAATCTCAACATCTTCTCGACTTCCGCACCATCAAGGTCCTTAGCCAATCGCAACGTATGCTGTTCCAACAGGCACGAGAAAAAGGCAATGAATTCCACCTGTGCAAAGCGCTTCCCGAGGCATGCCCTTGGGCCTTCGTTGAAGGTCATGAATGAGCCGCGCTGGTGACTAGGGATGGTGTTTGTACCTGCCTCCACCTCTGCGAGATGCTGAGCAGATGGGTTATTCGGGTCGAACGCATTTGGGCTACTGCAAAGCCACCTACGAGGATCTATGACGGCTGGCGATGGCCAATGCGTCGTGTTGTAGTGTATCCCCGTGATGTTGATCACAACCCCTGTGCCTGGAGGTAGTGTTGCGCCGTTGAGAACTTCCGATGTGGTCGGAGGTGTGACACGACCGATAGGTATGACGATGGGGAAGACCCGCATCACCTCGTACATGAACGCCAGTAAGTAGCGGAACTTGGGGAGGTCATGGTCGAAGCAGAGACTTTTGCGCCCTGCAGTACGCGCCATGGCGTGTATACGGATGTTCTCTGCAATGACAGCGTCCTGAATGTGTGGATGAAGCGTGAGGATCAAAGAGCTGTATAGGATAGTGTTTGCTGTAGTGTCGTAGCCTTGCGAATGTGAGTTGTAATCAGGTGATTGCACGAGAAAGTTCGAGACTTACCTGCAAGCAGGAAAATAAAGACGTTTCCTTTGATCTCTTCATCCGTTAAGCTCAATCTTCCTCCTGGTCCTTTCATAATTTGTTTCTCTCTCCCGCTTGAGTCATTTTCCTTCAAAACAGCAGTCAGGAGGTTTCCCTTCGCTAGCCCGTCGTCCCTTTGTCCATTGTTCATTCTGCGTTTCTCCTCTTCCAGAAGTTCGTTCATATACTTCTCATACTCCGAGTAGGCCTCGTAAACATGTTTCCAAGGTCCATATCTGAGGATGAGCTTTGGAATTAAGAGAATCAGTGGTAAGTTCATCACAACCCCGTATATCGCTTTAACTAGTGTAAGGCTATGGCCAGCCGGTATAGCATTCGCGTCATCAGTCCATTCTGCCTGCTGCCCGAAGGCAACACAGGACATAACATTGACAGTGAGCAAGTAGATGTCCGATTTCAGGCTCCGAGATCCATGTTCCGCCCACGACGTTATCAGCATATGAGTCTGACGCATCGTTTCGTCCCAGACCAGTCGATTAACTGCCTCCCCAAAAGGAGGTAGCGTGATACGAATATGGAACCTCCAAATGTCACCTTCTGTGGATACCACGTTCGGACCGAAAGGCTCTAGCATTTCTATGGAACATCAGTCGTCATCACTACCCTAGCCATCTGAGAACACACTCATCTTCTCTGCCGGTTTGATGAAACTTTTTCGCTTCTGGGCGACCTGCATCGCAACCTGGGCATTCCCTACGTAGCAGATGATCCCACCAGGAGATACAACTAGAAATACGTCGCCATACTCGGCGTGTGCTCGCCCTTTGTCTTCGTACATCCATTCACGTATCATGAAGCGTGCCCAGCGTGGCCAACCATCGCCTCTCATGAGGTAAGAGCCCAGCGCCCATCGCAGGATGGGATCAGTCAAGAATGATATGGTCTGGAGTTCGATGACGGGAGAATACGTGTATGGAAGACCAGTCGCTTTTGCCTTCTGCACGAATTCATAGAAGAAGTACAAAGTACGGATGGCTTGCACGATGACAATTAGCAAGACGATGTTGATGTACGAGAACATGATGCTGTTGCGAAGATATCTGGTGATGACCTCAGCGATAAGAATGAGTTTGGTCAGCTAGACTGACCATTATTCCAGGACTAAAGGACACCCAAACACACATTCCCCGAAAGCGTTGCAGGACTCGGAAGTTCCGATGAGGGTTAGTCCGAGTGGCGGATGATTATCGGGCAGTCTCCGCTTACTCTCAAACAGGTCATGTAGTGATAGTTCCAGCCAACAACTCGGGCCGATCTCGCTCCATGAAGGAGTATAGCTTTCAATTGAGGTGGTAGCAAAGGCTTGCCCCAAGGTAGCCATCGAAAGATTGTTGCAGACGTTTTACTTACATACACACAGACAGATTGGTTCCAAGTATACTATGTTCTGCAAAATCTCGAAGCTTTAAAAGATAGTGGTGACGTTATTCAAATCTATAAGCACATACTCCCGGGTCCTCACACTAATGGCAGACGACTTTAGCATACTTCGTAAAAAGTGCATCCTTCTCTAAACGTAACATCTCTTCCTTCGGCAAAGACATAGAGACCTCAAACCCGCCGCCTTTTTGTAGTGGGAGTACAACACAGCGCCTGCACACACCATCGAACTCTCTTCTAGGTACGCGCAGCAAGTCTGGTTGGCCACCGTTGGCAAAGATGTCACCAAAGTCGAGGTCGAATAAGCTCCATGCTATCCACGACGTGATACAAATTTCAGGAGGAATGAATGAAGCGAAAGGGAACGTGACTTTCGTGTAGTCTGATATCGCAGTAGCGAGTCCATACGCAGCATGTAACCGCTCCTTCGTGATATCATCAGCAGATTTCCGTATGGCCATTGTAATCGTTGAGAGGGGGGTTTCCGGGTTCACGAGTGTTGACAAAGCCATCCGTGTTGTCACAATAAATATCAGGGTACCTAGATACGTCCACGGAAGCGAGGATGAGAAGTCTGCGCGGCCATCCATTGTGGTGTCCAGGATAGCATGTACTTCTTGCTGGCTCTGGGGATGCGGGTACCGCGCTGCTATAATTCCTCTCCACAGGACCGCCATAAGGGCATCGTTGGCGCTGATGGAGCCGCGGGCACTGCTTCTCGGACACGATGACTCTACGCTCGCATCTTTCTTCAATGCAATGAACGAGCTTTGAGAGAAATAGAAGACTGTTGCACGCATCTCGGGGGCATCTTGGACGGCGTGTTCAGTTTCTGATGGTAGAGTGAATTCGGCCTGATCCGTATTCAACGGGTTGAGGCCTATGAGCCGCCAAAGATCCTCTGTTGACTTGTTCCCATGCTCTTCGTCGAGATCTATGTCTACATTGCCCTCAAGCTTCCAGTAGTTGGTCAAAAGATCCGTCCGATGGCTTTCTGCAGCAAGCTCAAATGATGGTCCAGTGTCCTGCAGATTTTGTAACTGCCGAACGTGTTGAGACCAGAGTTTCATAACCCACATCCCGCTCGTACCATCAATGGCCGAATGAAACATACCAATCGACAGTAGTATCCCTCCTGCTAGGATGTTGGCTTGTGCCACAAAAGTCGGAGCGCCAGCATCGAGATCAGGGGTAAAGGCTGGAGGGAAAAGGACGTTGCCGTCCATGGAGTCCTGGGGCATACCGGCGTCGATCAGATCATCATAATCCCACGAATCACTGATATTGTTCAAAACGATATTCGGCACCCAATGGAAGTTTGTTTCAAGCTCCAAGCGCCCTTTGGCTGAGTCTGTGGCGCTCGGCTTCTTCTCAAAGATCTTCGAGGTCAGAACCGGCAAACTCTTACACGTTCTCTCCAAACCCTTCTGGAGTGTATCGCATACGTAGTACGGGTCGCTATTGGGTTTTGTTCGAAAGCAAAAGATCAATCTGGCGTAGAATCGTGGCATAACATTGTCCATTGGACTAAGGGCTATTCGGGTAGATGGGGACATGGTGGAGTGATAGTTTGTAACGTCACACAAGAGCTCCAAAATACCTAGAGGAGGATCGTGCAATAAATATGTTGCTCTAGTACTATATCTCATGGTTCTGGCTGCGGAGTGTGGTATCTATGCGGCAGGAATATGTCCTTGTACTCGGAAGTCCTCTTGCAGAAATCGAAGGATTGCCCGACTCCACATCCATAGTGTTGTGCTAACCAATCAGGGTATTGTGCTCAATGCATCGCAATCGTCTTGCCATTCTCTATCACGAGTACATTCATATTTGGGAATAATCTAATTCATCACACGAACGAATACGCGTTTGACTCTGTATCTCCGTCGATCCCACACCGAAACAGCACCCAGCCCCAATCCACTCCTCGCATCTTTCCACCAAATCGGAGATCCGCCTATTCAGGCTTAAGATATCTATGAGTGGTCTTACTCCACTGCTCATTACCACTCATTTGATACTCTAGTCCCTTCATGTAAGCTCTAAGCTCGGGATTGCCCTTCTTGGGATCGCCCCCGATCTGTGTCACAACACTGATGAAACGTAGTTCCCACTCTCTGCAGAGCCTGAGCAATATCCTCTTCGCTGCGTTGGTACTGATGTCTGCTTCTTCTGCCAATATTTGCACGGAGTTACAAAGGATTCCCCCTTCCTCGTGTGCAGTTTTAGAAGCAAGTACCTCCTTCTCAAAGGACCAAATGTCGTTCATAATAGATAAATGCTTGGAGCATAGGTCATCAGCCGGGCGGGCGTTATTGAGGTCTTCTTTAGTCACTTGCAGTTTCATGGAGAAGCGCATAAGGGCTCCGAGGAGGCTGATGACACACGTTAGATGGTGATGAGATAGTACTCAGCAGGTCACGTACGCTTTACCAACATCCTTCTCTCGGTAGACATAATACTCGCCCATGCTTAGGTGTTTTGCGCGAGTCCGGTCTACCTGGGCCCTCATAAAAGTGAAGACTGGCTCGAGGATGTCGTTCGCCATATGATGATCGTGGTTCCGCATGCTCTCCCATAAGTCATAGAACTGTGCACGTCAGCGATAAGTAAGCTCAGCCTTTTGTTCTAGAGTTTGAATATCATACTATGTACTCAACTGGGATAGTTCTGTCAGGTAGTTTATCTCCTTTAGCTATAGAGATCAGATTTTCGTTATAGGCGGAGCCTTCATCAAATGACATGAACTCAAGTAGATCTACTGCAAGTCAGCTACGGTGTCTATTGTGTAGTGTATGAAGTGTACCGTCAGTGAGAAACAAAATAGTCAGCAAACGACAAGCGAAATGAATTCTGTCATCTAACGCTAGTGGAAAGTAAAGACAAGTGACTCGGGAGAATCCTGCTGCAACAAACTTCTTACGGGACTTTTCGGTAGGGAATGGCCAGTGTAAGAGGAAGTAATTATTGACTTCCTTAGATATCTGTTCAACCAAGGGATGGCAGAGGTAGCCAAAGTTAGACGGGGGCTCGTCCAGGACCACGGCTGAAGTGTAAGCAAGACTGTGGTCTTCATACCTCCAGAATACCTGGCTTATTAAGGAGAGTACGCGACTCAGTACACTGTTATTGACACTCATTGTTGTCCAAAGTATGTCTCTGGGGATATTCGAAGGGTTCTTAAGAGACAGACGTCGTGACAATATGCAGGGGAAGTGATTTCTGACTTGAGTATTAGAGCCCATAGCGCTGAGAATTTGTCCACAAAGCGTGAACACCTCCGTAGGAAGTAAACTGTGGTTCCGATTAGGGACGAACCGCCGGAAGTAGACCTGTTCGTCAGTACTACACGTGGGCACAGACCTTTCGTGACAGGTACTCCATTTCTGGACATCCGAGAACTCCGTTGTTGTCTTCGGCTAGAGCTTCGGTTGATCAAGCAGGAGTTTATGGCCAATAGGGTCAATAGAAATCACACTGCCGGATGCAAAAAACGAGAAATCGTCCTAGTTTAGATGTATGTGAAGTTCGCGTAGATAGATCAATGAATGATTGCAAATGCCTCTGTGCGAGTAGACATGGATACCATTATGCCAAATTCCTCGAGCCCCAGGGAGGCACTTACATTTCATGATACCTGGTTCACATGGCTATTATTCACCATCGGGTTTATACCAATCAGTACATACTTTGTTACAAACGTGCTATCTTTGCTCGCTCTACAAACCCCAAAAAGTATCAAAGATCCTCCACTGCTGCCCTATTGGATTCCGTTCATAGGAAACGCGTTCACTTTGCTGTACGATGTTGGGGGACTCGCTAACATGATCAAGTGAGTGAACCATCATTGCAGAAATATGACACTTCGATTCCCTGCTGACCATCCCAACTTGCAGAAAGAGATATGGCGAATCCACACCGGTTTTGGTAACTCTAGGACCGATCAAAGGATACGTGGTGTCTAAGCCTGAGCATTTTGCGACGTTACTCAAGTCATCTGCAAGAACCCTCACCCCAAAGCCTCTCATTGCTCTGGTAATGGAGAATGTGTTTGGTACCCCAAAAGACGCCATACATATCTATCGCAATGACAACTCCGGTGTTGCACCAAATCCAATCCCTGGCACTAATGTCAAACATAGAGTCTTCTACCATCAGCACTTATCCGCTCATCGATTTCTAACGGGTCATAATCTCAAGAGAATGACGGAACGATTCGTGGATTTCCTGAGTGAAGAATGCTACCAGGACCGAAGTATTGGTGAGGACTGGATAGATATGCCTGATCTCTTCGATTTTTGGAAGACTCGTGTCCTCTGTGCAGCTGTAAAAGCCTTGTTCGGAACCTGGATCCTTAAACTAAATCCTTCATTTCAAGAAGATTTTTGGACCTATGTCAACGCTACGCCAACTCTTATGAAAGGCATTCCTCGATTTCTAGCACCAGGAGCTTATGCCGCACGCGATCGTGTTTTCGAAAGTATCAAAATATGGCACCGATATGCCAGTGAGCACTCTGATTACAAGGACAATGGACCAGAAAGTAAGGAATGGGACGAGTACTGGGGTTCGTCTTGGCTCAAGGTCCGCCAGCAATTTGCGCGAAACACAGGAGAGATGAGCGAAGATGCCATAGCCGCCGAAGACACGGCGCTTCTGATTGCGTAAGTATCTCATTCGGACAGCTCGGTCGGCACTGATAAGCTGACCTGTTCAGTGCAAACGCAAATGCTATTTTCAGTGCAATATGGTTCCTCTTGGCAATTTACACCGATCCTGCGCTCGAAAAGATGGTCAATTACGAGGTCCAAAATAGCATAACTCAGGACACCGCCGGAGCTAACAAGCCTCTAGCATTGGATATTACTGGAATAATTGATTCTCCACTATTGCAATCAATCTATGCAGAAGTTCTGCGCATGCGTGTTGCGCTGGTCTTGAACAGGACGCCCGACAAGGCGGATTACGAGCTGGGAGGGTGGAAGTTTCGGAAGGGCCGGTCCATCACTTTCAGTACCCAAGTAGCTGCGCATAACGAGAAGGCCTGGAGTGTGGATAAGCCGCAGAGAGTGCAGAGACCACTGAGTCAGTTTTGGGCAGAAAGGTTTCTCACATCCACGGGAAATGGCTCGGCAGAAAAACAGTTCTCCACGGATGGATTGGCCGGCGCTTGGATTCCCTATGGGGGCGGTGTTTTCATGTGCCCAGGAAGGCACTTTGCAAAACAGGAAATAATGGGCAGTGTGGCAGCTTTCTCTGCTTATTATGACTTACTTATCCCCAATAGAGAGGCTGGGTGGATGCCCAAGGAGGACAAGCGTTTCTATGGGCTGGGGGCTATGCCCCCTGGAGAGAAGATTCGCTTTCGTATCCGGAAGAAGTCTGGTGCGCCCATGGGACCCCCAAAACACAAGAATTCGAGGTTGAGAGGCAACTGGTTCTGTGATTAAGTAACCTTTCGCCAGAGCAGAAGATGACGAGACATGTGTATGGCGAGTGTTTACAATCAAGTAGTAGTAAGGATGACTAGAATATGATACCGATACATGTGGGAAGTTTCTGGGACAAGAACGTAATAAAGTTGATCGACGGAAGGAATTATTTAATCTAGCTGAGGTCTATCCATGATATACTTACTTAGCTAAGCAGCTATATCAATGAATAAGCACTGAATAAGCCGATTAGCTTAGCCCGTCTGTGGACAGATCACGTGTATAGTATTTCTTTTTGGCATTTATCCTAGGTAACTCCTATGAAACTACAGACCACTGGTCCTCTTCAATATTTCAAGCTTCGAAGCGTCCATCTACTTCATTCACGCTGACACTTCTTAGCAAGCCCCTCTCGTCCCGTTCACCAACTAGCGGAAGTCCGTAGCCGCCTGTTGCAGCCTCGTCAGCTCAAGGTTCGACCGACCAAACCAGAACGGACGCAGCTCAGCCAACGGCCCTTCCATCTCTGTGTACTGATCTCCGAGTGTGAGGATGACTCGCCCATTCCATCGTTCTTCCGCCAACGCATCTTTCTCGGTCTCCTTTCCGTAGGGTTCCACCCTCCTAGCCTGCTTTGCCGTCGCCGAAAAGACTAAAGCAAGACCAACAAAGTGAGCCGAGCTCACCGGCAAGCCCATCGCGATGATAGGGGCAGCAAGGTCCTGCGGAAGTAACTTTGTGATCGTCGCGGCGGGAGCAACACCATTGATGGTGATATTGTCTCCGGCGATGATAGATCTAAGAGCTCGAATCAATCCAATGAGCTTGCATGGGCGTCAGCAAATGCAAAATGGTACCGATCAATTTCAATCCTGCTCAATACATACTCCATGCTTGGCTCCTGCATAGACCGGTAATGACTGCTCCGGAGCGTACGCAGTCGCACTGGTAGTCAGGACGATACTTCCAGCAACACCATGCGCCTTCATAGAGCTCCAAGCAAGCTTGATGAGGTTGATTGGTCCTTTGAAGTTAACATCGAGTATTCGATTGCTAGGCTCCAGGAGATTTCCCTTATCGTCGAATGTATCTGCGAAATAATTCGTCTCCTCGGTCACACCAGCATTGGCGAACGCGTAGTCAATCCGCCCAATTTCAGCAAACTTGTCCCGCAGCTGTGCCCAGTCTGAAATATCGACGACATGGAATATTATGTTCAGATGGCTCTTATGTTCCTCGCTATCTGGTAGTGAGAGGTCTAGGACATGGACTGTAGCGCCCTTGGCCGCCATGATGCACGCAGCTGCATACCCAATACCGGACGCACCACCTGCAAGATTATTTACTTTGCAAATAACTCTCTCCAGTCTTTTACAGTAACTTACCTGTAATGAGGGCAACTCTATTACCTAATTCTGGTATCAAGGATTCCCTAATGTTGATCGAAGTCATGTTGAGTGGTTTGAAACGAAGACTTTATGAAGAAGTCTAACCTCACCCGTGGCAAGAGGTTACACACTCATCTGGGTTGCGCTACGCTAATTTATGATCCAATCGTGGATGGACCTAAACCGTTAAGTGACCTTCCGAGACCATTCCAAGGAGAGTGCCGCACATGTTTTCTCCGGAATGGCACAGATTTGGCCCGGGCACCATTTTGGGGTTCCCACCTCTGGGCCGGGAAGACGGTGTCTATTTTTGCACATACTGTAGTGATGGCTCTACAATACTAGCGGTATGGAAACAACGACATATGCCACCACTGAAGCTCAACATAGTTCTACAGACGACTGTCTCCCAACATGACTGATTAGCCCATATGACCGTCTCTCATGTTTGTTATTGGCTCTTTCCGAGCAACTAATACTTGATACACCGACCTCATGGCCTAGCTACAGCTCTCACTATCAACTTAGGCTTATTCCACAACGTTCTCATCCGCACATCCCTCTGCCAATCAACCTCCTCGTTGAGAAGTTCAAAGTCGTATTTCCAATGTAATTTTACCAACGTCGTCCGCAGTTCGACCCAAGCAAGACTAAGTTGACATATTAGCGGAGAAAAGGCAATACTGGGACTTAACCAAGATTTGCCTTACTTTCGACCAATACATGCTCTTGCCCCAAGTGAGAATGGCTGGCTGGCTTCCACGACATCGATCTCGTTCTTCCCTAGCCATCGTTCGGGTTTATACTCCAGTGGATCTGTGAAATTGCTTGGATCCAGGCTCGCGGCAAGTGGGTTGACTGACACAATTGTTCCCTCTGGCAGAAAGTGACCATCAACGGTGTCCCCACCACGAGGCACCACGCGCGGAAGGCCTAATGGCAGAGGGGGGAAGATTCGGAAAGACTCTCTGATCACCGCATCAAGATATCGCAACTTCGATGTTGACTGCGCAGTGATACTTTCGTATTTGTCGAAGGTCGACCGAATCTCTCGCTGAAGTGACTGTCGGACACTGGCATTCTTCAGGACATAGTAGAAGATGCATGTAAGTGCTGTTGCTGTTGTCTCACTCCCAGCAACTATGAAGTCTGAAGAATGCGCAGCAAGCTGAACATCGGATACTTCGACTGAATTGTGCCGCTCCAATATTCGTGTCATAAAGTCCTTACGTGTCGTACGTTTCGCAATTCGTCTATGGTGTGACGAACGTCAACAGCGCACTGCAATATGACAGTTGTTGGGCTACTTACTTCCTTACGAGGTCCAAAGCCATCCCTTCGTTCTTTTTCGTATCTTGAACGATCTTGGCCATTTTGCCTGGAAACAGTAATACAAACACCCTAGCAAATGTTGGCATTCGGCTGAAAGCATCGGCGAGTGCACCTTGTGTTAGCGCACCGAGCGTAATAGCGATCCAGGGATGGACATTGCCACTTTCCACCCCACCGAATGACTCTCCAAAAGCAAGATCCCCGATGATATCAAAAGTCATCATTTCGAATGCTTTACCAATGTCGAAACCATGAACGCCCTGCTTCCCAGTCATATCGACTAGCATGTCGACTGTTTTTGAGATCAAATGTTCTTGTTCGCTCAAAGAAGCATCTGAGAAGGCATGTGATAAGTATCTTCTCATCTTCCCATGAGCGATGGGGTCGCGCTCGCTCACGATGCTACCGCATTGATCAGCAAAGGGGCCGCCTTCGTAGAAACTGCTCTTAATGAAGGTCTGGTGTCCGGGACGGAAGTTATATATATCTTTCCAAGCCTGAGCACTGTTGAATGATAACTCGTTTGGCGCAGTTCGAACGACAGCACCGTATTTTCGATGCAGAGCCAAAAGTTTGTGGGGCTGTCGGCCGCCCATGTACCATAAAATATACGGAACATTGCTCAGAGCCGCTAACCTTGGACCAGGGAACTTCTTCAGAGGATGACGGTGAGATTTGTAAAGAGTATGTAAAGCCCATTGTACGACGTACTGGTCATATTAGAGACGCAGGAGTCAGCCATCTAACATGATACTCACACAAATGGCAAACAGCACAGACAGATCGAGTGCGAGACGCCCAGGCTTGACCTGTTCAAAAACATGTTGCGGATTGACACGAAACTGGCGCATAGCTAGCACCTGGCTGATTGAATGTAAATGTTCGAGAAGGAACAGCGTATTCGATTGTCACTGACGTGCTCCGCCTACATTCTATCTCTAACCGAGAAGATGCTCGATCGCCGGGAAGGATGCAGCAACGGAGGTGCTATATTAGGACACCCCACGCCCCCTAACCCTCGTAACGGATGTCTTGATCCATACAGCCGACAACAATCCGGCCTCACTTTACTACCCAATCAAGATATCGACTTCGGAATTATACGATTGGTCTTTGCTGACTGCGATATTGCTCACGGATGGTTTACTCTCGCCAATACTGCCCGTGGTATCCGATTGACTCCATCTACACCTACCGAAGGCGTGAGGAGGCGTCCCAGAGACGCATGAATGAAATTTTCTGATTCGTCTTCATAACACAACGCCCTCTTCCTCGTTCTACCATGTCGACTTTTCATTAAAGCCGCTCCGCTGTGCTTCCCGTCATTATTGCGAACACCCACCTCTCCATATATATTGCCATTCTTAGCTACTACTTGCGTTCTACGGGACCCCATGTGTCTTCATAATTTCATGACTTTGTGAATGATCATGCATTACAATGGCGCTCCAGTTGACAGCCAAGATGGTCTGAAGGCTAGCCTTGACGGGTTCAGCTCTACCTTAAGCAGGGCAACGGAAGAGCACACTCACAACCACAAGAATGGTGCAAGAAAAGAATCGCAAACCAATGGGTGGACAGATAGCACGAATGGGACCCCATGCGGGATGCCAAGTATTCCCATAGCGATAGTGGGGATGAGCTGTCGATTCTCTGGCGGAGCGTCGAACCCTCAGAAACTTTGGGATCTTGTGGCTCAAGGACGGTCAGCATGGTCAAAGATTCCTGCTTCCCGGTACAATAGCACGGCCTTTTATCACCCTCATCCGGAAAAGCTTGGCACGGTGAGCGCTCCGTGAACTACTAGTAGCCTTCACTGACGACTGCATAGTCAAACGTGGAGGGGGGATACTTCCTCGAGGAAGATGTCAGCTATTTTGATCTCTCGTTCTTCAGTTTCTCTGCTGAAGTTGCCGCTGTAATCGTCCTTCGACATGCCTTGAAACGTGAGCATAAGCTGAAGTTCATATAGTGCATGGACCCTCAAATCCGCATTCAGCTTGAGTTGGTATATGAAGCCCTGGAAGATGGTACGTCATGCGATAGATGACAAGACTCTTATGTAACTAATGGGTTTCAGCTGGCATACCATTGTCAAAGATTGCGGGAACCAATACCTCTTGTTTTGCTGGAACTTTCATCAGGGATTACCATGACCTCTTGATGAGAGATCCTGCAACCCTGCCTCGACATTTCACCACTGGTAACTTTACGGCCATGGTCGCCAACAGGATCTCCCACTTCTTCGATCTGCGTGGACCCAGCACCTCAGTTGACACGGGCTGCTCGACATCTCTCACAGCTTTGCACTTGGCATGTCAGACAATCCGCACGGGCGAATCTGACTGCTCAATTGTCGGTGGCGCTTGCGTGATGTCAAATCCAGATATGTTTTGTCAACTTTCAAGCCTCGGATTCATCGGCATAGATGGTAAATCGTATTCTTTTGACCACCGTGCACAGGGTTATGGTCGTGGAGAGGGTGTCGCCACCTTGGTCTTGAAGAGATTGGATGATGCAATTAGAGACCGTGACCCAATAAGAGCGGTGATTCGAGAAACTGGTCTCAATCAGGATGGCAAAACGCCGACCCTGACATCCCCTTCCGGGGAGGCTCAAGAATCCTTAATGAGGGACTGCTATCGGCGAGCCGGGCTCAATCCCCTCGATACAACTTATGTAGAAACACACGGTACCGGCACGAAGAAAGGTGATCCTGTAAGTGATGATCCGTACTATTCATTCATCGTGCAAATCTTACAGCAGGTGTAGATTGAAACAACTGCGATTGGTAAAGTGTTCGGAAGGCCAAGCACTATCGAACCTCTACTCATTGGATCCATCAAATCCAACATCGGACACACAGAGGCTGCCAGTGGGATAGCATCCATAATCAAAGTAGCTATGGCGTTCGAAAATAGACAGATACCACCTAGTATCAATTTTGAGAAACCAAACCCGCTGATTGATTTCACCAACCTCGGGATTCAGCCTGCTCGCAGTCTTGAACCTTGGCCAGAATGTGATATTCGGCGAGCCAGCATTTCCAACTTTGGCTATGGAGGTTCCAACACGCATGTCATCATGGAGGATGCTGCTTACCACAGGGAGGACCCCCCGATGAGTACGGAGAAATATGCCACGCCACGAAAGGTGTTCATCTTGAGTGCACGTGACAGGGAAGCTGCGAGCACTATGCGATCCAAGTTGAAAGACTATATACTAGCAGCGGTCGAACGTAGCGAAGATATTGATTTCTCAGATCTCGCGTATACTCTAGATCAACGACGGTCAAAGTTCTCTTGGACAACAGCCATCACTGCTGGGACTGTAGGCGAGCTCATCGATGGACTCAAGGACGCTACTCTCAAACCTTCAAGCGTGCTCTCGAAACCCCGGGTTGGCTTCGTCTTTAACGGACAGGGTGCCCAATGGCATGCTATGGGCAGAGAGCTGATGCAGACCTATCCAGTCTACACTGAAACGCTACAAGAAGCAGACGCTGTCATTAAGAGCTTTGGCTCAACTTGGTCTGTTGTAGGGGAGCTCTCCAAAGAATCTGATCATACGCGGGTCAATGAAGTCACCTTCAGCTTCCCACTGTCCTGTGTGGTCCAGCTAGCTCTTGTCCGTCTTCTATCTTCCTGGGGCATCAAACCGTCTGCAGTTACTGGTCATTCCAGCGGCGAGGTCGCGGCAGCCTTTGCAGCCGGAGCCTTGAGTTTCAAGGAGGCTATCGCAGTCACTTACTTCAGAGGTCTACTAACGGATCAGTATGTCGTCAAGGCCAAGAGTCAAGGTGGTATGCTTGCTGTCGGTCTAGGCGCCGCAGAAGTCAACGAATACCTTGGTAAGCCATTGCCTGGAAAGGTCGTTGTAGCCTGCGAGAACAGTCCGTCGAGTGTGACGCTGTCTGGTGATGTGAGTGCTATCGATGCGCTGGAGGTCTTATTTCGCGATCGGAAGATATTTGCGCGAAAATTGAAGGTCGCAGCCGCCTATCACAGCCATCATATGCTCCCAATCGCAGAGGGCTACCATGCTGCACTCTCAGAAAATATGGACTTAAAAGGATCATTCGGTGATGTTCTCTTCTCCTCGCCAGTGTCCGGCTCGTGGATCTCAGATGTCGAGTCTCTGGGACCTTCACACTGGGTCGAAAACATGATGAGGCCAGTGCTATTCACTCAATCACTCTCAAACATGATCGCTGGTCTCACAGAATCCAACCCCTTAGGGCAGAACGTAGATTTTTTAGTCGAGATTGGTCCTCATGGAGCACTTAGCGGCCCAATCCGACAGAACATCACACATGCTAACCTCAAGCACCTCAAGTTAGATTATGGGTCATGTCTGACCAGAGGACAGGATGCTGTTAGCACAATTCAGCAGCTAGCCGCGCTCCTCGTATGCAGAGGATACCCTGTGGACTTGGCCAACGTCAACTTTCCAAAGGGTTTACACGGTCTGAAAGCCCTGCCTAGTCTTCCATCGTATCCTTGGAACCACACCACTAAGTTCTGGGCCGAGCCTCGTGTAAGTCGAGAGCATAGGTTCAGAAAACATGCTTCGCACGACCTGCTCGGCGTCCGGGTCCCCGGTGCTAACCCGTTCTCTCCTTCATGGCGGCACATTATCCGAACAGGTGATATTCCCTGGGTACGCGATCACGAAGTGCAGTCGAATATCGTTTATCCGGGCGCTGGATGTATCGCAATGGCCATTGAAGCCATGCGTCAGCTGTCTTTGGATGAGGGCAAGACCATTACTGGCTACAATCTTCGTGATATACAAATCACCAGGGCGCTAGTGATTCCTGACACGCCTGAAGGGATCGAAGTGCAGCTAACACTCTCGGCACCAGACGACAAAGCCTTGATGGGGGATTGGCGCAATTTCCATGTCTACTCCGCGCTCTCCAATGGCGAGTGGGCCGAGAATTGCAGCGGATACATCGCCGTCGCGGTAGAGCATGTGCGCAATTCTATCAACAACATCCCTCCTGAAGCATCAAAAGGCCATCTCACAAGCTCTGTGGAGCCTAGTGCTCTATTTAAAAAATTACACCAGGCTGGCGTACGTCATGGTCCTTCGTTCCAGAACCTTATGACAATTGAAGTCGGACATAGCAAGTCGAGGGCAACATTCAAAGTACCTGATACAGCATCCCTGATGCCATCGAACTATCAAAGCCGTCATGTGATACATCCTATCACTTTAGACGCCGTGTTCCAGGTCGCTTATTCCACTTTGACCGTGGAGCAGCAAGATAGGGTCGGGGCTGCGGTACCAAGATCTATCACAACAATGTACATCTCGGAAGAGATCAACAGTAATCCCGGTGATGTACTTATAGCTTGCTCAGATCTCTTGCATGTAGATCGTCAGGGATTTGAAACAAGTATACTGGTGACAGGCACAGATTCAGTGGCACCACTTCTGCAGATAGGCGATATGCACTACCGCAGTCTCGGGTTGAGTCTTGAGTCCCAAGATGAAGAAGAGGTAGACCTTTGCTTGACAGTCAACTGGGTCCCTAGTCTCGATCATGGCGATCTGCAAGAGCTGCATGGGACGTTGTCATATGCAGTCGATATCGACGAGAAGATTATAGGAGAAGACTTGACTCGAGCGACTTATCACTTCATTCATGACACTATCAATGCCCTGAGCGATGAAGATATCTCCGGCCTAAAGTCCCATCACGCAACATGGCTGGATTGGATGCGCCGTATCGAAGCGCAAGCTATGAACAATGAGCTTGCTCCTAAAAGCTCTAAATGGCCCGAAACCAGCGATGGTGTCAAACAGATGCTCTACGACCGAGTTGCTTCTCACAGCGTCAATGGGCAGATGCTTGTACGTCTTGGGAAGCATTTCGTCAATATCATGCGCAACAAAGTCGAACCTTTGGAGATCATGATGGAGGGCCAACTGTTATACAAATTTTATCGTGAGATGTTACATTTTACTCGGTCCATCCTGCAAGCTGTGGAGCTACTAAAAGTCTATTCTCGGCAGCATCCCTGTGCCAATATCCTGGAGATAGGCGCCGGAACCGGGTCATGTACAGGACCTGCCTTATACGCTCTTGGTGGCAATACGGATAACTCGAAACCTCAATTCGCACATTACGAATTTACAGATATTTCCTCTGGGTTCTTCGGTGAGGCAAGAAAGAACTTTGCTGCCTGGGGCGATCTTGTCACTTACCGGACGCTTGACATCGAAAAGAGCCCTGAAGAACAATCCTTCCAGCTTGCGACGTACGATGTTATCATAGCATGCCTGGTCTTGCATGCAACAAAAGATATTGACAATACGATGAGGAATGTCAGAAGTCTACTCAAACCTGGTGGCAAGTTGATTCTTGTTGAGACTACACAAGACTCAATCGACGTAAATATGATATTCGGCTCACTGCCTGGCTGGTGGCTCAGTAGGTCACTGTCGCTGCATATTTAATGAAATCTGCTGACCCCATCTGAAGGTCAGGAGTCGGAGCGAAAGCATAGCCCCAACCTTAATCTTGACATGTGGAAAGACGTACTCCCGCGAACGGGCTTTTCCGGAATTGACTTCGATGTTTGGGACTGCGAAGATGCCAAGCATCGATCAATGAGCGTTATACTATCCACGGCAGTCCCGGAGAACGTTGTTCAATTCCCGACGAAGATCTCTCTGATACACAGTGACGATACTCCGCCTGAAGCTTGGCTACGGACACTCTGTGACGCTTTCCAGAAGGTAACGGGTAGTGTGCCCATGATAGAACGGCTGGAGGACTTGAGATCTGACGGTAAAGCTTGTGTGTTTGTCACTGAGATGTCTACGCCCACCTTGAGTAAGATGAATGAGACTCAATTTGAGGCTATCAAGGGCATGGTTGGAAATTCTAAGGGCTTACTCTGGGTCACAAGGGGCGCGACCGGAGGTTGTGTCAATCCAGAGCTGAGTTTACACTCTGGACTACTACGTGTGAGAAGGGTCGAGGATGCAGCGAAGAAGTACATCTCCCTCGATCTCGACCCGTCAGAGGAAACCTTTACAGTCGCCAACGCACACCATATCGCGAGCATTTTCAGGCACACTTTTGATGAAAGTCGCGCCGGTGACGAGATAGAGACCGAGTATGCAACCAGGGCGTCACGTGTACTCATACCTCGTGTTCGCTTCAGCCGCCCCGAAAGTGAAGACGCGCTCAATCCAAAGGATCGCCCGGCTGAGCTACAGCCCTTCCAGCGACCTGACCGTAGATTACGCATGTTCGTAGACACGCCTGGTTCTCTGGACAGTATCTTGTTCAAGACTGATCCTCAAGACGATGATTATCTGCCCTGCAACTTCGTTGAGATCGAAGGCAAGGCATTTGGCCTCAATTTCCGTGATGTCATGGTAGCGATGGGGCAGCTGAAGGAGAAGAACATGGGCTTCGAATGTGGCGGCGTTATCACTCGAGTCGGCTCTGCAGTCTCAGACTTCGAGGTCGGCGACCGCGTCTGCGCTCTTACGGCTCATGGTCACTGGGCCAGTCGAAGTCGTGTTCCATCAACCTCTTGTGCTCGGATCCCCCCTTCGATGAGCTTTGAAACTGCAGCCTCCATTCCCATGGTCTTCCTTACGGCGTATTATTCACTGTTCGAGGCTGGACGGCTAGAGAGAGGTGAATCGGTTCTGATACATGCCGCTTCTGGTGGTGTTGGTCAAGCTGCTATCATGCTCGCTTCATTGAAGGGTGCAGAAATATTTGCTACTGTTTCGACAAAAGAGAAGCGCGAATTCCTTAAGCATACGTACCATTTGGATGACGATCACATATTTTCAAGTCGTACTGCTTCGTTCGCGACGGACCTCAAGGTGGCGACTGGTGGAAGGGGTGTCGACATCGTCCTCAACTCTCTCGCCGGTAAGCTCCTGGACGAAAGCTGGCATTGCTTAGCCCCATATGGCCGTTTCATTGAGCTTGGCAAAAGGGATATCCAGTCGAACAAACGACTAGAGATGCAGCCATTCGGCACCGCAGTTTCTTTTGTGGCATTCGACCTGATACACCTAAGCGACTACAGACCCGCAGTCGTTTCTCGCATGCTGAATCATATCCTGCAGCTTCTAGGAGAAGGACTGATAACCACAATCTCACCAATTAAAGTGTCCCCTATCTCGGACATCGTCCGCGCGTTTCGTACGATGCAGGCTGGTAAGCACGTCGGAAAGATTGTGCTCCGTGTTGGAGAGGAAGATGTAGTATCGGTAAGCACATCTTAGATGAACCCGACGAAGTGGCTAATTAGAAAACAGGCAGTGCCAGATTGCAAGCATACACGGTTGTCACCGGATGTAACCTACCTTCTCGTCGGGGGTGTCGGAGGCATTGGTCGTTCACTGGCCCGCTGGTTCGTGGCCCATGGAGCGCGCTACCTTCTTCTGCTATCGCGCAATGCTGCTTCTAGATCCGAGTCTGAGCAGCTCATCGAATCACTCAAGGCCGATGGCTGTATAGTCTTGGTCAAGAACTGCGATATCGCGGATAAAGAAAGCCTTGCCACTGTTGTGCGGGACTGTGGTACAGTTCTTCCTCCTATCAAAGGACTTGTACAGGGAGCAATGGTCCTTCAGGTAAGCAAAGTTAAATCATTCTGCGTTCAGCTCGTTTCTCTTTCCCCCGTATCGTATCTGACCTTCTCCCAGGATTCTATATGGGAACGAATGACCTTTGCGAAGTGGCGGGCGGCAGTCTCCCCGAAAGTGGCTGGTTCGTATAACCTGCACGCCCAGTTTGCGGACTCTCTCGACTTCTTCATCATGCTCTCCTCAGTTGCCGGTTTCATTGGGAATGCGAGTCAGGCGAATTATGCGGCTGGTAATACCTACCAAGATGCTCTTGCCCGCCACCGCACCTCGTTGAACCTTCCTGCGGTATCCATCGACCTCGGTCTGGTCAAGGAGATTGGCTACGTATCCGAAAATAAAGAGCTAGGCGAGCGCCTCCTCAGGGACGGTCACCGCGCCCTCGAAGAGAAGGAGGTCCTTGACCTTGTTTCAGCTGCTATACGTAATCCATACCGCGCTCTCAACGCAAGTCAAATCATTACTGGCCTTCTTCCAATCGCCGTGCCGCAGCAGACTCAAACTGGGTGGCGCGCCGATCCACGTTTTGTTGGTCTGAAGCAGCAGGCACGTTCCAAAAGTGGTATGTGCCAGGGCTATAATACTGCCACGGGTACCATCACGCTTAGTCTGAAGGACCAGATAGGCGGGGCCGAATCAGAGATTGATGCGGTGAATGTCCTCACGCGTGCTATCGTGGCGAAGCTCGCAGAGATGTTTCTGATCCCAGAGGTAGATATAGATGTTTCGTTGCCTCTGGCGAAGTACGGCGTGGACTCACTAGTGGCGGTGGAGATGCGGAATTGGCTGGTTGCGGCTACACGGTGTGAGGTATCGATCTTCGACATCCTGGGATGTAGTAGCCTGAGAGAATTGGCTGGGAAGGTTTCCGGGAGGTGTAAAGCCTTAGGAAAGAAGTAGAGCGATATACATTCCTAAATTTTTAGTATTATATAGATTTATAACTATCCGAATAGTAAATTACTCTTCTTAATGTTTATAGAGTATTATATAAGTCTTAAATTATATACTTATTATTAGCTATAATAATAATAATAGTATTATTATATAACTAGATAGAGTAGTTTCTACTCTATAGATATATACCTTCTCTAGTCTAAGCTATTATATAAGAAGAAACCTTTAAAGAAAAAAATCCCTTCTCTCTATAACTATATCTTATTAAGTCTTTATATCTTCTAAGGTATATAGCTATTAGATATATCTATAGATCTATAATCTATATTACTATTATTTTATTCTTAAATAGTATATATAGAGTATATAGATTATTAGTTAAGGGTTACCCTTAACTAATAATTAGAGTTCTTCTAGAGTTCTTCTAGTATATACTAGGGTCTATCTAGTATATATCTAGTTTCTTCTAGTATATATATCTAGATCTACTAGTATTAAGGAAGTAGAAGATATATAAGTATCTATAAAAAAACTTCTTATACTCTAAGGGACTAAAACTAGTTAATTTAGGGTAATATAGTAATCTATATATATTAATTAATAGAGTATACTAAGTATAATAACCTTTAATCTATATATATAGTATATAATATATAATAGTACTAATATATAGAGATACTATATATATATACTTAAAAACTCTTTAGAGTAGTAAGTATAGACTACTACTAATAAATACTAATATACTAACTCTCTTTTATTAGTTAAGAGTAGTTCTTAACTAATAATTATAGTAGCCTTAGATACTAATATACTCTAGCTTCTACTAGGTATACCCCTACTATTAATATAATAGAAATAGCTATATAGTAGTATATTCTAGAATAACTAATCTACTATCTAAAAAATAAAAAATAACTAAGAGTATAAAATACTATAGATAACTAGAATAGAGAGAACTCTACTTAGAGATACTCTTATAGATAAGATTAAATACTAGATAATATATATATAGAGAGAGAGATTAAGAAAGAAGAGACTACTCTTCTTAATATCTTCTAGAGTCTAGTCTAGAATATTAAAGAACTTATTATAGAAGTAAAATAGATACTAAAAGTAAATCTAGAGTCTAGACTAGACTAAATTAAGACTAGTCTACTAAGAATCTAGAAAGACCTTATCTAGAAGAAATATCTAACTACTTAAATATAAGTTATAGTACTATTAAATAGTATAATTAGAATAATCTAAATACTAAGAATATCTATAAAAGAAGTATATAATATATAGATTATTATTTAGAATAAAGAAATTCTTATATAGGTCTAGAAGGTATCTCTAAAGAATATTATTAATAAGATTAATAAATAAAAAGAAATATAGTTAAATATAATTATAGCTAAACTTACTCTAGAAGATATAATACTAACTACTACTATTAATATAGTCTAGTAGACTATCTTCTATAATCTAAATATAATTAATAATAATAATAATAATAATAATAATAATAATAATAATAATAATAATAATAATAATAATAATAATAATAATAATAATAATAATAATAATAA